ACGAATCCCTTCGGCTTTCCTGCTGCCCAGCACGCGGAGCGAAACGTCGGACATCGTGCCGAACATCGCACAGGCACATCCCGGCAACACTTGAGAGAGCCGTATAGCGGCACAACCGTGAAAACCGTACGGGAGCCGTTTCCCCTTCCGATTATAATCCAAAGCAACTTCTCTCATCCAGCAAATGACTTTACCCGTGACCCCATACAGCCAATCCACCATGGGCAAGGAAAGTGATCACTGTAATTAAATTTCACGTTTTCCCAGAGAAAACAAAGCACATACATCATATTGGCCTTCTCAGTTTTCTGGATCTATATGCGTGTACACAGTACTCCAGTATTTCATCGTGATAATAATGATGTGAAATGCTTTGCGGTGAAAACCTCACCGGGTCGTTTTTGGAGGAGGGTCGACCATTAAAATGTTTCGCCAATTCCCTTTGAAGGCGCGTTTTGCGTCGTGCCTGGAGAAAACCCCATGCCACACAAGCGGTACAACAACTCTCGAGTTTCACGCCAGACGGATTCACAAACTCACACGCATCTGGCACTACCATCGCCTAATCACCGGGCAGTCCGGTCGGTTTGGGAGTCTCACACTGGTAGTGGTGCACAAGCACAAATAACAACTCGACACATTCGCTGATAACATTGCCCTAAAAAGTAATAAAATTGTATAATCGGCAACATTTTGGGCAATGTCCCCTTTTAATAGCGCAGGGAGATCTTTCTGCCAAAGCAGAGAGGTCTGCTATGAAGAACGGGCCATTGCCCCACGTCACCTATTATATATATTCCTCTTGCGGGCAGTACTCATGATGAATGTGTTGAGTGTTTCGCACATCGATATGCGATCCACCGAACCGTCACCTTCCAAGGCGCTGGACCTTGCGCAGGCCCGCCCACCCCACACGCCTGGCTCGTTCCCGTGCGCTCGGGGGCCCTTACGGGGGAGCCCAGGCGCTTTCAGTCAAAGGCAGTGGCGCATGGCCGCTGTCGTCTTCACCCAACACCGCAAAGGGAACTCCATTTACAAGGCGGGGGAGGCAGGGTTATCAAGTGAATGGCGGGGGCCTAATTAATGGGCTGTTGAGGTGAGCTAAATTGAGAAAACGTAGACATTATTTTCTCCGTAAGCTTCGTTTCAATTAACACCTAAACGGATGTTTGGGAGTCGGGGTGTACCAGTGGCAGCTCACTCTTGGGCACAGAACAGCTGCAATGGCTGACCCAGGAGACCGACATTAGCTAAGCGGAACTAAACAAACATATACAATGCTCTAAGCAAGGGCTCTTACTGAGCTGAGCAATCGGCGAAATGTCACGATCATTAAGTCACAATTCCTCCTTTGTTCAACTATATTTAGACGTCTAAATTAGGGGTCATGTGGCCGTTTGTTTACGTAACCTAAACGAGAGCCCTTGTTGATGGATCAGAGCGGCGTTTCTTTGGCAAGGGTTCTAAGTTTAGTTTGGTCCCCGCAATGGCTTTTTAGAGAGTCTCCTAACAGCATCAAAATCATCTCGTCCATGACGCACCGCATTGTGAACGCATCACGCTCTGCGGAAGAAGACGCGCTCCGTCTCTCATCGATTAAAAACGATGAGAGAGACGAAGCAGACGTCGAGGAGGAGTTTCGCACTTTGTGTGAAGTCGTGCTGAGAGATTCCAATTGCAGCCGCACGTCCGGAGCTTTTCAAATGCAGGCGGTCGGTCTCCTTAACGTGAAATCGATGTGTTCTTAAAACTGGCGTATAACTCCAGCCAGCCGTGATCCAGTTATCAGTAAACTAGATTATCCCCGTGGGTAAAATCTAATTTGCAATTCTTCCCGTTAACCTCGACCTGAAGCATTGCGCGTTCAGTCCGTCGCAGAATCACGTGAGCCGCGCGCGTGAGAGACGCGAGCAGGAGGCTCGGGGCATTGGAAGTGGCGCAGCTGAAGATTCTCTCCTCCTCGTGGCCAGCACCGCCGTCCTCCTCCTCCTCCACCTCCTCCTCCTCCCCCGCTTCCTCGGTGGTCCCCACACACCAAAAGGCAACAGCGGCCATGCCCCCCACATGGTCTTTGAGATCTGTCGAAGGTGCCCCTGGTATGCACACACATCGTCACACACCTCGTCCACATCACACATCGTCACACACCTCGTCCACATCACACATCGTCACACACCTCGTCCACATCACACATCGTCACACACCTCGTCCACATCACACATCGTCACACACCTCGTCCACATCACACATCGTCACACACCTCGTCCACATCACACATCGTCACACACTTCGTCCACATCACACATCGTCACACACCTCGTCCACATCACACATCGTCACACACCTCGTCCACATCACACATCGTCACACACCTCGTCCACATCACACATCGTCACACACCTCGTCCACATCACACATCGTCACACACTTCGTCCACATCACACATCGTCACACACCTCGTCCACATCACACATCCTCACACACCTCGTCCACATCACACATCCTCACACACCTCGTCCACATCACACATCGTCACACACCTCGTCCACATCACACATCGTCACACACCTCGTCCACATCACACATCGTCACACACCTCGTCCACATCACACATCGTCACACACCTCGTCCACATCACACATCGTCACACACCTCGTCCACATCACACATCGTCACACACCTCGTCCACATCACACATCGTCACACACCTCGTCCACATCACACATCGTCACACACCTCGTCCACATCACACATCGTCACACACTTCGTCCACATCACACATCGTCACACACCTCGTCCACATCACACATCCTCACACACCTCGTCCACATCACACATCGTCACACACCTCGTCCACATCACACATCGTCACACACCTCGTCCACATCACACATCGTCACACACCTCGTCCACATCACACATCCTCACACACCTCGTCCACATCACACATCCTCACACACCTCGTCCACATCACACATCGTCACACACCTCGTCCACATCACACATCGTCACACACCTCGTCCACATCACACATCCTCACACACCTCGTCCACATCACACATCGTCACACACCTCGTCCACATCACACATCGTCACACACCTCGTCCACATCACACATCCTCACACACCTCGTCCACATCACACATCGTCACACACCTCGTCCACATCACACATCCTCACACACCTCGTCCACATTACACATCGTCACACACCTCGTCCACATCACACATCGTCACACACCTCGTCCACATCACACATCGTCACACACCTCGTCCACATCACACATCGTCACACACCTCGTCCACATCACACATCGTCACACACCTCGTCCACATCACACATCCTCACACACCTCGTCCACATCACACATCGTCACACACCTCGTCCACATCACACATCGTCACACACCTCGTCCACATCACACATCGTCACACACCTCGTCCACATCACACATCGTCACACACCTCGTCCACATCACACATCGTCACACACCTCGTCCACATCACACATCCTCACACACCTCGTCCACATTACACATCGTCACACACCTCGTCCACATCACACATCGTCACACACCTCGTCCACATCACACATCGTCACACACCTCGTCCACATCACACATCGTCACACACCTCGTCCACATCACACATCGTCACACACCTCGTCCACATCACACATCCTCACACACCTCGTCCACATCACACATCGTCACACACCTCGTCCACATCACACATCCTCACACACCTCGTCCACATAACACATCGTCACACACCTCGTCCACATCACACATCGTCACACACCTCGTCCACATCACACATCGTCACACACCTCGTCCACATCACACATCGTCACACACCTCGCACACGGCTGCGGTGTTTGGTGTTCTTGGAGTGACCGGACACTGACTGTGGTGCCCCCCACCCCTGGTTGTGGAGCTCCCTACTGCCCCCCCCCCCATCCGCCCGATTTCCCTGCCGCATTGCATCTCGACTCCGGTCCCCTCCGGCCCTCGGGCGCCGGCGCAGTTGCACCGCCTGCGCACCGACAGCTTTGCCCCTGCGGCTGTGATGTTTGTACAACTCGGCCGTGCTGCGTCCATCAACGGCGCCACGATGTTCCATGTTGCAGTGCAGCCCCCAATGCGGGCAGGGAAGCTGCCTTGGAGATGAGGATCGGAGAAGTTGAAACCGGTCCCACGTGACCGCGACAAAGCAGCAGCTTGAGCAGCAGTGCGTTGCAGCAGCAGCAGCTGCTGCTGGAACGCACTGCGAAAACTTCACAGCCGTTTCTTCTCCTAGGCTGAAAAAACAGCTCCTCGACATCACCGTTCTCCGTCTGTGCTTCCGCGACATATAACGGCTGACTCTTACCCAAGTCACACAGCCACTGTAACTCGCGTCTCACTCAACTGCATTCTCCCATCTCACCCTCGGTCTCTACCGATGAGCACTGCCCATTGCATTCTCCTCGTCTCTTCGCGACACGTGCCCAAACCATCTCGAGTCTACGCCGCTCCCTCGCTTCTTGGGCATTAGATGTTTTACATTCGTGCTGGAGGCATCCGATTAACTAAAAAGCTCCTTTTTATAGAGTTCCAGTAGAATATTAATATTAGTAACCTGCCAAGGCTCCAAACATCTTCATTCAGCGTCGTCTTCGTGGGATAATTTCCAACATCCATCTCGGCATTCTCATCTCTGCCCTTTCAAACCTCTCTCTTCCCTCTTCTCCGGTGCCCACGTCTCCACGCGTAGAAGTTCAACTCCTCGATGGACTTTGATGTTATTCTGTCTATCGCAGCACCGACAATTAGTAAACAGTATTTTTTTTATCCAGAAGGAAAACTCCAAGACGCGTCACTGGCACATGTTACGAGTTGTTTGCAGTGTCGAGTGATTTTTATTTCTCGAAGTCTGGGTGGGTGGGGAACCGACTCCTTCAAATGCAGAGGGCTGCGCTGTTTACGCTTTCCGTCAATAACAAAAACAACGCGACTCGCATTTACAGTTTATAAAGCTGTAACATTTATTAGCCACAGACTACTGTTAAACATGTACAACAAATATTAGCCACAGATTAATCGTAGTACTCATAAAAGTACCTTTCAAATCAATGAGTAATAATTTAAAGAAATGCGACTCTTAAACGAGACTCGCGAGAACTACTCTATGCTTACGGAAGCAGCACGCGGCGCGGTGTAGGGCATGATCCACTCGCTCACTCGTCCCGTTCGACTCCGGTAACCATCCCTTTGTCTGCGGAACTCATCCTGCTCGACTCCGGTAACCATCCCTTTGTCTGCGGAACTCATCCTGCTCGACTCCGGTAACCATCCCTTTGTCTACGGAACTCATCCTGCTCGACTCCGGTAACCATCCCTTTGTCTACAGAACTGATCCTGCTCGACTCCGGTAACCATCCCATTGTCTACGGAACTCATCCTGCTCGACTCCGGTATCCATCCCATTGTCTACGGAACTCATCCTGGTTCATCTCCAGGGCCCATCCCATTGTCTCTGGAACTCGTCCCGGTTCGACTCCGGGACTCGTGGTATCGGACTCCCCCCCCCCCCCCTCCCCCCCCCCCCCCCCCCCCCCCCATTTAGCGCTCACACCTCGCAAGGCCGGCCGGCAAAACCCATCGGCGACATTTCAACCAAATAATCTACGGTAAGAAGTGTATATCTACGGAATTCGTTTTTTTGTATTTATAATTCTACACTACAGAATGATTCCTCGCACTTCCGTTTGCTTACGGGTAGATATCTGCAGTAGTCACATAATAAAAAAAAATAGTGAAATAAGATCGAAGCCACATCAGCCAGGCTCAAAAACTTAAGGATTAATTTGCATGATTTGCAATGGATATGTCTATAGACCTTCACTGGCCGTCAATACAAGTGACAAGAACGGCGGCACACATATCGCGTGTTTTGGTGACGGCTTACTCGGGTCGAATGAATCCTGAGGTGGGGGGGGGGGGCGGACGGACGGATGGCGAAGGGGGGATGGGCTCTGTCATGGACACGAGACAGAGATACACCGACACACAGGGACACACGAGGAGACTGGCGAGGAGAGAGGGCTGGGAATAGCATGCTTGCAAAGGAATGTGTGTACATGGGATGGCGTGCATTGATGCGTCACGAACACACCGGGGCTGCATTGCCTTCCGTCGCGAGGCTGCGTAAAAATGTCACTCCGGGTAAGCCGAGTGCCATGGCGCTTCCACGTGAAGCCCACTGTACCTATCTACAAGAACAGAAGAAAGTGATCACAGCACTTGTTCACGTTATACTTCTTTCTCTATGATTACCCCCTTGAAATGAAAGCATAATTCAGCTAGTGGGCGAGTGTACCTTCCCTTTTTTTGTGTTTAGGCAGCGTTATATAGTACACACGTCTTTATTTTGTGTTTTTTTTTTACAGATCTACTGGATCAAACGTCGTGGGGTTTAGCTGCACGCGGGCTGTGCTAACCACAGAATATTGCAGATAATACTGTCAAGGAACTCCCTGCATCACACAGTGGCCTCTTCTACTGCAGGGCCCCGATACGTCCTCATACCGCTTCAAGTGGCCGTTGGAAGTCTCTCGCACGATACAAAATTCCAGTTCCGTGGTGTCGTTCTCTCACAGTTCAGGACGCGTCCTCGGTCCGCTTTGCGCACTTGTCGCCTGACAAACCACGTACGGATTCACCCAATGCCACGACCAATGAACGTTGTTCTCCCGTGGATGCTCTCCAGCACGCGTCTGTACGCGTTACCCCCCCCCCCCCCCCGGGCGCCGTTTGTTCCGGATTTGTTGGGAGGAGGATTGTGGAAGTTCTTTTGTGGTGTGGTCCGAGATGGCTCTTGCTGAAATTTCAAGGTGCCACGAACAGGGGAAGTTGTTGTTGTTGTAATATGTTGTTGTTGTATGTACGTTTGTTTTTGGTTTCTATCAGTAGAGGCTGTGTTGCTCCGCCCCCCACACACTTTTGCTTTAAATTGACCGGCGTCACAAACTTCGTGTGAATGAGAATCAGCAGAAATGTGCAGCCTGGGTCCCTGGGAGCAAACACGTGGCAGAAAAGCGTCAGAAAAAGTGCAGATGCAAGCGGCATGGTTGGTCACACGATATTGATTTCCACCACCGTGGTACAGAGGGGCTTCTCAAAAACTGTTTTGACATCATGCAAAGTGAGAATATTATGCCAATAGCACAATGTAGGGTAGGCCTCCAGATCCATCTGGTTTAAATTAAAGCAATAATTTTCAGGGCAGCTACTGCATGTACCCTGTATTTGTGAATACTTAGGCCATAGGATGATAGTTATATACATAGAATACAACTTGAATTGCTTCTGAGGTCTTTAAAACACGACGATATAATGTATGAACTAGTATGAGTCTTAATTTTAACCGATGAAAGCAGTTAACTTAAAAGCAAGGCTTATTTAACGTTCCGTCCACGACACCACATTTACAGCGAGATGGGGGGATTTGTACAGATGGCGTGAGCAGGTGGCTTCCCGGTCGGAGTCGTTCCGAGCGCACGGTGCAGCGGCGCCCAGCGGGGCTGCGGCCGTTATAGGCTGGTGACCAGCTGGGTGCTGCTGCCTTCTCGGATGTCTCCCTCGGTCGCCTCGCTCTTTTTGCTCTCGTCCGGCGGAGCAAAGCCCTCGCAGCAGTCCACCTCGTCCCGGCTCTCCCGATTCCCGCGCCCCGCGCGGCCGTCCCCGCCGTCCCGGCTCAGCTCGGGCGGCGGCGGCGGCGGGGGGCCGGCGTCGCCGCGGGGTAGGTCCCGCCCCTCGCTCCCGCCGCGACTCGGCTGGTAGTAGGCGTGCAGCTGGGGCTTGGAGGAGGCGCGCGGCACCGACTGGCAGAAGAGCTCCTGCTCCGCGCCGCCGGCCCCGCTCGAGTCCGGGCGACCGGGCTCCCGCAGGTCGGGCATGCTGGTGTACAGCGAGTCCCGGGTGGGCGACTGCAGCTCGGCCACTTGCTTCGGAGACAGCAGCGGGAAGAAGGTGACGGGCGCGTCGGGGCCGCCGGGCGGCCGCGCGGCCCGGCGGTGGGGCGGCTGCAGCGAGTGGGTGCGCGTGGGCAGCAGCGGAGCGCCCGAGCCTTCCTGGACGAGCCCCGGCACCGCCGCACCCTGGGCCGGCGCGAGCGTCGGCACGTCGGCGACGATGGCGTCGTCCTCGCTGCTGCTGCCGCTGCCGCCGCTGCCGCCGCCGCCGACCCGGCTGCGGTCGAGCTGCGGCATCGCGTCGTCGGTTAAGCCATCCTGCCGTCCCACGTACACCAGTTGGGCTTTGAGGTCGCCCTGCAGGCTATCCCTCTTGCCCACGTAAACCAGCTGGTGCCGGGGATTGCGGTTCTCCCACTGGTTGTCCTGCCGCCCCACGTACACCAGCTGGTGTTTGGCGGTGGCGTCGCGCTCGCCGCCGGCTAGGTACGCGGGTCCGTTGCGCGAGTCGCTGTCGGGGTCGAGAGGCCTAAATCCCTGCGCCGATCGGCTCTCGAGTACGCCCTCGGAGTCTGAGAGGAAGACGGGCCCGTTTGTCGGGTGGAGTTCAGAGAGACGGGTTTTGTTGTCGTAAGGGGGCTCTGACAGCCCGGGGCCCCCCCGCTGGTCTCCCAGGAAGTCCCTGCTGCTCAGGTGGTAGCTCTTGCCGTGGTTACCATTTAGCGGTAGAGTATCCATTGTGCTTGTGTCTCTTGCATTGGTCATTGAGTGCTCTGCAAGCAACGGTGGTGGGCAGGGTGGGGACACAGGACGGGGCAATCAAAAGTTAACCCTCGCAGGTCGGGCTCTCAAAAATTGATAACTGCAAGTTGCTATTTCAAAGTATAATCTAAAAAGCGAAATAATAAAAATGACAATGATAAACGATAACCAACGATGTGGATATACAAACAGCAACTCATAAAATGTATGACACATAAATGCATTAATCCCCTAAAGTCAAATATTGGATTCAAAGAGGTCTGGGAGAATCAACAGCATGGGCTGTGATGACCTCTCGACCTTGTTAAAACTCTCATGAAGTCACACGTCTTATAAAATACTTCCAAATACCGCAATGAGGAGTTATTTTCTTCAGATAATCTAAATGAATAACACTCGTATAGAGTTTAGTACAATTTGAAAAAGGTGACTTTATCAGATGCCAAATTAACCTGTGGATGGGGCATCAGTGGCAGGGGCTCAATGCATTTGAGACGCAACGTGTTTCCAGCGCTTGTGGATTGGCGAGCGAAGCAAACACAGAGGGCAAACTCAAGCAACACACTGTACTCGGGAGGGGAACAGCACTGTACTGTGTACAGCCTTCCTTGTGTTCATAATCATGCCTATGTGTTTTACATCATGATCAATTTCAGGATTGCATTTGTGTTAAATTTATAACGGTAGTCCGCTACATTTACCATAAGTTGACTTTATGAGAACATTCGTCTATCAATGGCATAACTGAAGTCTCAAGTTTAGAAAATGGGCTTTTTCAAGTTCCCGTGTGTGGCTGACAAACACGGATGACGGTAGTGGAACATTATAACATTTAGTATGGAGGCGTAGGCCTCGATTACAGAGCTCCCACGAATGGAAGGAAGCCCTTCCACCAGCAGCGGCGTGAGGAAGCCACTGCAGGGCTGCAACTTGACCCTTTGAGAACATCATTTTAATACCTTGCTTGGCCGGATCTGGACCGTGGAACTTGGAAAGACCCAGAGTGTGTGATTTTACTTGGACTAGTTATGCCACTGCGCATCATAGTCAAAAAAACCAAGTTTTTTTAAAAATCAAGAAACGTCAACTCCCCACCCGGTAATTTAAGACACGTCACATTCAGTTTCCCGAATGTTGAATCTAAAAAAGGATTTACTTTTGATGGGAAAAGTTATCGTCTAGAGCCATGCTTGACTGTCGGCTGGCCACTAGCGAGTGCGTGAGGGGGTTGGGGTGGGGGGAAGAGGGGGGGCAAAGGAAGAAAAAAGCCAAAAGTTACGGCAGCACAATCTGACAAGAATGGAATACAGCGAACAAGCCTACACGGGGTGCATCGAGTCCATCCTGCTGACCAGCTGCTCTGCCCGTATCACGAAATGTGCGACTTTTGCACAAACCCTGAGATTTTAAACTCGGCATTGAGAACCCCCCATCGCCGCTGCCCACCTTCAAGCGGAGAGACGTTAATCAGACTCCGCTCCACATCAACAGCTACGGCCGCCGCGGTGAACGCGGGCGAGTCCGAAAATGAACGGACTGCGCTGGCCGTGTCGGGACCGGCATTATCGTGAAACGGAATCGAGCACCGCACGCCCGCATTAGGAACGCCGCCTTACAACGGGAAAACCACCGGGCCTGGGTAGGATGATGTTTCGGGCAGTGGCCTGCTTCCTCAGAGCAGAAGCTGTGGCAGAGAGATCGGCCGAATTATTGACAGCGATGGTGCCTTGTGAAAACTATGGGGGGGGGGGGGGGGGGGGGTTTAGTTGACGTATCAACAGTTTTGAATGGACAGAATGGGATTTAGGAAAAATGCCTGCTCTGAAGAAGCAGACGTAAGCAGAACTCTGGTTCCGTATCTCCATATATGAATGAGAATATGTTTTTAGTCCACTGGCCTCTGTCTTTCCAGAAGCAATATTCAGAATCAGAATATTTATTTATATTATCCAGCAGCATTTGTTAAGCAAGCAAACTCTGGACTGGTTTTGATCTTCGGGTTCTCATCAGCAAAGTCAGCTTCGTTAATTAAATGCTGCTAGGTTATCAGATATTATTGGCAAGGGCACTCCATCCAAATCACTATATATGCTCTGAAGAAGGATCATTACTCAAAACGTTAGCCTGTTAAATATATATTCCATTGCAAGGCAGCATTAATAATGAGGGGTGGGCAAGATATTTTTATTTGAATGGGCGAAGCGGTCAATTATACTGCATGTAAGCACACAATCTGGATATTTACAGAGAGCAGCATAGGATTATTAGCATACTTGTAATGTATTTTGTAAATATTTAATGGTAATTATTCAAGAGTCTCACGCACAAGAAAATAGCAGCATTAATCCCTCGGCTACATATAAAGCACTCGGACAAAATATTACACAATTCATACATTCATTATCCATGCAGTGCTCGACAACCGTTGAATCGTTCCGCTGAAAATACAAACAGCATCTCCATTTTCCTGTGACTGCGACGTTTAATCCGTTTATCAGGAGCACTTACTTGGACGTAACTTTAGCATGCTCTACAAAAAAAAAGCGGGCTTCATTTTATTCTAAAGGTCTTTCGTTTAAAAAAAAGTATATAAAAAAATAAAAGCACATTCCCTTTAAAATGTAGACCGTAAACCTTTCACAGAGCACTGCGGTCTAATTACAGTTGTTTTAGGCGCATGAAGCGGACACTTAAATGAATCACAAATACCCAACACATTCAACAGCGCGATATAGAACTACCCTCTACTTTAGTAACGCAATAATATTGTCACGCGTCATGTACGGCACGTCCAGGAGGACATGTTCATGAAACACTTTCTCTCTCCGACTTATATATACATATTTTTTTTAAACAACTACATTTTTGATGTCGGTGAAGAGTCTAATGCGTTTTTGAATGCATCGCTGTTCCATGCTGCTGGTTTGCGCGGTGAAACGTTCTTGTTATATAATCTTGATGGTGAAATCCAGCTCTGCATGACCTCTCTCTAAAACCTACAGTGGCAGGGCTGCAAATTGCACTTTTAGAGCAGCGCCGGAGGAATTCGCTTTTGCAATTTTCGTTCTGGATACAAGGCGCGGGGTGTGACTCTCTAAGGCACTTCCCGATCTCCTCCAGGTGACCACGACTGGTGAGGCCAGAAGAACCGAATTCCTTCAACGGAACTTTGACATTCGTCAATGACATCGCCCTGGACAGGAACACATGCGTCACATGCGTCACGTGACGTTTCAGGAATTGCCGCTACTTCCTCGCCTTTTATGCATGTACTTTTTTCCTGTGCTAACTGACACGCGTGTTGGGATTTTGTTATTTGTGCTTGTGCAACGTTGCCAATGAATGCGCGATCACGAGAAAAAAGAAACGTGTTTAATTTTGACAACACTTTGATCGTCTGTTGGATTGCAACATCGCTGTTATTAGAACAAATTAAAATCATTATTTTGGCCACTCAACTTATGTCTTCCCTATAAAACCTTACACAACACGTGATATACAACAGGGTGTCCATGAAGGCATCATCCATTATTTAAGAACCACAATTAGGCAGCGGTGTGAGCTATGTGACTAAAGCGACAAAGACAAAGATCCCCCATATAGCTTTTAATAGACTGTCGGGGAAAGTGCCGTGAGCGGCCAACACTATGTCCAGTCGCCTTTGTATCCCGAGTGCTGATGTCTAGACACCACAGCCGGGTACTCGTGTGAGTCGACCTATGGGAGGGCCCAGGTCCGGTCAAAATCATTTGCCACGGTTATTGGTCGAGAGCAGGAATCAAACTCGCCGGATTTATAGTGCAGCCGGACCACCACTGCGCCACCACTCCCCTAAAAAAGTAAAACAACTACAAAGACAAATATCCCCCGTGTAGCCTTAATAGACTGTAGGAGCAAGCGCTGTAAGCGAGTAGCACCTATGAAGGCCGGCATGGCACACGAGGGGGTGGGTGGCCAGCACCACGCCCGACCGCTTTTATCTCCCTAGTAGCGATGTTTACACACCGCACCAGGTACTCATTTGAAGCTGAATCGACCTAGGGGAGGCCCAGTGCCGGTTCAGACAATCGTCACTGGTGTTGGCCGTGAGTGGGAATCGAACTTGGGTCTCCGGGTCCGTAGCGCAGTGCGCTAAGCGCTGCACCACCGTACCCCATAACAAAACTACACACACACACGCACGCGTGGTGGTTCGAAGACTTTATCTTGCGAGTCTCGTCTCTTTGAACTTCCGCACGACCCCCTTGGCATTTGCGTTGCACGTCGGATCGTGATTCGAACTCCCATTGTCCACCGCCCAACCCAGCTATGGATCGTTCGAATGCCTGCGCTGCGTGGCGCTGGAATATCGCCGGAGCTTTTATCTAAAAGAAAACCTCACAACAAAAATGCTGCCAACATTTCAACCACGCAGTTCAAACCGATGCCTAATTATACATTCTTTAATGATGAATGATACCTTTATTGACACCCAATTACCGAAAGAATCATTGTGAAAATGACACGGTAATTACAATTACAAATTACGCCGCGTTGCGAGTACGCATTGACGTAAAAAGTCATTGCCAAGGAGAAGCGGCAACACCTCCCCCTCTCCGCTGCAAGGGGGCCCTGTCAGGGATGCGTGGTCACCGCATTAGCACGTTCCTTCGCCTGGGAAATTGAGGCTAACCTAAGAATAACTGGGTTTCTCATCTATAGGGCAACCTACTTCATCTGTGATTCACCCATCTGATAAACGTAATTGAATCGTTTGAAAAGTGCCACGGCGCGTTACGTCCGCGGCTCGGTGTGATGCGACGCGTGGTTTGGGTTTGATCAGGCGACAGGCTAACCACGGGCGAGAGGAAGCGGGGGGTCCTTGCGTGGATCTTCCCCGTGGCTGCGGATGTTCAGACCCCTCACGAGCAGTGGCGGAACCGTGGCTCCAGCTTTAGGAGGCTACACAAGCTCCACTCCCGGGTTTGGCAGTCTCGGGTGGTAAAGCGTGCACCGTGGGGCTCCAGTGAGAATGTGGGCTGCTCTGGTGGTTGGCTTCATCATAGAATCGCATAAAGATCCATATACTCACACAGAGACCCATGGACTCACGAAGAGGCGCATAGACTCGCATAGAGACCCAGGAGACTCACAACTGAATAGAATGCACTGGCAGAAGCTTAGTAAGCGCTTTCTCCAGACAGGCACATGCAGCCTATGCAGCGTCTCAGGAGATCTGTTCTCTTGGAGACACTGGGTCATCACCATCAGCAGCAGCAGCATTATCACATGTAGCCTTCACATTCATATCAATTCATCCACCTGCACGCGTTATCACACGAGGCTATAAATCCCAGATTGACCTTGCAGGCTCCTCTCTTTGGCGCCGTGGAGCCACCAATCTGAACAAAGACCCTTTGTTCAGCTCTCCGGCGCGCTCTCGGCTTGTACGATGCATCATCCGGCAAGACGTCCGCCATTTCGCCCCACGTGCTGGGAGCTTTGTCGGCAACCGAACCGACGCCGTGCCGAGCAGCACGCGGTGCAACGCGGAAGCACATCGGGCAGCCTCCGATTAGCGCGGTTCGCTACGTACGATGCGAAAGAAGTTAAACGTACATACGCAAGGCGCAACTGCGAAAAACTCGCGCGGCGGTTAGAGCCGCGTTCACCTCGTGTTATCACTCGTGTACCTTCACCCTGTCAAACCCACGATGCCCCCTCCCGTGGGAGAAGGGTATAAGGAACAGTGCGCGGTGGGTGGGTGGAGGGCAGTCCGCTGGGCCTCCCACCTGGTGACTTGCGGTAGAGGCCGGTGGCCGGCGCGTTACACACCACCGTGTCGGCCAGCAGCGTGTTATACAGGTTGTTAGAGCCATGCGGGCGCAGCAGGGAGTTGCTGAGAAGCTGGTTACCCACCAGGCCTGTACGGCAGGCCGGCGGCAGAAGAGAGCACCGTGGAGAAAGCCCCGGGGACAGCAGAACAGAGGACACAGAGGACACAGAGGAGAGAAGCGTGCACTCACAGCAAGGCAAGGACAGCAGTGCAGAGAGCGAGGTGGGCAGGTGGCCTCCGAGGCCGATGGCTTTCACCTCGTGACATATTTGGTCATTATTTTTTCACAGCTTTATTCCAATTCGTGCTATCGGCGTCGCGCCTCGAGACCAAGTCTCGATTTGGATTCCTCGCAGAGCAGTGCCACCGGTGGTGTTAAGAGAGCGGCCCACCGGGAAGTAGATATCGCAGAGCTACCTCTGAGAACCGTTCCAGTGACCTCTAAGTCCACACAGAAGGTATAACTTTTCCACTCGCTCTGCATACGAGAGTTATGTTTTTCACATAAAAGTCAACGCGATGTTTTAATTCACAGGGCTGGAATTTAACCAAATTTAAGTGGAAAACCGAAGGTGATACGTTTATGTACGCAGTCAAGTGCCCGAGGCTGAGATCAACAACTCACTTGAGGGCCCAGTTTGATCACAGGCAACTTTTAGGATTCGAAACCAGAAATCTGAGCACTGTCTTTCACTTTTAAAAGTCTAATTTAAATGATTCCTGGTGGCACCTGTCCAACTTCAGACCACTGCGGTGGTCCAATTATACGAAGAGTGTAAGCGTGACCTCTAACCAGTTCACGCTACGCTGCTCATCTCTGATGCAGTTTACAATACAGATTTTTAAAAAGTAATTTTGTAGGCGGTTGGCAGGATCGGGGGGGAGGGGGGGGGGTGGCCTCATGTGCACATCGGATATACTCGGCGGTGGTTCGAATCCCAGGTGTCCAGCCACTATTACAGCAAAGCTCTCAAGGTTTGCTGGGTTGGTGGTTTCTGTCTGGTCGCTCGGCCGGCGATGATTTCCCCTCCCCGTGACACAATGAATTGTCGCGACTTGTGGCGGGTAACAAATTGCCTGGAGAGTCAGTGGCTGCAAGGGTTAGGTAAACCAATTACATTCAAATTACACAAATGTATCAATTCTCATTCAACACACATCTTTATCCGTGACATCTTAAATAAGTCCTCCAATTGCGTTGCTGCTATATTCTTGTTTCTTTCGGTAAAGTCACGTAGAAGGGAAACAATAAAATAATAAAAATATAAAACAATAAAATTATCACGACGTTTCGACTGCAACACAAGCAATGATCATCAGGTGTGAAAACCACAGCAAGAAAATTTGAAAAAGTAGCGTTTTTTTAACGTTAGTACCACGGAGAGCGATTTGGCAGTTATTCAAAGATGTGCGTTGCTGCTATTTACGTTGTCGTTTCACGATGACGTCGCCAACGGATAAGGGAACGTAATTCGGTTTAAAATGCGCTGATTCGCCATAACGTTTGGAAAAAGATGAAGACCGCCGTAGTATGGGCGACGTACAAAACGTGACAACGCACTGTGACAACATCGCCGTACTATACACTCTACGACCCTCTCGAAACGCAATCTCTGCCACCATATCTGCCGAGTACTCTGTATTAACTTACATCATATTATGTACATTTGGGTATTTTTTTATCTTTTTCGGTAATTATAAAATATTTTTTCTACAAATTTTGACCAAAATATTTACCCCCAGGAATAGTATCCACATTTTTTTTTAATCATCAAGCCAAAGGTAAAATAGATTTTGATGGACGCGTTTTGATGGATGCGTTGGTTGTAACCCTACGGGCCACCAATGACCGCGTGAGAACACGATTGCACACGTTTGCTGGGTTAGCACTCGATTAGCACGAGCGTCGTTTGGAGGGACAAGTGTGCACGTGCCGTGACTCACCGATGACAGATCTGACCACAGGCTTGCGCCATCAGATACAGTACATCCAAACAATGCCAAAATGGAACATATTTCCCAGGATGGAGGCATACAAAACTTTACTACAGTTTAAGAGGATTCCCACTCATTTGGGAAGAACGTTGCCCTGTTTTGCAAGCCTTTATTCAGTCCTGATTTCTCCTCTTTTTGGAGTTAACATATTGTGTAGAGAGGGCCATAATTTAGCAGTGCTGTTATGCTGATTATTCCTAATAAGACTAACCTGGTATAGAATAACCATGTTTGTTTTCATCATCATCATGAAGGTGAACTCCCAAAGCCAATGACTTTCACGACTGAAACCTTATATTAAAGAATACATTCATCAGGTTGTCTTATTGTCGTCATACAATGCCATTTCTGTAAACCAGGAATCACATTATTCCGAAACACCAAGTTGTTTTCCTGTGACAATATACGCTAAGCCTGCAACCTTCCAGCCCCTTGAAGTTATACAGGATGACCTTTATGACCAGGCCCCTTTGAGACTAAACGTCTCTTTTTTTGTCTCCAACAGAAACCCGGCTGGGTTTAAACGAGGACAGAACAAAGGAGACAATAAATAGAAGAAAACAGGGGGGGGTGGGGGAAAGAGGGGCCGAAAATTATTGGCCATCGTGAATTAAGCCACACACCAAAGGCCGAGCGGAAAGGAAGCAAACAAAGGGAAAACGTTTCGTCGCAGACGTCCGATCATCATATCGACGAGCGACCGTGCGGCCCGCATCCCGGCGGCAAAAACCACACAGGCTACGCAAAGTGTGCCATTGGAGGATGCGCCAAATGTGTCGCGCTCATTAGAGAAAGCGATTGGTGTTAGTTGCGTCGACAAAGCAAATGTCCGTGCGAACACGCCGCACGTGAGATTCGTGGGCCGCACGTGAGATTCACACGCCGCACGTGAGATTCACACGCCGCACGTGAGATTCACACGCTGCTCGTGAGATTCGCGTGCACTCGTGAGATTTACACGCCGCACGTGAGATTCACACGCCGCTCGTGAGATTCACGCGCCGCTCGTGAGATTCGCGTGCACTCGTGAGATTCACGCGCCACTCGTGAGATTCACGCGTCGCTCGTGAGATTCACACACCACACGTGAGATTCACGCGCCGCACGTGAGATTCACATGCCGCACGTGAGATTGACGCGCCACTCGTGAGATTCGCACGCCACTCGTGAGATTCGCGTGCCGCTCGTGAGATTCACGCGCCGCACGTGAGATTCACGCGCCACTCGTGAGATTCACGTGCCGCTCGTGAGATTCACACGCCGCACGTGAGATTCACACGCCGCACGTGAGATTCACACGCCGCACGTGAGATTCGCACGCCACTCATGAGATTCGCGTGCACTTGTGAGATTCACACGCCGCACGTGAGATTCACACACCGCACGTGAGATTCACACGCCGCACGTGAGATTAACGCGCCGCACGTGAGATTCACACACTGCGATTCGCATGCTGCATGTGAGCTTCACGCACCGCACGTCCAGAGAACATGGGGGCGCGGTGAGTATTTATTTGACCGAGAAGCGGCAATGGCTGGCAATGTCAAGAGGAGCTGGGCAAGGCGATGATGATTCTATCACATCTCGGCTTGCATTTGTATGTCACAGTCCTATCAGAGAGGAGGTGGACACTTCTTCTGGTCACCTTGTAGACCACACCTACAACACCTGACAAGCCCTGGCAGTCACCAATTCAAGTACGAATCTTCAGACTCAACCCTGCTAAGCTTCCGAGATTTGATGAGTGTATCCAAGGGGACTTGGTTGTAGTATTTAACTCTCGTTTTTATCGTATTGTAAGGCAGAGCTCGTGTAATGCTTGTATGAATTAGATATCGTTTGAAAGAGGACATAGCTGCGTAGCACAGGGAACTAGCACCATGTAAGAGCACCTCCGATTAGCACGGTTGGCTACGTATAGTGTGAAAGAAGTTCACCATACATACGTGAGATCTTGAGGTCGAGCCTGGGTTTGAACCATCCCGTGATTAAACTGAGCTGTCAAGCGTAGGGATCTCATTTCTCAATCTGAAATATAAGATCTTTTTGAAATGCAGGTTGTGCCTTCCTTTTATCTGAGAGATGTGAGACAGCACAAATCCGTTGATAAATCTCATCGAAGCATTGTGACCGGAGGTGGCTGGGTGGCTCAGGGGTCATAGGGCACTTGAGCCGGCACCGATGAGAGACTGGGGTTCGAATGCTGGGGCTTCGACCGCCCACCATCGACTCTGGCAAATTCTCAGCTCGGTCGCCAATGACTTGCAAAGAGAAGAAGTCGCATTTTGAGAATGAACACAATTTTCAGGATATAATGTGTACTAATCGTGACGTTTGGTTCTATACAGCATCGTTTATGCAAATTGCATCTTACAATCGCTGAGGAACCACAGACAAGCTGGAGGCAGCCAGGCAGTGAGCCGGTGCAAACGTGTGGTGTTTATATGGGAAATTATTTACGGGCTGTGCGCAGCGCCCCTGTGACCTGCTCATCAGGAGCGCGGGAAAACAGCAGAGGGGCTTCACGAGCGTGGCGGCAGCCGACATGAAAGACAGACGGACAAGGAGCGCGAATCAAGGGAGATGGCGACAGCGGTTATGTAAGGCCATCAAAAAACGTCCAATTACATTTCTGAGCACAGCTTCGCCACTCTCTCATGAAAGTTTACATCTTTCACGTGGCAGCAGAGCCGAACAGTAGTTTTGTGGCACTTCCCTTTGCTTTGTCGTCATAAAATCGGTGGCGATTGATTTTGCATTCGAGCGGCGTTTTACGTAAACGCGAAGAAGTTCTCCAGCAAGTGGGCCTCGTGCCAAACGCACGGTGACTTTGTAAAGCAATCCGTGGAAATATTCACCTACCCACTGCTCATGCGCGTTGTTTTTCACGGTATGTGGATTCACGGCATGGGCGGAGTGACACCGCAATTTCGTCGTGCCCAGTTGAATTTATCCACTGAGCGACCGATGTATTTCTGAGACAATTGACAAAGGATGCAGCTGGAAATACCTGTAAACGTATGGTTGTGGGAATCTTGCAGACTATCATGGCAGCAATTTGAGAACTTTCAATGATTTTTTAGGGTGACATTCATAAACTATCATCTCTGCATCAGATGCACTGTATAGGCATGTCATTTAAACTATATCAGTTGTGACCATGTGATACAAATCACCTGGAATGCACCTGCACTCATAAGCTCTCATCAGCTAAGCAGGCTTGAGCCTGGATAGTGCCTGGATCGGTGACCACCATTGCACAAACAGGTTGCCACGGGCTCACAGGGCCTACGCGGTCGCCAGTAGAGGCCAGAGCAGCAAATTGAATTCCCTATCCGTGCTCCCCGCCTTCGTCAACCCGCACTGACCAGCGTGGTGAAGTACGGTCCAATCCCCCCCACAAACCTCACGACGTGGGGAGGGCGGGCCTTATCGACAAAAATGGGCGTTACATGTACTTAAATATAGATGAACACACGAAGGAATACACTCTTTTTTTGGTGTGCAGAACCTGCCCAGTAAAGATGTGCATGTGGTAGGAACCGTTAGACCAATGTTGGCCGAAGCTTGGTCAAAAGTTGGCCCAATATTGGCCGAACGTTCCATGTTTATTCAGTGCCTTGGTGATGCTGTGGTCCGAGCACTAGACCCACAGTGTTATAAAGCTGCAATCTTCGTGGCAATTCCAATTAGAGCTTGTTCTATGTAAAGGACTTGGCCCCCCATCATAGGAATGTAGAATTACCATCGCTGGCTCATGGCCCCCCAATGAAGATAAGCATCGCTCCGTCACTCACTCGGGTTGGGGACGGCTTTGACGTTTGAGTTACCAGCAACGGCGCTTGTACGGGAAAAAGTGAAACATTAACACGTAAAAAAGAAATCACTCTTGCCTCGTCCGTGTGAAAATATAGTTCATGAAGTGAATCCATTAAATTGACCACTTCCAGTGTTTGGTGCGGAGATGTGCATCGTCGGCTTGGGAAAAATGTCCGCGTGTGCAACCGCGCGGACATTACGCTCCCACGCTACTCCTCTACGCCCATCACCATCATTAATCATTTCCGATTCGCTGTTGGATGAATGCCTTTCCGCGTTGACACAACGGACCACGATCCCTTGCAGTTGCGATCCATCCTCCCTCCCTCCCCGCACGCCCTAATTACTCTCATCCTTCCCCCCATCCCATTTCCACGTTTGTGTTGCCCGTACAGTACATCCGAGCTTCGGCGCAGTACACCGCGCGCCCGTTTCCCTTTCCCTGCAGCTAACGGCCGTGTTATGTTTGTACGGGCGAATCCTCGTAGCCGAAGGCCAACATTAAGCCAAAAGCGGTTTAAGCCGAATAAATCTCGCGATCGCACGTCATCATGCGTAGGGAGCCACCGCGGTGTGACGGTTAGCGCAGTGGGGACTTGCAGGCCAGAGGGTCGTCAGTTCAGCCACCTGGCGTGGCAGGTGACGACAAGGGGGACAACAAGAGTGCCACGATTTTTGTAATTCCCCCACCTATGTCCACCCAGAAGCATAAACGGGTTCACCACATTATTACAATAAAAAATCAGTTGCTCTTGAGTTCAAGCGTGTAGGTATAACGCGTTTTATAAAACCCAAACCCTCCACCACCCGACACAGCCAATCAAAGTAAATTGTCACGTGAGAAAACATTCTAATTGATTTGGGTTTTCAGCAATGCGGAATGCTGAATCGCAAAAGCCAATGTTTCTCGACTTTTCTACATTAATTGGTTTCTGCTCAATTTTGTACAAAAATGTATTGCTTCCTTGACATTTCAATTTGTTGAAGAAATTGGCACATTTGCCCACGTGACGACTTACTTTGATTGGCTCTGTCTGACCCATAACAAAGCAATTGTGGGTTTCACCACAGTTAGTCGAGTGGCAGGCTGCGTGCAGCGGGGTGCAGTGTGGGTACGCCCACCTCTTCCAAGACGTCAGGCCAGCGTAGGCCAAAAGACTCTTTAGTGGGGCTCTCCAGAGGTCCGGAGAGTGGAGGCCCCTTCTAGCAGCAGTGGCATTGGCGAGAAGTTTCAGGGGGGCTGCTCCTTCACCACTTCGTGTATTCACGTGTCTGCTTGTGTTGCCTGTGTGCACCTGTGCTGCTTTTACAGGCGTTACTTACGAAAAACTAAACTACACTCTTTTTATTTTACCAGGTAAGGCCCACTGAGCTATTTAGCTCTTTTTCAGTAGCGACCTGGCTATCACAAATGATAGCCCAGTGAAGTGGCTCATAATGTGTACATTTATAGAGCCAAAAACTCTAAACGCATGTTTTTTTTCAATGTGGAGGGAAAAATCAGAGGGCCTGGAGAAAAATCCAGGCGACCACGGGGAGAGACATGAAAACTACAAATATACAGGCGTTGGGGCCGGGATCGAACCCACAACTTCCTGTATACCAGGCGAGGTAGTTAACATCTCCTAGCCATTACAGGACCCGTTGGGTGTGTAAGTGTGTGCATGTGTGCTTGCATGCTTCACTTCAGTAATCCCAGATGAGAGTGAAGCTACCGTTGATGAAATAAATGCATGCATGTGTGTCTTCTTGCCTGGCTGCGTGATTTACTCACCTCAGTTGGATATAAGCGTGGAGAAACTGCCCATACAAATGCATGTATGTCGAAGGGTCTAAATGTGTGTGTACGCGCATGCGTGTGTGTGTGGGAGCGGTAGTGCCACAGTTAGCGCGCTGTGCTGTTAAGGCTATATGGGGGATCTTTGTATTTGTCTTTTGTGTGTGTATGGGGAGCGGTAGTGCAGTGTAAAGTGCAATGCTCTACAAACCTGGTGACCCGAATTTTATTTCTGCTCACAACCAACAATGGTGATATCTGACCGAGTTGTGGGCTTCCCCTAGGTGGACTCAGGCTTAATTGAGGAACTGGTGTGCTGTATAAGCATCAGCATTGGGAAGATAAAGGCACCCGTGTGTGATGCTGGCCACCCAGCCCCTCGTGTGCTGTGCCGGTTTTAATAAATGTTCGCAAAACAGCACTTGCCCAAACAGTCTGTTGAAGGCTATATGGGCCGTCTTTGTCACTTCTCTTTGTATGCAAGGTCGTACAGTGGGTGACATGCTGCACTAGGTATAGCTGAGTGTGCGTATGGTCGAATGTGCTTGTGTGTGGATGTTGAACTTCTCTCGCACCGTACGTAGCCAACCGCGCTAATCGGAGGTACAGGGGAAGGACCACAAACTAAACACAAAAAGCAATTCTGAGAAAACGAGTTTTTTATCTACATTTCAAGGTGCATAGCTCTAGTGGCTTCCTAATATCGGAAGGAAGAGCATTCCAGACGGCCGCAGAAGAGCATCTGAAAGCCCACAATGCGGTGGCCGTCTTTGTTCAGTGGCTCGCGAAAAGCCGCTGCCAGGATGCCCGAGAGTTAGCGTGATGAAATTAGCAAGGTATAGTGGTTCAACTGTGTGCAATAACTTTGCGTGTGATGGGTGCGACCTTGTCACGTATTCGTCGAGCACTGGACAGACACGGTCGAGTGTGTGCGTACGTGTGCGTGCGTGCCGCCCTCACCCCGGTTCAGAGTGGAGCTGCTGTTGATGTCCCCGGAGATGAAGGAGGACTCGGTCTGCTTGCGTACCGTGTCATTCCACATCCTCCGAATGCGGCTCTACACCGCACGCAACCATCACCGCGCGTCAGCAGTCGCCCTCGGCCCGCGACTCCGCGCTCCGCTCAATGACACACGCGCTCTGTTTTGTCTCGCCAGAAGGACACTTCTATACATGTGAACCATTAAACCAATCCCATAATACTATTTACAAAATACACATTTGGACTCGGGCAGTCGCGTCTACGTGCGACTACGTCTCAAGGTGATGTGTCCAAAGCCGTGGACATTTTATTTGTATACAGTTGAGGTTAGATAAATATGTGTTGAGCCTGATGAGCAGATGGTAATGATTTGACATCGCTGATGTCGAATCTATGGAGCGTTAGACATCCTTTCATCATGACTCAAATCGCAACATGCAATTTTCAGGGTTGCGTAAGACACAGCGTGCCTCCGTGCCTTAGCAGTGTTTCTAGGTCCACATTTGCCGGTGTGGTCTTCGGTTAAGGCCACGTGTTGAGCAGTTGGCTGCCTAAGCTGCAAGACCTTGGATCTTGAGTATATCCAAAAATGTACGTGCTAAATTCCACATTTCTAGTGCCGGAACAAGTCTCTCCGGATAGAGCACCCAATGGCGCCCTCCGCACAAAGCGGAAGTGCAGGGACGCTTGGCCAATTCGACCCTCGACCAGAATTTAATCTCAAGTCACTTCTGATCGAGGGTCACGTGCTCATCCACAGCACCACCCGGATGGATTGGGCGCACCACGGGCACGGGGTATAACCACGCGTGTGACCTCGTGGGTGGCCTTGCGAGGAAGCGTTCGCACACGTGTGTACACACGCGTACAAAGACAAAGATCCCCCTTGCATAGCCTAAACAGATTCTTGGGGCAAGTGCTGTTAGCGAGTAGCGCCTATCAAGGCGCCAGCACCACCCCCGACCGCCTTTGTCCCCCTCGTGGCGTTGTTTACACACCGCACTGGGGACGGACCTGCGAGTTTGGCGAGTAGCGTGTGCTGTTCCTGGAGTTGGTGTTCTTGCTCGAGTTGTAGGAAGAGTCTCCACCCCATCCCCCGCAGCAGTCCGAGTGGCGGAGGCACTTGCTGTACTCCTTGCGCACCTGTGGGCACAGCACGGCCAGCTGTTGTTTAGAGCCCACGGCACGGACCGGTGGGGCTCCACACGTGAAGACATCGTCCCCCCACAGCTCTCCGATGCGTTTGCCGGTTGTGCCCGCGCGTGTTGTTCGTCGGTTGTGCAGGCGCGTTGTTCGCCACGGGAGCTCTCAGTTCCCCGGGAGACGCTCCCGGCGCATGCAGCGAAACATTGTCGAAAAAAAACGCGCATGCACGGCACAATCCGAAAAAAACAAAAGCGAAGAGCGCAGGTGCGGAAACGTACGCAGTAGGAGGTCCCATTAGTCAGCCCTGCCATTCGCAAGGCAGTAGGTGCGCAAGAGCCTAGGGCAGTGAGCAAGGTGCGGTTATGGATCGCAGGGACAGGTTTACGAGTTAACACGTCGGGCCAACACAATTGTTTTAATTTCACGCGATGTTTATGATCCGTAATTCTTTTAAGCGAAGCACGCGCTTTCGCGCGTTTCACACTCAACTGGTTACTTGGGTCGCTTTAAACCTAGGCCAAATCAGATCGCGATACAGACGAGTGCTAAACTCCGTATACGCGAGGTCATATCTACCCGAAAAGAACACCGAAGCAGATTAAACGGGAGCGCGTCCAAACATCAACCATCGGGAAGAGCGGCTTCGACAATTACGGTGGCATTTGAAAGGCTCTGGCTTTGGCCTTTTGGGCAGCGACGTGCTCAAAAGAACGAACTGCTCAGTTCGTGGGCACGGCCCCCGCAAGAGTTAAGGCTGGATGCCCCATGCGAACAGCGTGAGCTTGCGCCCGGTGCTGCGATATTAAACAAGCAGATCACAGCTGAGTGCCAGCCGCCCCCAGGGCTCGTGCTAGTGTCAGAATCTCGGTCACGGTCACGCATCCGGCTTCCCAAGAGGCCTCCCGATCCAGCTGTGCCCCGGGCCGTACTCTTAATTAATCTGGCTCTCTCTATACACAGCACAGCATTGGGGAAACAACGGCTGTGTACTCCTGGGGGATTGGTTTTCGTTTTTCTCTCTTCTCCTTGCGCAGGGTAAACACTCACTTCCGTGTGATGCATGGACATCCTTTTTAAACTTTGCTCATCAGTTAAAAAAAATAAGCTTTGACATTGGAGTACAAATGGTGCGACGCGAAAAACAAAAATCTCACCGTTTACATTCGATGGAAAACGACGGTACGGCCACCGGCTACAATGCAACGTGGGGGATATGAAAACCTTTTTAGAAAACGTCTCAATAATCGTACATTTGTCCAAAACCAGCGGCCAGTTTTCTGAGGTCACGCGGTATTTTTTTTTCTTCTCTCTGTTGGCGGCTATCACAGGCATAACAGCGCAGTCATTCAGAGAGGCACAACTGGGTGCAGTTACTATTCTGTGATGGCTCTAATTATCTTCAAGTCGTGACTTTTATGAGAACCGTTGCTCCAAAAATGGCCATTGCCGCAAGCCTGAAGGTTACTCCATCTCGGAGGAAATTACAATGGTTCCGTTAATAACATATTCCCAACACTTAAGACAGAGATGGAACATCACATCCACAGATGGGGAGTAAGTGATGGACTTCCTTTGTGTTGGGGAGCTGTGCATCCTCATTTGGCAGGGCAATGGCAGCCCTGGCACAGAATGACACGTTATATAATTACGGGAAACAGGGATCTTGTCCTTCAAACCTTCAGCACGGCAGCAGGCAAAACACATGTCTGCGTTTATGACGGCCGCCCTTGTGGTTACGATCAAGTGAGGCCTCTGTAAATTTTAATTGTTGGTGAGAGCCCATGCAGAAAAAAAATAAGAGAGACAAGCCAAATATACCCAAGTGAAATTTTTGTCACCTACGAGAATTTTAAAAGGCATCCTGATCAAATCTAAATTACAATCTCCTTTTCATTCTCATAATACGTAATTAATGGGAGAATTTTGTACTCCCATGATTCTGACAGCCTCCGTAGACTGTTGGCACATGAAGCCGTCAAGCGAGAGCCTATGAAACGTCGGCAGAGTGAAACTACCTCCAGGCTTGGCGGAACCAAAGTCCAATGGGCCAAGACCAATCCTTGTCTTCACCTTCTAGTGCTGTTGCCCTACGCCAGGTGCGCTGAAAGTCTCAGCGGAGTCAATCTATAAAGACGCCGGCCTAGATTCATGCTCCACTGGCGTGGATGCGATCTCCGCGTGTGCGTATTCACGTGCTTGTACAGAGTGGTTACCGTGCTTTGGCAAGACTCGAGAATCACCCTGCGCATATGTGACAGCCGTGCTGATAACTGACAAAACCAGTAAAATACATCATAATGTGAAAAGCGAAGGAAGATGTTCATCTCGAATTTACAGCTCTGAGTCTGTGGTGGATATTCCACATTCCTTTGGCAGGACGAGTACAGGAAGAGGACAACTCCCGTCGACTTTTCACAGAGCGGTGATCATTAAATCAGCTCCGGAGTGACGAGGGGACGTTGCCATGACACGTCCACCGTGGAGAGGGAGTGCTGAAATCAGCTCGTGTGCATGCAGGAGACGGGTTGATGCTGCTGCCTACGTCTTTGTAGTCGCGGTGCGCGTTGTTCAGCAGGGTGTCCGACGTTTCGGTCCGCACGCTCCCGGCGGTACAACCCGAGAAAAACATGGAGGAGCTACCCTGGCCGGACTGTTACATCGCAGCGGAGTGGAGAGGCGTTCATCCAGCAGTGTGATTTGATCACGGCTAATGATGATGACGTAACCCACAACCTTCGAACCGCGAGCCACGAAATATACCGCTGAGCCAGCCGGCCATGCAGGGTGTAGACTGCACCGCGAAAAATAATAATATGCCCACCCCCGCTATCCCTAGCCCTATGTTAGAAGGCCACATGGGCTTGGTGAAATGTACTTACAACTCATAGGGCCAACCCACAGCAAACCGAGCTTGTTGCAATGCCAGCCAGATTACCAGCTCTGGGGGGCCAGCAGTTGGTGACCCTCGGTGTGCACCATCCGTGAGAACAGGGCCCCACCGGTGTAATGAGCCAAGGCAGCACGGCTAGGGTTGCCACCTTTGAGATGCGTTAAAAAAAACCGGAACCCACGATGGAGAGAAGAATCTCTGTTCGCAATGCTGGAGCTGGGGAGAGTGACATGCGAGCGCACTGTCTTGAGTGCTGCGTCGTTATTATAATTACCATCGCGCAACTGGCCAACGACAGAAGTTGCGATGTCTCAGGAAGCCTAGCGCATAATTCCAGGACGACTGCCTCCTCAACGGGAGCACGGTCCTGGGAAACCCAGGACAGGTGGCAACCCCAGGTATGGCAGACTCCGTTTCGAGTACCCCCCCTAGCCCACGGCTTGCCAACTCTGAGGCTGGTGCCATGGAATTATTGAACACGTTGCAATTTGTTAATGAGAGCTTTGCACCTCCTTACGTTCAGGTGCTACAGTCAGAGTGACCCTGTGATTAAATGAAGCGTGGGGGAGGGACGGGTGCTAGTCGTTGTTGGTGGCTCTGAGAGGGCGGTGGAAATTGCACATTCCTATGGCAGTTGCCCGTTGATCCACACGACAGACCACCATCATGCAGTGGCTCGAGAAAATAATCGTAGGGCTGCAACTCTGCCCTTGCCACCTCACTGTATGTACAGTAAAGCAGCGAGGGTGATGTTCATTGCTGAAGCATAAAAGGGCGCTTGTAAGAGGCAGACAGACAAAACCAAAGACAAAGATTCCCCGTATAGCCTGACCAGACTGTTGGGGCAAGTGCTGTTAGCGAGCAGCACCTATGAAAGCCGACACTGTGGCACACTATGGGGGTGGGTGGTCAGCACTACGCAAGGCCGCCTTTGTCTCGCTCGTGGTGATGTTTACACACAGGCAGAAAATACTCATTTGAGGCTGAGTCGACCTAAGGCAGGCCCAGGATCGTTTCAGAGAATCATCACTGGTGTTGACCGTGAATGGGAATCAAACCCGGGTCGCCGGGTTCGTAAGGCAGTGCACTAACCACTACAGTACCGCTCCCCGTGGCTGTTTCACAAGAGGGCGCTTGTAAGAGGCAGACAGACACACAAACACAAACCCACACATTGAGCAAGTTCTTTGCATTCCGAATAATTTTCTCTTTTCTGCTGCCAATTTTGATCAAAGGATAATTAGGTTTACATCATAATATGCTTACTCCACTCCTGCCAAACACGTTGAACACAAATGAACGTACCGTATTGATGTAACCGAGAAAAAATATAACGCGTTTCATCATCTCATCGGCCATGATCTACCCACTGCTGCACAAAGGCCTCCTCATGTGCCGCCATCTGTCGTATTATATTGGGTGCCGTGGTGGCAGGATGTTATCTCCCTCGCCTGGTATGCAGGTCGTGGGTTCGATCCTGACCTTGACGCCTGCTGTATATTTGGAGTGTGCGCGTCTCTCTCCCCATCATCGCATGGATTTTTCTCTGGGTCTGCTTTTTTTACCTTCCTCTACATTTATAATCAACATCACGGCCTTTAGAGTATTCGGCTGCTATACATTTCCACATGATAAGGCACTTCCGTTGAGCTTTGGTTTGTGGCCAGGCCATTTCTGAAAAAGAGCTGTATAGCTCAGTGGGCCTTACCTGCTCAAATATTTATATGTATATTATATATGTCAGAATCTGAATTTTTATCTAAACTGGAGGAATCGGATGAGCCATAAAGCTCTTTTTGTGGTATATTGTAATCACACGTTCAAAATATATCTTTCCATTGCTTCGTGTCTGTCCTGTCTAATTTATGACACTGCATTTACTCCATTTGCTAAAATGTAACAACTGCATCCCATTTTCTAATAACATTGCAGTAATAATAGTAATCGGCTCTTTTGTCAAACCACTTCCGAAGTGGGAGACTCCAGGACCAGCTCCCCCTCTCGCTCGCCACTGACGTTAGCCGTGGCCGTCATTCGTTCCGAGCTTTCCAGGTTCACAGAAAGGTGCAATAAACCGCTGTGCCACCGCTCCCCGCACATTTACATATACGACAGCATAGAATTGGAACAAACAATTCTCACACGCACAATTCGATCGGTCGATCGTGAACGTAACAATGGATTTAAAATCAACAAATTATTGTGTGTGCAATAGAGCAAATACGCACGGTGTATATTCTTCATGCAGAATTGTAGCGGGTTACAATCTAATACTCGTGCTCTTTATATGGCCAGTATGTTTGTGGTCTGTGTGTAAATGAGAAATGAAAGCACAATCTTTTACAGATAATGTCAGCCTCCTTCCGTGACAAATGTGGCTTGTGAAATCTGTGTTTAATGAGGCACAGCCCTCCCCAGCTTTCACACAGTGGCACAGAGCGGAGAGTCTGGGAAAACCATAGGTCACGTCGTCAAATAAAGTCACTTCTGCCCACATTCTCTTGAGCGCCGAGCAATATTTCACTTTCATTGTGGGAACGGCGGTCTTAACCCAGTCATGCAAAGTTATCATTGTTCAGGGAAACAGCAGTGTTTCTGTACGCTCCGCACGAATCAAATAAACTGGCTGCATTCACCGCAGTTCTGCACTCCGGGGCTCTCTCTGCTCTGAAGGGGCACATTACCCAAAAATGTGAGCCTACGAGATACGTTCTCGTCTGATGAGTTTCTCACCATTTTCGTAAAGCGTTAGAATTATTTGATATATACTGTTCTGTCCTAAGCCAATGTTCATGGCCGATGTGGCGTGCGGTTTCTTTTTTAATTATCCGTCTTTGCCGCAACGCTGCCAAAAAACAATCCATGCGAAGTTTGTTTGTGATCTGAAAGTACGCGAAGAAATACACGTACATAATGTACCAACGTAATTAGACCGCTATGAACAGCCACTTCACTCTCGTCATGTGTATGCGTGCGTGCACATGTGCACGGACACATCGTACCACGCCAGTGATCATTTAGAAATGTTAAGGTTTCCCTTTTATAGCATCTCAGTGCTTCTTGCACATGTGGGGACTAAAACTAAACTATGTTTTTATTTTAGAAGATAAGGCCCACTAAGCTATATAGCTCTTTTTCAGAAGCTAGGTGGCCACAAATGATAGGTTAACGAAGTAACTTTTCACGTGGAAATGTATAAACGCGTGACGTTGATGGGGGAAAAACCGGAGGACCTGGAGAAACACCCACGTGACCACGGGGAGAACAGGGTCGGGTTTGAAACCACAACCCCCTGCATACCAGGCGAGGTTGTCGACACCTCGCCACCGCAGCACCCTACACTAAAGGCATTCAAGGCAGGGGTCATCGAAGTGAAGGAGGGTAACTGACCCCCGGATTTTTAAATGCCAAATGGTGCACTCCTTCAGTAATCATCCTTTATGGGTCCCATGGTCAATTATCCTTTCATGTAAAACTCTCATCCCATGCACCTAATCTTACCTTTAAACTCAATACTGTCCTGCGACGTTTCAGGCAAAGCACCTGCTTCACGTGCGATTAAGAAGGGCCATTGCCCAAAACGTCGGCCGATTATATATTTGTTCCTGATGAGGCCGCGGCATTATTTTCGACGAGCCTTTTGCACCGCTGCCAAAGCAGCAGAAGCACCAAATTATAAGTTTGATCTTACATTCATTTTCTCACCCATCAGTAAGAAAAAAAAAATACTGCGGAGTTCCTCTTATATGCAGCCCCAAATCCATCTACAAAAATTGCTGTTATGCAGGTCTTTTTTTCCGCGGATAACAGGAATTACGCGAAAAAAGTCAAATCCCATTCTCCGCATTCACGCGTTGGGCGAGGCACAGCCAGAATCAGCCGTCCGTGGGCACTCGACGAACGCCCTCTACGATAGTTTAGTTTATAACCATTGTTGTTGTTGTTATCGTTACCTTCTTCTGCAGGATGCAGTGGAAGATGAAGATGAACATGCCCTGGAAGGAGTTGAAGATGGTGAAGAGGTAGGCCATGACGAGCGTGGCCTTGTCGATGAAGAGCAAACCGAACACCCAGGTGAGACCCAGCAGGCAGAGGAGGGCGATGGCCCCAAGCACCCACGACCTGCCGGACAACAAACGACACCGCGAGCTCAGTGTGACAAGATGCTCGGCACGGCCGCAAGGGTTGCCACCTCTGAGTTAACAAATGCCAAGAAGAATATCTCGCGATACTCAAAGTGGGGGGGACCACACGTAAATGCATCGTCTTGAGTGGCGTATTATTATTATTATTTGAGCAATTCACGTTCAAAAATGATTTTTGTTTGTTTGTTTCATGTCCCAGGACAGCTGTCTCAAAAAGAGGACGATACTGGGAAACCATGACAGATGGCAACCCTAACTGCTATGGTCGGGTAACACACACTAATGTCCAACATCTCCGGCACCACACACACACAGATCACGTTACATTTTAACTTAAAAATAAAATGAGGAAGACATATCATGCATACGCATGGATTCCATGTGGCCTCCGCAGTATTTCGTCAGCGATAACAGCGATCACTCTCAAGTGGGATGGAGGATATCCGTAGGCTGCGATGGCTCGGAGAGCGGCACTGCTGGGGAGTGTGCACGGTCAACCCTTTGATCAGTGCGGCCGGTTTTCTCTACGGGAAGCCCCGAACAGCAACACAACTTTTTGTATAAAGTTTCGAATCACATTGCATCTTCCTTGCAAGAGTTATCGTGCCACCAAGTTTCGGACAGACAGGCAGGCGGACAAACAGGCGGGCGGATGGAGCTAACGCAGTGAATGCTTTCGACCTCAGTTGGAAAGCGTTATAAAACAATAAAGAAGACACCATACGTCAAACGCAAACACTGCAACTACCTTACGCGAGTACACGGCTTTGCAACAATGCCCTTAGAAATGTCTTCCGAGGCACCGCACGCAAGCACTAACCAGCTACAGTTTTGCCATGAGCAAACAAGGAGTATGTGCAGATATAAACGTACGACGAGTGTATTTAACATTGGGGAACTACGAGCAAGCCACGGACACGAAAACAATTTCAGACGCACATCAAAGAGCAGCTGGCCAACGTTAAGATATTCCTCGCGAAGTCTTGGGAGGCCTGCATCACATCTACACGCGGGGATCGATTCACGGTGTCCGTGAACGGTCCATCCCGTCTCATTTCTTTGTTGGTGAAATCGTGTCAATGTCTCCATCACCACCGACAGTGGAGATGTGACAGCTGCCTCGACTCTGCCCACGGTTGACTGTTTCCCCTCTGTGAAGTGTCGTAATTTGGACTTCTACTCTGCCTTTGACTGTCTCTTCTCTCTTTGTGAACGGTCTTCATTTGCACGTCCACAAAAAGTGTCATCTCAATAACCCTCTCCAGTCTTGTAGAATAGTTATCCATCATCATCGCCCTTTACTGACTGAAAAAGAAAATCTTAAAATTGTCAAATGGTCCACGTGCACTCTATATGTGAGGTGTGGTTGCATTAACGGTGCGTCATGAATATAAATTGTATCGTGTATACTGTAAACGACAAAAGGTCAAGGTGCAGCCTTGCAAATACTGCTCTCACCTCTGCTGGCGGACTGGGCCTCCGCTAGATGGAGCTCCTCTCTAGAGAGCCCCTCCAGAGAGCCCCTCTAGAGAGCCCCTCCAGAGAGCCCCTCCAGAGAGCCCCTCTCTAGAGCCCCTCCAGAGAGCCCCTCTAGAGAGCCCCTCTAGAACCCCTCCAGAGAACCCCTCTCTAGAGCCCCTCCAGAGAGCCCCTCTAGAGAGCCCCTCCAGAGAGCCCCTCTAGAGAACCCCTCCAGAGAGCCCCTCCAGAGAGCCCCTCTCTAGAGCCCCTCCAGAGAGCCCCTCTATAGAGCCCCTCTCTAGAGCCCCTCCAGAGAGCCCCTCTAGAGAACCCCTCTAGAGAGTCCCTCCAGAGAGCCCCTCTCGACTCCGCAAGGGGGCTCTAGAGACAGCCTCTCTCAGAGGGTCATGTCGCTCTACTCGTCCACGTGCACCTCTTAAGAGGTGAGTACCCACATTCTACCTCACCACACGTGACCTGCCGACGTATGAACTGTGGCATCACTGGTCCCTACTGCTGGGTGGACAGAGGCGGGTGTGTGTGGGGGGGGTCAGAACATTGCCCGTTGTCTCCACTGCCGCGCCGGGAGATTCAATCGGCGCCCCGCGGGCCGCAAGTGGCGTGCGCCGACCGTTAGAGCCGTGGCAGCACGCCGTGCTTACTCTACAGTGGAGCAAATTGCCAACACGTGATTCTGGGTCTGTGGGGAACTTTCCACGAGCACGACAACATGCTCACATCAGTGCTGCTAATCGCGGACGACGTGAGCTCCACTGCGTGTGTAGACAGGGCGCGCTGCATGCACTGACTGCGGATCTCGTTTAAATGCATCCATTGCTGCTGAACAGCGGCGGCTTCGCTGGTGAACACAACCACAGTGGGTTCTTTTGTTTCAGTTGGGCAACACGAACGTCGTCTAATTGCTGCCACGGCCTCTACGATTCTAACGTTCTATCCATGCTCTACGTTCATACAATACCAAAAGGCAAAACCATCTTCAAAACTCAATACAAACTCATTTATACGCGGAGACAGAAATAAGTTCCGCTTACACCGTAATCTCTAGATTATAAGACGCATTTCCCCCCTGTGTTTTACGTGTGTCGTGTAATAGCATCGGCTGGTGGACAGCAGCGGCAGCTGTGGTGGACAGACAGCACCCACGCCGGTGAGGGCGTGAGCACGGCGTGTGGGCAGAGCGGAGGAACTGGGGCAAGGGTCACGGAGGACCCCGTCTGGAGGCCCCTGGAACCTGCTGCTAGGGGGTTCGAGAAGGGAGGCGCGGTCAGGGCGGGGCCAGGCCGCGCCAGGAGCATAAAAGGAGCCGAGAGCGCGGGGCTCGCGGCTGCCGGTTCTGGGAGTGGACTCGTCTCGTCGTCGCTGAACGTCTCCGCTAGACGTTACGCTACGAAGGAGAGCAGTTGGCTATCTCAGTCAGCGCCGTCAGTGTTAGACGGCCGGTGTCGTGTACAGGCTGGGCTGAGCTACTGGGGAGAGTGAGTGGACGAGACCGTGAAAGTTATTCATGAAGAAAGTGCCTCCTAGAAACTATGTCTCTGAATGCTAGATTTGAAGCTTTTGTGACTGCAAGGATCCATACTCTTTGGTTCTATTCGGTAAAGTCACGTAGGTAAAAATAAAATAACAAAAAATCAGGACGTTTCGGCCACATGTACTGGACCGTGCCGGTCCAGTACATATTTTTATGCTAATTCCTTTGTCAAGGCGTTTTTTTGTTTCCTCCCACACAGCTTAAATGACGCGACCTGGGCTTGCTGTCTTCACTCCAACGCTGTCCTCTGGACAGTCCAGTCCCTTCACCTGATGAAGGCCACTTGTGTTGTGGCCGAAACGTCATGATTTTTTGTTATTTTATTTTTACCTACGTGACTTTACCGAATAGAACCAAAGAGTATGTCTCTGAATCGTTGACACTACACATCTAAAGTTGGGGCTGCGTCTTATAATCCTATTGGTATGTGTCTGTGTGACCAAATTTGTTTAGCTTTATTGACACCGGGGACAAGTTTGCAGTGCGTCTTACTTTGAAAAGTGTCTTATCCAAATAATACGGTATGCGCTTGAAATTATAGATGGGCACACGTCTGCCCTATTTGGACAACTGGGCACTGAACCCTGCAATCTGCAAAGCGAATGTGAAATGCTACATTATCCATCTGCGCCAACGCATATGCACGCATGCTGTCCCATCCTTACCATCCTTACTCTGCCATTTGACGTGAACAATGCACGGCCGCGTATTGGCATTAGCATTAAGCAGTCTGCTGCTTGCTTTGAGGCCCTCTTTATGGTGATGGCATTAAGTGCACAACGTGTGGCTGCTTACTCGGCATGTAAATGTTTGTAAGGGGCCCGGTGAGACTCATGAATATCCAAACGAGTGCGCGGGACAATAGACTCAACAAGTCGCCTTCAGGCAACGAGACAAGATATATCGGAGCCAAACGAATATAATAAAAAATGCGATTGCAACCTTGGTTTTACAAAGCGCAGAGAGCTGTACACATGGACATGCCTGCATGGAGCGTTTGAAGAGGCGTATGATATTTTGTATTTGTTTAATTAAACTATGGGTAGAAGGGTGGAAATTGTAGGGCCTTGAGAGGAAACAAGCGATGGCGTTGTGGTGGAATGTGGATGAAGGCACTTGATAGAAGGCAGTGGATTATGTATTTTGTTGACGCGGAGAGTCAGATATATGAAGGTTAAATATTTAGTTGGTTATCTATTTTGTTCCTTATAAGCTCCACAACGCCACTAATGTTTACGATGTATGCTTTAGTGAGGCAGACATGGGCACATAACATGGAGGAGGCCTTGGGCTTTGACTTAACAGGAAGGAAAGCCTCCTTAGCCGTGGGAGCAGCGACTGAGAACGTTTTGACTGAAAAGGCTCACGAAGGACTTAATATAAATGTTTTTTTTTTACATTTTACTTTCACTCGTATTTAAATAAATTTACAGTGCATTAAAAAAAACAATTGGATGACACCAGCAAAAATGTCACATCAACGCAGATTCAATGGAACAGATAAATGCATATCCTCATCGATAATGATGAATCATAGACAGCGATAAAAGTCCTATCTCACACTGTGCTATTTAATGAACACATTTTTATTTTTTTCATTTTGTTTCTCTTCCGGTAGTTTTTTTACGTGCAACTGAACCTGTGAAAATCCAGAGCAGAGAGCGATGCGCTATGAAGAAGAGGCATTGTGCTAAAAAGCGTCACCGATGAGATGGGACATGGTGTTACTTGACGGAGGTGTCGTGGCGTTGTCAGTAAAGCAAATTAGGCGGACGAGCACGGGAATGTGTGCCTCGATAATTGTGGAGTTTATAAACTCTGGAGTATTATTAATTAATTAACCCAAAGTGTTCACCAACGATTTAATTTTGGCCCAACGACTATTTTCATCGTTTATAAACTTATAGACAAAGGTGTACGATTATGTGAGTGAAATTATCCTGTTTCATAAGCAGCAACAACAAAGACCGCCTTCGACCTTAATGTACGTATGTACGTTGAACTTCTTTCGCACTGTACGTGGTCAACCGTGCTAAACGAAGTAGACAGTGAATCGATTCCATCTCAGCAGTAGGTATTTTGTAGGCAAGGCGATGTCCACAGGAAGATGAAATTGTCTTCACTTGGAAAAGTGATGTTTCGGTGTGGAGAAAGTAACGTTTACGGCTTTAAATGTTCACCATTATTGATTCCTGCGCAACCGGAAATATAGTTACGGCTTCACGGACACTCCCAAGCAGTTTTCTATTCTTGTTTCTTTCTGTAAAGTCACGTAGAAGGGAAACTAAATAATAAAATAATAAAAATATTAAACAAAATTCTCATGACGTTTTGACTGCAACACAAGCAATCATCATCAGGTGTGAAAACCACAACAAGAAAATTTCAAATTTGAAATTTGAAAATTTGAAATTTGAAAATTTCTTGTTGTGGTTTTCACACCTGATGATGATTGCTTGTGTTGCAGTCGAAACGTCATGATAATTGTATTGTTTTATATTTTTATTATTTTATTGTTTCCCTTCTACGTGACCTTACCGAAAGAAACAAGAATATGAATCCCTGCAGTCACGAAAGCTTTAAATAAAAATGTAACCCCCAAGCATTGTGAGGTGTTATATTTGCCTAAAACATGATTTTGTTGGACCAGCAATGCAGAGTTTGCCAGTTCGATTCAACCTACTGGAGCAGCAGTAAACATATCGGGCAAGTTTCTTAAATCACATTGGCACTGAATTGTGGGTACATCCCACCTCAGAGATGTCAGACCAGCGTGGAAAAGTAAGGAAAGTAACCTGTTGTTGTTGGGAGGACATTCTTGTTGTTGTTGGGAGGACATTCTGTTGTTGTTGTTGGGAGGACATTCTTGTTGTTGGGAGGACACTCTTGTTGTTGTTGGGAGGACATTCTTGTTGTTGTTGGGAGGACATTCTTGTTGTTGTTGTTGTTGGGAGGACATTCTTGTTGTTGTTGGGAGGACACTCTTGTTGTTGTTGGGAGGACACTCTTGTTGTTGTTGGGAGGACATTCTTGTTGTTGTTGGGAGGACATTCTTGTTGTTGTTTTTGGGAGGACATTATTGTTGTTGTTTTTGGGAGGACACTCTTGTTGTTGGGAGGACACTCTTGTTGTTGTTGGGAGGACACTCTTGTTGTTGTTGGGAGGACATTCTTGTTGTTGTTGTTGGGAGGACACTCTTGTTGTTGGGAGGACACTCTTGTTGTTGGGAGGACATTCTTGTTGTTGGGAGGACATTCTTGTTATTGTTGTTGGGAGGACATTCTTGTTGTTGTTTTTGGGAGGACACTCTTGTTGTTGTTGTTGTTTTTGGGAGGACATTCTTGTTGTTGTTGTTGTTTTTGGGAGGACATTCTTGTTGTTGTTGTTGGGAGGACATTCTTGTTGTTGTTTTTGGGAGGACACTCTTGTTGTTGTTGTTTTTGGGAGGACATTCTTGTTGTTGTTGTTGGGAGGACATTCTTGTTGTTGGGAGGACATTCTTGTTGTTGGGAGGACACTCTTGTTGTTGTTGTTGGGAGGACATTCTTGTTGTTGGGAGGACATTCTTCTTGTTGCTGGGGGGGACATTCTTGATCTCCCTCACCTGGAGGCCCTTTGGCCACCATTGGCGTGAGCAGGGGCTTTATCCTTCAAACAACTGGAACTCGTGGTTCACAAAGTCGACCTAGGGTGGCATGCAGCTTTGAACACAGACTGGCACTGTGAGCGACTCTGCTGCACAGCCGGGGGGGGGGGGGGGGAATTTAATTTCACAAAGGGAAAAAAGACCTCAACAGAATACACATTTCACGGTGGGCGCTGTTGTTAATTATTGAAGCGCTGTGGTCACAGTCGCTGAGATTTGTGACAACTGCCCGCGAGCTGACGGGGACTGCAAGGCTCGAGTCTCTTCGCGGGGACGAGTAATGCGACTGCTGCGGTGGAATTCCCCGCAGTGCTCTGCCTGCACCGCGGGTCTCATTAGGAGGCAATTTGCATGCCGAACCAAAATTGATGGCAGTAAATTCCGCCGGCGCTAACTGTAACGTGAACTGCAAGCTGGCGCGCTCGCACGCCTCGCTCCGCGTGTACGAGAGGAGCGGGGCACGAGAAGCCTTTCTACTCCCCCCATTTCTCTTTTGCGCGGGGAAAAAAAAAGCCATTCAATAGAAATAAACTCTTAAAATCCTTTCCAATATGTCGGCGCGGAGGATACGTCCTCATGAAGCGAAACACATCGCCGCTCCACCGAAGCGAGATGCGTTCGACCGTCGGCCGCGCAAATCGCCAAAAAATGGAGGAGCGAGAATCTTCGCGGCAGCGATGAACCTCCGCTTGTCCGCCAGTGTTGGCGAACCAGTCGTTGACTGTCCCCGCGTAGCGCTATACTTTCTTTGTTTAATAATCAATTGCATAAATGTTTCCTTCTCCAGTTTTATTTTTCCCCCGATGCGTTAATTCCATCAGCTGTGTTCACATCCAGCCGCCAGCTGTGCCTGGTAATGGCTGTTGTTGAATGCACACTGTGCACTTCACATCTCTCTCTCTCGCACGCACGCACATTATTAATCGATTCTCTTCGTGGAAAAAAAGTGCCCTTCTGGATGCTCGTTAGGGGAGGGTGGCTGCATTTAGTGGCTGCAAATTGGTGCCGAGTTGCGCGCATCACGTCACGAGGTTCAACAACAGAACTCGGAACGTCCGGCTTGTGGCACAGCGCACGCAGCGCGTTGGTGTGGAAGCGTCTTTCTAAGAAAAGCGTGGAAGCCAAAATGTACAGTTTTCTCCCTTTGCACTGAAAACAAAATAATCGCACCGCATGCCAAGATACACACACTGTAGGTCTATACAATAAAGCAAACCCGCACGATTCACATAATCTATACGGTCGGTCGACGGCGTTTGGAAAGGATACACAACGTAGCCATGTTAACCATGCAATCGGTCAATCAAATTGTGACGATCCAAAGCTGGAGGGGAACGTTCATTTTAACATCAATTACAATCGGTAAAGATAAAGGCACAGTCCTGCGATTGCTTGCACACGCCACTGCCGGCAGAAGGAGCTTCAGATAGCACCTCTAGAGGGTACTGTGTCTGGGCTACTCTTCCACACTGGTTTGACTTGGAATAGGGGGGAGTAGCCACACTTTACCCTACCGATCGCCAAGTGAGGTGGGACTCATTGGTACTGCTGGGTGGACCGGTGCGGCGAGGGGGAGTGGTATGCTGCCACGGCAGCAGCATCGCGAACTCGTTTATCAAAATGTAGCGTGACCAGTCACATTGACCAGGGTGAGATCACCCTCCTCCACCGTCTGCCATTTAGTAGCAACTCTGTGCACATGTCCAGACCTTTTGGCAATCCACTGCTGGATGAAGGCCTCCCCGCGCCCCTTGTAAGTCGTGGTGGTTATCTGAACATACTTCACGACGCCGGTCAGTTGTGGGATTAGTGATGGCAGAGAGTGCAGTCGAAGATGTACAGAAATGTAACACAACAATCGGTTCTGCTGCGATGCCCTCTGCTCCTGAGCTTTTTGCACAGAAGGCCTGCGACCCCTGCTTCATGCGATAACAGTTACCCATCCAAGCACTTTCCAGGCTCAAGCCTGCTTAGCTTCTCAGATTGGCCACATTCTTGGTGCTTTAGTCACAGGCAGCAACAGCGTGCAGTGAGTGTTAAAAAAAAGTAAGACTCTCACAAAGTCAAGAATGAAGATTCAAACATCTGTGTTTTGTGTGTACAGACAAATGTGGTGGTGAGGATGACTAAATAATTGAAAGCACGTTTTTGTTTGATGAGCCCATCAACATTAAAATGAAACAACAACAACAGCTTCAAATAATGATCCGACCGCGTTTGATACACAACGCGTGCATAAGTGAGATGCAATGTTGTACAACACACCTGTGTCAAAGCTACCCCCAAGGCACGACCGGGGCAAAGTTGACGAAGTTCCGTCAACATGACGCCTCCGAGGCCGCTCACCGACAAATTAATGTATTGGGCATTACTGGTGGCATATCACGACGCTGGCATACTTACCCGAGGCGAGACGACACGACGGCAATGAGAGGACACACGCACGGCGGACGCCGGTTGAACAACACACGGAGCGTGTGCGTGTGGCTCTCCCGCAACCGTTGCTCATGCGGCTTTTTTTCCCCAAGGCTACGATGTCAGTCGATCAGATGCAGTAATAATTTGGGCGTCGGATGCTACATTCATTTTTCACACCGGTTGATAAGTGAATGTCACTCGTGGCTCAGAACCCGAGCTCAGGGGTCCCTCCATCCTATCAGAGAGGGATCGCCAGCGGCTATGGACAAATGGGGACGTGAGCGCAAAAGCTGTGCGTAGGGATGGGGCTTCCGTTTTTGACATTTCCCCCTTCCCTCCCCATGTCCTGCGCCACCCGTAGAGGCGGGCAACCCGGGACAACGCAGACACGCACCGTTTTTAGCCAGAACACATTCGTCATGTCACCTCATGGCAAGAAGAAGAAAAGAGAGAAGGGGGCTTGAGGATTTCCATCCGTCAATTGAATAAAAAGATTGTCGCTTTTGGTCACAGCAGATTCGGTAATGGCCTCTGCAGACATTGAGGACGGCCCATTCGCACTTCAAAGTGAATGCGTAACGTATATCTGGCTAAAAACCGCTCTTGGGGAATAACGTCACACCGAGGAGAGCGGAGTGGCAGCAAGTCACAGTGGACACGAAGCATGGGGAGGGGACTGGGCACTGCATGCAACAAGCACACTGACCACCCACAACAACCACGACGACAATGGACTCCCTTACTTGACAAACTCTTTGCTTTCCTGATAGCTGCTCGAACAAGCGGAACAAAAACGGATGGGAAGAGAATACACATTATAGACATGCACACAGCCCAACATCAGTTTCAGTCGTTACACTAAATTCGTTTTCTTTATGTTACACACTCAAGAGCGGTGGTACGACCACGCAGTCTAGCTTCATACAGTCTTCACTCTGACATAATTTATTACGTGTTTTTTTCCCCGTCGGCTGAGCACTACAAAATACGCGAGCCGTTAAATGTAATGTTCCACGGGAATTTGCGCGATGAAGTAAAAAAAGGTCTTTATCATAAACGTTAATTTCAAACAAAAAAAATAAAAGCCCGTCAATTTTAAGTCCTTCACGAACCGTGGGCGAGCATTTTAAATTGAAGGTTGTACGGAATTAAACAATTTGTCTATGTAGCGATTGATCTTGGATTGGCATCCAAGGACAAATCACCGAGCAAAGGCGAAGTATCACGCAAGTGAGAAACAAGCACAAGTCAGACCAAAGGGCCGTCGTGCTTGTAAACTTGTAAACACGTGCCCGTTGTAATTAATGTCCTTGCGTCTTCGCGCCTCAAGTTTCCTAAACGTGCACTCCTGCGAATGCGCAGGGAAAACAAATCAACAATCACGAGGTAGCAATCGGATGCACTCACTGCTAGAAACTGCTGAGACGAACATTTGTGTAATGCACGTCTGCCCATTGCCTAAAATCGCAGTGGTTTTTTACCTGGTTGACATTATCATTATATAGACATGCCATCCTCCAAAGGGCATCCTGACATGACAGCCGTGGGAAAGCGAACTGAGTTTCTCTCGAGTTGAATACGTCCGTTTATTGTGGATCGCAGGATTGGCAAGTTTCCTTTGACAAGCCACGGTGAAGAGTCTCCGTACGAGTACTTTGAAAGGCGTGCATTGCTACAAGAGCAAACATGCTGCAACCTGAAATCACGAATGAATAATTGGCACACACCTTGACATCAAGGCTTTGAAAAAATATTACGCAAATAGAGGACTCTACTGGTAGTGGGAACCTTATAACAAATGTAATACGTGTGGCAGCCTCATATGTCTGGTGACAGCAAAAGGATCATGGCACAAAATGTTTGCGTAGGATATTAATGATTTGAATAACGTTGTTCATGAGTTCTGTGGCGAAGGTTTTGTTGTTGTTGATTACAATAATGGATCGAATTTAATTAAATTACAAAGGAATTTATACATCTCTTGTCTTTTAAGATGGCAGGATGTTAAGGTAAATAAATACACAACTATTCAGTTTCAAGGTTTAATTTTCAAAAAGTATGTTTTTTTTAAGTTATCTATGTGCTAATACTCGTGGGAGACATTGAACGAGAGTGTCTATTAAATCCTTCAATCAAATATTCGGTGAAATAGGACCTACCGGGGCTGTATGTCAAATAAAACAGCAGCTGTGAAATTAAATAAAACAAATATTTTAAGCAAGGGCGAAGGTCGTGGAGTATAAATCAGTGATTAGCGCCTAAAGTGGGCCCCAGAGCACACCTAATAATCATATCCAATAAACAAAAAAATAAAAAAATGTCCCATTAACAACATTTCTGCGCGCAACCAAACTGTTCCGTGCATTCGAGCAGACGCCCCCCGCCTCTCAACGGGAATGAGAGGTAAGCTGGGGGCTGACAGGCAGGGCACCACGGTAACACGGGGGAAGAAGCTTACCCTGGCAAATCCGTGTTATAGAATCCATCACAGACAGGGTGACTGGAGGCACAGCGAGTAACACAGACACAGCTTCAGGTTAGCCGGGCCAGAAGGTCACATGCCAGACATCCGAATGACCGGGAGCGTTATGTATGCGTGACGGCGGCAAACACAGAAGACGCGGCGCCATGGAAATCGCACGTTCCGCAAAAACCGTTTTCCGCAATCCTATTCCATTTTCCCCTCCTTTTTGCGGGGCGCCCCGCGTGCCACGTGTCACACCGGTCCGAGGTACCGCGCACCGGTGAGACGCGTGCCATGCACCACACCGGTGCGTGGCACGCGTCACACTGTTGAGACGTGTGCCACGTGTCACACTAGTAAGACGCGTGCCACGTGTCACACCGGTCCGAGGTACCGCGTGCCAGTGAGACGTTTGCCATGCGTCTCACCGGTGCGTGGTACCGCAGCGTACGTAGCCAACCGTGCTAATCGGAGGTGCGGGGAAGGACAACAAACTAAACACAAAAAGCAGTTATAAAGAAATTAGTTTTCAATTAGATTTAAAAGTGTATAGCTCTAGTGGCTTCCTAATATCGGAGAGGAGAGCGTCCCAGATGGCCGGAGAAGCGCATCGATGGCCAGCCAAAATCCACTTCGAGGATGACCGGAGTTAGTGCGATGGTTTATGCTCCTTGACGAGATCAGCAAGGCATTGTAGTTCATTTGTGGCAAGCACTTTGCGTGTAATGAGTGCGATCTCATAATGTATTCGTTTGGCAACCGGAGGGCCAGTGCAGCTCGGCGAGCACTGGACGGCACGGTCGGATCTTCGGAAAGATGTTTAATGGATTACCCAAATTAGTCTGCGACAGCACGGCGTGAGTGTTTTTTTTTTACTCTCGCCGTTTTTTACACAAATAGACTCCACTTACGTGTGGGTCCTACTCAGCTCTGAAATTACTCTGGTGGGGAGCGTGAGACCCTCGGAGTTAACATCGATCCCGAGCTCTCGTTCCCTTCCCACAGATCTCAGAATCTTCATTCAGAATCTTTATTTATCCGGGTGAAATCCGAAAAGCTCTGAAGCAATTTTTCACAGATATGCAGCAGTAGCTTCACTCTGCAGGACCTCACACCTCCATCTGCGCAACACCTACCACAAACATCATCGTATCCTTACCCCAGCTGCCAACGAGACCATTGTTCATTATTCTGTGGCATCATTCTATTCTGTCAACGTTTTTTGTTGTTGTTACAATGTTAAGCACCTTGACTGAAGGCGCTCTAGAAATATGAAATTAGATGAGATCACAACTCGACTACCGAACCTCTATCCTCTATGGCCTTCCCACGATCCCTGATCTTCAGAGCCCAAATTATCCAAAATATCGATGCCGGACTGCTCACCCACAACCATAAATGTGGCCACGTCACCCCAATACTCCAGTACGTTCACCGATACATTTCAATGTTGAAATCACAACCATCAAGATCCTTCATGGACTCGCCCCTGCTAAGCTGTTGACTCTCATCTCACTCTACTCCTCTTCACATGCTCTCTGTTCCTGCAACCAAGATCTCTGTCAGAGCCCCCAGTCGATCTCTGCTTTCCAGAGGATGCTCATTCTTCTCCGCTACACTGTGGGTCTGGAACTCCCTTCCCCAAGCCATCCTTGCTGTCAACTTCCTGCTCCTGTTCAAGTCCAGACTTAAGACTTTCCCCCCCTCCTCTGCCTGTGACTGACTCTTCCGCTTTCTAAAACAAACACATATGGCTCCTTCATCGAGGTATGATCCTTTATATTATTAATATTCTTGAATAAAGGATGAAACCTGTTTAGATATTGGACATAAACACACAGAGGCGTTAGGCACCCATTGGTTGCCTCTGTTCGGGCCAACCAGGGTGGCACCCACATTGCTGATACTTCACTAACACTGCACGGTAGTAATTCACCACGTATCAGTCTCATGTTTGGAAAGGTAAGGCCCATCCACTGTGCTTTCAATTAAGTAAGCACAGTTTATTCAGGTAAAATAAAGATTGGAAAAACAAATCGACAGAGATAAATATATATAAAAATACATCCTTAAATATAATTTATTCCACTTAGGACCAGGGCAAATAATGACACCACCTTTTTACATAAATAAATAAAGGGAGTGGTTAACGAGAAAAGATAAAATTTTCTTTTTTTGCTTGCACAAATAGAATCATTTATCACACTCCGAGCTGGAAACAAGAGTACAGTACGCGGCTTAAAACGAATGATGTATTCCAATGGTTAGTGCCACATCGCCACCATTAGAATGCATACAGAAAACATAACGCGTTTAACGCTCCCCCTTTGCAGCAGTGATTCCCCAAAGGAATTCCCAAGCAAATGTGGGAATTGAACTGTGAGCCCTGCACAAATGGGCCACGCTGTGAACAGCTAACCACGAGGATAACCAAATTAGCCATTTACTGGGCTGCACACTCACGTCGCAAGAGCTCGCGAATCTCAGGGTAGCATTTCTCATTGTTGACACCACGTTACGGGACGCAACTTTGTTTGCGTTCCGCAAATTAGGGTTGTATAGAGATGACAATTGAGCGCGGGCATGGAGTTAGCTCCGTGCCTCGCCGATGGTGAAAACTGCGTTCAATGTACCTGGAGGGAAAAGGTTTTCAATCGGTGCAAGTAACCCGTCGCGATGTGGATAAGAAACATGGGAAGTGACGAAGTGACGAAGGAAATGCAACAACAGCTGAAAGGTGCGTGAAGAAGCACGAGGGGGGGGGAGGGGAGGTGCACTCTTGGAAGGACACCGAGAGCCAGGAGTAGGAGGAGCACAAGGCTCGGTGGAACAAACACAAATGAAAGACGTCACATTTACCGTACGTGGGTTTGGGCGGAACACGATGCGAAGCCGAGAGGGTGGCCAATGGACGAGGCTGGTGACGAAATGGCACCCAGAGCAAGGAGGCGACCGCCACGTGGGATGGGGTGAAGGCCTCATTCATCAGTGGATAGACCATGGACGACGATGGAAGTGGGTGTCGCGCGTAGCGTGCGCTGTAGCGCCCCCCTCCCGCCCTCCCGCCACCCCCCACCCTGCTATGCGCGTGGCCGTGGGCTCAATGTTCTCTCGTAAATTCGTGATCAATTTTACTGACGGTGGCCACGGCAAAGGTTTTTCACCGGATTGCTTCAAATGAGCCCGCAAGGTGGGCGGTTGAGATGGAACATCGGAGCTGGCAGTCCCATTTTCTGGCTCGCTGCGACGGAGCCCTTGCGCGTGATCACCTTCACACATGTTCGTGTTTTCCAGGCACACCACAGGTGCCCTCCACCGCAAGCCAAACGCTCGCCAATGGAATTGGCCAAACATGCCGTTGCAGAACCATCCTCAGATTAAAATTTGGTGAGATTTCCTTTGTTAATTCTCAGAGCTTGAATTTGCCAAATTAAGTGACAAAGATCATTTTAAGTGGTGGGGAGTCATTGGCCCAAGTGGGTAATGCAGAATGCGGCAGGAGGAGGGCACCGGCTGCTTACTCAGGTGGCTGTGCTGTCAAGGCAGGCGCAAGAACGGTTTCTAATGGTCACGGAATAAGAGACACGAGGCACCCCCATAAGATATGTACAGTAACTGATAATAATAATCATCATAAGATACACATCATCGGAATGGGAAGGCCTTCTTCCGTACTGAAGGTGGATCAGGATCACAACGAGTAAATAAAGGAGGTGAGAGCGACAGTGGGTAGAAGAGGTTTTGGAAAGCTGAACTTGACAATCCATAAAACAACATACCACGGTGTCTAAATGAGGCGGCTTTTAATCGGTGAATATCACCTGCCATGAAGTACGGACAGAGAGATAATCTAATGAAAAATACACGAAGAAGCGTTGAGGGATGCATGCCGGGAATTAACAGCGAGGGGCAGAAAGACAAAGATGTGGACTGAAGAACAAATTATACGCGTTGCAGGGCCTGTTAAGAAAAGGAAGTGGGGCTTGGGCAGAACGCATCGCCAGAAGGGACGCGGCGGGGGGGGGGGGTAACGGACGAGACTGGTGACAGATTGGCAGCCAAAGGAACGGAACATGCCCGAGGGGACCAGCGCCACCGAGACGGAGCGGATGAGATCATCTAATGCGCACGAAGCGAGACGGACCGCGCGGCGTCGCGCGGGCCCGCAAGGGATGGTGGAAAGACATTGAAGGCGTTCATCCAGCAGTAGATAGATTTTTTGCCGATGATAAGATGCTTGACACAGAACACTGTGAAATCAGATGAAATGCAACACACGCGCACGCTGCCAGGCAACACGACGCGAGCCCGACAGCCTCTGTAAATACACACGCGGTCGGTTTGCACCGTTTGATAACCAGCTTGAGAAATGTCGCCCCGACTACCTGATGGAGTATTATAGCCGTGTGTCGTGACCCTGCTCACAAATCACTTACACACACACACATATAGGACTTGGTTATGGGGAATCTTATAAACAGAGCGGTTGTACGCTCGACATTCATAAACAAACAACATTAATGTTTGTGTTGGGCACTCATTGACGTATTTTAAAGTGATTTGTGTGGCCTGGTGGATATGTCACGTACATAAGATGGTGCTTCGCCGACGAGGTTCTTTTGATCGACGTGACAAAGGGTAGGCTACATTAAGGGCCATTGGCAGTCCTTACAGCCAGGCTATTGGCATACATGTTAATATTAACACGAATATCTAGTTGAAACAGGAATGGTTCCCCATAAAATGCAGTGTTGTCTTCTGCATAAACTGGACACGGCATTGCAATAATCTCCCGATTCATCCGCTGGAGGATTTACAGTTTACAGCCGTATCGTTTGGCACGAGCCATCGTAGCCAATATTCTCTCTGGTGGAACTGATTTTACGGGCCTCTAGGCAGGTTTGCGAGTTGCGTTTGGCTCGGAGCACTCAACGACATAAGTCAGGCACATGGAGAAGACACGCAACACATACAAAACCTGTATAGATATATTTTCTAATCATCATCAGCCACGGTCGGTCTCCCGCTGAATGAAGGGCCCCTCAATCCGTCGCGCCCTCCTCCCGTCCTGCGATGTGTTCATCCACATAGCAGCTGCACGCAAACCGATTTCATTGCTCCATCTCCCCGGCGGACAATCCTCCACGATGCCTTCCATTCCTTGGCTACGTTTTTATAGTGTGTATTCTTGCAATTGATTCTGGAATAAGTTATAGTTTTCCAGAATGTCAAGAAGCAGAAAATGAGACTGGTCTTCTAACGCAGGAAATAAAACATGAGCAGGCGTGAGCGAGTTTGTCTTTTTTGAAAGCGTAGAAAATATATTTCATACCATTGCCATATTTGGCCTAATGCTAGCAAGCGTTTGGTAATGTAGTAGGGTGATACAAACCAAACTTTAACAAAAAGCCCTTTTTAACTTTGCAGCACGTGTGATTAAAACGCACTACATCTTCGACAGCAGAGGATAAATACATCTTGAATCAAAGCTTTCGTAACTGCAGGAATTCATATTCTTTGGGTCTTTCGGTAAAGTCACATAGATAGGTAAAAAATAAAATAAAAAAAAATTACGGCGTTTCGATCGCAACACAAGCGGTCGTCATCAAGTGGAGAAGAAAGAGGGGTTAGCCTCTAAAGGCAAACTGTTTATAAAGGTTTAAAATGGGCGTAGCCCAAGTGTCAGAATGGAGTGGGCGGGGCACAAGGGCCCTGGGGCAGCATGGGTGGAGGAGTTTATGTTAATGTCAGGGATTAAAAAGAACAAGAAGGTACAACCCTTTCGTCCTATCGTCTCCACCACTGACTCACCCACCTACAAACTGGCCCGATTTCTGTCTGAGACCTTACACCCATTCACTGGTGAGACCGCCTCTGCTGTACTTATCTCAGCTCACTTGGTATTGCTAATTAAGGACATCTCACTATCTCCAGGTGATTTGCTCGTTAGTTTCGATGTAGCCTCTTTGTTTACCAAAGTTCCTGTGCCTGACACCATTGCAATCGTTGAAGATTTGGTCCAACAAGGACTGAATGCTGATGTACCGACCCTGATAAGACACTGCCTCACCAACACTTACTTCACCTGGAATGCAACATTCAACAAACAAGTTGAAGGTACCCCAATGGGGTCTCCCTTATCTCCGGTTGTAGTCAATGTTTTCATGGAAAATTTTGAGACAGACGCCATCCAGGCATCCACTCTACATCCATCCTTGTGGAAGAGGTACGTAGATGACACGTTCGTCATCTGGCCACATGGCCGACCAGCTCTGAACCAATTCCTCAACCACATTAATTCCATACACCCAGCCATCAAATTCACCATGGAGGTGGAAAAGGATGGCAAGCTACCATTCTTGGATTTTTAATCGAAAAGAGACCAGATGGCTCAATGGGCCACTGTCTACAGGAAAACCACCCATATGGATGCATATCTAATACCTGACTCCCACCACCATCCATCCCAGAAGAATTCCCTCATCAAAACTCTACACCATAGAGCTCGATGTATTTCCGACGATCATCACCTAGCCAGTGAACTGGAACACGTACACCAAGCTCTCAAGATGAATGGATATTCATACTACACAATCCGTAAAGCTATCACCCCAACCATTGGGAAATAACCATCTGAGGATCCAAAAGACCTTGCCATACATAGCAGGAGTTACCAAAAAGATTTCCAAAATCGTGAGCAAACACAAGATCTAGGTTCGATTTAACACAATACATAAAATTCGTGATCTGATCCCATCTCTGAAGGATGTGATCCCTGACATGAAATACCCCGGCGTCTACAAACTAAGCTGTGTTCGCGGCAGTAGTTACATTGGGGAAACTAAGCGACATGTCTCGGACCGTGTTCGTGAACACAAGGCAGATCTGAAACACGGTAGGACCAATACCTCGGCTGTGGCTGATCATTGTTTTTATGCGGTTGGCTCACACCAAATTGATTTCTCTAAGACGAAGGTACTTTGCAAACCCACTGGCTATCAACAAAGATTCGTTCATGAAGCCATCCATATATACAGACATAGGCACAATTTCAACCAAGAAGATGGGTACAAACTGAGCAATCACTGGAAGGACGTTATCAACCAGTTTAAGTCATAACTGGCTGTAATGTTGCCATTTCAGCACTGTCCATTGCTCACCAGTTTTTTTACCTTAACATAACCTTCTCCGCCCTACATGTGGCAGCCCAGCGTTTTTAATCCCTGACATTAACATAAGCTCCTCCGCCTATGCTGCCCCAGGGCACTTGTGCCCCGTCCACTCTGTTCTAACACTTGGGCTACGTCCATTTTAAACCTTTATAAACAGTTTGCCTTTAGAGGCTAACCCACTTTTCCTGATGATGACCGCTTGTGTTGCGATCGAAATGTCGTAGTTTTTTGTTATTTAATTTGAACCTATCTACGTGACTTTACCGAAAGACCCAAAGAATAGGATAAAGTGCGGCTTCAGCGATGCGGATTTGCTCATCAATATTAAGAACCGCCATTAACAAATGCGCAAAAAAATTTTCACACGTGGAAACTCGTGTAACAAAAAATTAACCGTCGCTAATCACGGAACACGCATTGGCCCAACTTCAAATGCTCATAAACAAATTTCCCTGTGTTCCATCTTCTCATCAAAAACCTATTTTTAAACACGCTCGTCGTGTCTGATGCCGACGTGTTAGGTTTGTACGAATGTGTAGTAAACAGCCCTCAGGAATACGCACTCCCCATGTGTTTCGCTGCTGATGTTACACATAATGAGTGCCAAGATTCATACCGCTCCCCCCTTACCCCCCTTCGAGAGATTCAATAAACCATCACAATTTGGGCTCCTCGTTTTAGTCAGGAATTGAGCCTTTGTTTTTAATCTCGTTTCAAACATCTCGTTCAAATTGCTTCTCAGTTTATTTGTGTTTGTCATCTGTACAGGTTTTTTCATTCCGTTCGCTAAAACATAACTTTTCGTGTATCATTTGCATAAATTGTACCCACTTCCAAATCTTACATGCACAATGCTTACATGCATCCCGTAAACGTGCCCTTATTTATCATAACAGTATGATGTCTTTGTTTTTGTTGCATAACTTCGAATTCACCGTGCAAGAGAATTTCTATGCTTACCCGTCCCAGCTCAGCACTTCACGTCAGCAATTGCAGAGCGTCCCTCTTACTCGTTAGCCCGTCTCACCCTGGCGAAGGAAACTACGGCCTCAACGCATTCTCAACTCGTGAAATAAAGTCCACAATTACCGGTGCTATTATGTGAAAAAGGCACAATTTGATTGATATTCCACATATATACTCTGTATGATAAACTCAGCCAGGGGGTGGGCCACCATGGCTTGTGGGCAGGATATGGCCCCTGACTTAAATCCATATGATGCACGGCCACACGATGCCTACCACACGTTGAATCGTCCCGCAAGTGACATTTATCCATCACTCCAGGCATCTTAGCCACAACTCATCGAGTACCAGAGAGGGAAATATTGTCGATCTGGCAACAATGCTGTGCTTCTAACATTCGCACAGTCAGTCACTTATGTAGCGCTTGAAAGGGCCTCTTACTGTGACACAAGTGGCCGAGGTCTGTGTGTGTGGTGTGTGGCATGTTTACGTGTGACCTGACAAAACAAGAAAGTCCCATTCGGCCCTCGGGACGGAAACGGTCCCCCAAGGCCCTTGCACAAGCAGTGGCTTGGCGAGGGCACGTGGGGGGGGGGGGGGGCGCTGCTGGTCGAGGGGGGTTGTCGCTGTCATGCCGCGTCTTTCCGCATCGAGGTTTTTTTTGTTCTGCACGATGTCCGAACGCTTTCCGCTCTGCGAGCTACAAGCGAGGCGCCGTGCCCAACAACGCGCGGCACAACACGGAGGCACGTCGGCGGGAGCAGAGCACGCGTTGTCGCGCCTTTGCAATAAGTTTCAAGTTGATTCTGTTTAACACAGGGTGAGAACTCGACAGACCCAGGATGAGTCTGATTTACAAGGGTGACCTGGGGTATGAGTCTGCCAGTGGGTGGCGGGGGGGGGGGGAGGGTGACGATCGCTGCTACACATGATCCCATTTGAGTGATTTGTTGCGTACATTTTCGAATGCGTCAGCCACAGAGTTGGAGGAGCGGAGGGTGCTCGTGTCTGGGCTAGGGTGCACGGACACTCACTTGATGTTCTCCAGGCGGTTGGTGTCGGGTTTCAGTGGAGCCGAGTGGCGGAGCATCTTGTACAGCGTTATAAGGAGGAAGATAAGGTTTACCTAGAGTGAGCAGAGACAAAAGAAAAGACAAAGATCCCTCGGTTTAGCCTCACAGAATTCAGGGGCAAGTGCTGTTAGCAAGCTCCTAGCAAGGGGGGCATGCGGCACGAGGAGGTGGCATGGCCAGAACCATGCCCGCTTGCCCAGCGCTGATGTTTGCATACAGCACGACGCACTCATTTGAGGCTGAGGCTACTAAAGTGAAGCCCAGGAAAGCACCACATAGCACTTTCCACTGATGTTGTGTATTCCCAGCCATACAGTTATCAAGCAACAAAGATCCCCCGTGTAGCCTTAACAGACTTTTTGGAGCAAATGCTGTTAACGAGCACCTATGAAGGACGGCACGGTACATGAGGGGGTGGGTGGCCAACACCACGTCCGGCCGCCTCTGTCTCCCCCGTGGAATTGTTTACACAGCACCAGGTACTCATTTGAGGCTGAGTCGACCAAGGGGAGGCCCAGGAGCGGTTCAGATAATCATCACTGCTGTTGGTGGCCGTGAGCGGGAATCGAACTCAACTCACCGGGTTCGTCGTGCAGCGTATTTGGCGGCAATACATTTCCAAGTGATAAACCGTTTCGTTGAGCTACCATTTGTGATAGCCAGGTCACTTGTGAAAAAAGAGCTGTATAGCTCAGTGGGCCTTACCTGGTAAAGTAAATAAATAAATATCTGCAACTGCCACCAGGGTAGATTGATTGGCACGTCGCTCATGATGAGAGGCCTGGCTAGTGTGAAAGAGTAGGCCAAGATACCCTTTATAAAGAGGGGCTCCCCCCAGAGCTCTCTTAACTGAGCGGAGGCCCTTCTGCCGGTAGTGGCGTGAGCTACAAAATACAGGGCCAGCACCTTTGGCGTTCTTTTTTATCTATCTCCACAGCGGCCACCGTTTGTTGTTATCCGAAGCACATTCGCGACACCGTGGAGGGGAGGGGGGGGGGGCACCCGCCAAGGGGGCCGTTCCACGTAAAATACATTCTTAAACCCGCTTATTATTCCGCAAACGTCCCGTCCCGTGGGACCTGAGGGCATGCTACTATGGGAACAGGGCGGAGGGGCATCGGCCAGGGCGCCTCACCTCCACAAGCATCGCTCCCGCACACGAGCCATCGCCGTGACGCGGAGTAATGTCACCCAGTCCTCTAGCATCCATTTTACTGTCATTCATTCGCTTCGGATCCCTAGGACTTGGGCCGCCTCGTACGACAATCCCGGAGATGCCAAGCGACGCTATGGACGCAGATTCATGCGGAATGAAAAATGAACATGATATATATAGACAAAGATAAAGACAAAGATCCCCCCGTATAGCCTTAACAGTCAGTTTTTGGGACAAGTGCGTGATGCTGGATGGCCAGCACCACCAGAGTGCCGAACAGTGCTCATCCTGCAGACAGACGAGTCCCTGCTGCAGGAGTGTGGAATTTCACCGCCGGTTTCTGGATCGACAACAGAAATGGGCACCCCTCACGTCGAGCACAGAGACTTGCCACTGCTGTTAGCCGTGGGCGAGCGCAGCGCCGCTAACCACTCCGCAAACTGTCCCCCCCCCCCCCCCCTTTAATTACTTCACTCACAATCCGCCAAGACAGCGCGTAATATTTTTTATGTTGCACGAAATTTGCACAAAGTATTTATTAATCCACGTTGCAATGCTGACCATGTTTAATTAGGCAACGTCTGGTATGCACCGGGGAGGCAGCGAAACACGCTTGCATCATCGCCGTGCGAACGCCGAGGTCACCACCTATCGGATGCAGATTCCAAGTTTCCCCGTTACCGAGGGACGGCGGGGGGGGGGGGGGGGCGAGGGGGGGGGGGGTTGAGACGTCTCGACGGGGCGTTCGCCTTCTTGGCGGTGTTAATAACGCAACTCGGGCGGTGACCTCGTGAACATCGGCCATCCCCAGGACGCTGTTCTTCCATTAGCCCCGGGACTCCTCGTCGACAGCGCCCGCAGAGCTTTGCGGGCGACGGCGGTTTTGGCGGTGCGGTTCGTGTTCACGCGGCGTTGCGGAACACCGTGTCGACGTTGTGGCTTGGCACGCACCCGAAGTGTTTACCACGAACGCGCCGCACCGTCGTTTGGCTTGGCAGATGGCACGCTCGGCACCTTACTAACCATTTAACGAGGGAGCAACAACGGAGGGCATTCGGGATTTGCGTCACTTGAACAGCGCAAGGCTACCGCGACACAAAGGCGTTTCGCAGTTGGGTATTTACTGCCGGTGGAGGGTGACATTTCTCTTTCGGGTTGTACCCAATTTGAGTAATTTTGTGGGTAATTCAAATCTGGCAAATGTGGGGCGTGACACGAGCGCACGTGGCCTACTGTTGTTATTATTACTTTTTTTAAAAATAACAACACGGGATCTCTAATGTCCGCTGTGAAATGGACGGCAAGCATTTAGAGTTAATACACTGGCAATATTAACCAGGTCGGCCACTGGGTTCAAACTGCGAATGCACTTTACAGTTCGACCATACCCACCTAAAAGTGGGTGTGAGCAGTTTTATTCCCTTTTACAACCACCACGTAATTTTTTTTAATCAAATTATTATCTGGTAGACGTGCACTAGTATATGTGCACTTGTTGGTTGGCAAAGGTGGGGAAAGTATAGTTGCGGAACCGCATAAATACAGTACAACAATGGATTTTGCTGCACTGTCCTGTGCTGTCCTGCCCTCTATGAGGAAACACGCAGCTGCGTCGCCGGTAATAACCTGCCATGCACGGTGATCACCGATGCAAAGGGCGCCAAGTGAACATTGAGATGTCAACTCCCTCGCTCGGTATGCAGGAGATCGTGGGTTCGATCCCGACCCTGACGACGCCTGTATAATTGGAGTTTGCGTTTTTTCCTCGTGATTGTGTGGATTATTCCAGTTTTTCCCTCCACATTTAGAAACATGTGTTTAGAGTATTTGTCTGCTATAAATGTCCACATGATAAGCCACTTCTTTGAGCTATCATTTGTATGTATGTTGAAATTATTTTTCACCGGCTGTAGCCAACCGTGCTAAGCGGAGGTACGGATTTGTGGTGAGCATTTGTGGTCAGGTCGGTTCTAAACAAGAGCTATTTAGCTGAGTGGGCCTTACCTGGTAAAATAAAAGTAGCTAGATAGAATAGTAAAACACTATCCAGGCTCAAAGATTCTGAGATCTGATGATCGGTCACATGGTAGGCGATTGAGTCAGGCATCCGGTGGACACGGGAGAGGATGCAAAAGACTCTGGGAGAGCATCGTTGGCAGGAATGAGTCATTAGGCACAGGCATCAGTCCCCCATGTAAATAGAGAGGCTGTAAACAAAACTGTAGCGATGCGTGTACCGTTTCTTGCGCTAAGTTTCCCTCAGAAGAAAAAACGATCTCGGAGGGGGCTGGCTGGGGGAGAGGGAGGAGGGGGGGGGGAAATTATCTGGCTAGATAAACGATAGCGATAATCTGTAATGAGAAGTAAAAGCAGGGGAACAATGATTATGTAAAAGCGACAAATTCTTCCCGCATAATCGCCGTTACTCACCAGGATGATCAGAGCGACAGGCCCGAGGAAGCTCCAGATGAAATGGTTGTCTGTCCTGAGCCAGCACCTGAAGAGCACAGCCACAGAGGAGTCAATGTAACCCTGCCCATCAGCAGTTTTTTGTCCCCTCAACATTTAAAGACATGCGTTTAGATGATTTCGATTACTTTGCTGCTATCAATTTCCACATGATAAGCCACTTTGTTGAGCTATAATTTGTGGCCAGGTCACTTGTGAAAAATAGCTAGTCAGGATAATCAAATGTTGCCGATTTTCCCGATGTTATTAGCAACAGCACTCCCTATGAACTATTGGACCACTGTTGTAAGCACTTAAAATTAGAGAATACCCAGAGCTCTCCAATACGTTTTCAGGTTTACCGCGTGCTGTTTGGCATTTCACTCCACGTTCTGCGTGCGTATTCAGGAACTGAACTGCAGTCACCAAACAAGCTTACCAGCATTGAAGTTCGGCCATTGAAAATGATCCCAGCACATTGGGCCGAAACGTCGGGCATCGTGCCGTACAATACACGAAGCACAACCGAAACATACTCCAGAGAGCTACACGGCAGCACAACCGACAAGTCCAAGGTGGTCGTACCAGTGTAAACACTATATGCCTGTAAAATAATCTACACAAATATAAGAAGACTGAACATAAATGTTCAAATTAAGCGACTGCATTGGCAGTATTGCATACGCTTGAATCAAAAGAACCAACCGTCTGCCATTATTCATGCTACCTTTATAAACAACAAATATAATACAGTTTAACACGTAGGCTCTCGCGACCAATATCATCCATAATACAGGTTTTTTTTGGGTTAGAGCATGTAAATATTTAAATGTGTCGTTAAACCCGCCACCACGTGACACAGCCAACTAGCAAGGGTTGTCACGTAAACAGAACATGCCAATTCGTCACGAGTACAGCACACCGGTGTGTCGGAGAGCCAAGCCACAACATTTACAATCTGAGTACAAAGTTTCGCCAGTAATTACAAAAAATATAACACAGTCTAATGTTTAAGGGCAATGACTATTTTTGAGAGTAGAAAACATTTAGGTAAAATTAAATTTTCCTTTGGAAATTAAAATTTTGACGTTAATGACAAAGGTGACGAGACTCTCTTTTTAAATGCGTGCAAAAAAATTATAATTTAAATTTTGCCGGCAGATGCCCTCCCATAAACCCCACGCTGATGTCTCTTCGCTTATTTGTTTTGCGTTTTTTGTCGACACGATTCTTTACGAGGGCGACTCTGAACTTGGCAAGCAGCTGCCGCGATGAGCGTTTTTTTTCTTGGGCTGTTGCCGCCACCACCGCCGCCACGTAAACCTCTTCCCAAAAAGGTCGCGCGCTCTCTCTCATAAAACCGTCAAATAAACGCGCTGTGATTTAGTTTCAGGCTGGCGAATTATGTGGCACGCCTGCTCAAATATTGACAAGGAGGAATAAAGGGTGAACATTTCAGAGTCCCGTTGAGATGAACCCCAATGAATGAGGAGTTAACTGCCGGGTAATGTTATGGGTGCTTAACAAGCGCGTCGTGTTATTTGAAACGATGTTGCCACATCAAAGACAACATTTTTAAATTTCATATGGGCGTGAACATTGACGCAAAGTTTTATTTATTTCTTGTACCACTGCGGAGTTTCCACTAAAACGAAGGGAGATAAGTAAGCTCATATTCAAGTAAACATTTTATTACGACAACTTAAAAGCGTTGCCCTGCTATAAGTTGCTCTTGGCACTGCCGCAGGAAGGGCCTCCAATGCAGGGAGCTACCAAAAGTTTCTCGAGAACAGGGTATTTGGCCTACTCTTCCGCAGTAGTTAGATGGGTGGACTGGAGTCCGTAGATTGGCAGGTCGTGTTTGGTGGTGTATGGTAGGGAGCGTGTGCATTGTAAAGCGACCTGGAAAGGGCACTTTATGAATCCGAAATAAAATAGAGCACCTGCTGAGTCCGTTCCGAGACGACCTGCCTGCGGGCCGTCGACACTTCACGTGGCCTCAAAGTGCACCTAGCCTGGCACAAGTGCCGTGGTGACCGCCACTTAGGAGGAAATGGCAGCTGTTGTTGTTGGTGTACAGTGTGGGTACTCCCACCTCTTTCAAGATATCTGGCCAGTGTGGATGAGTAGGCCAAACACCCTCTAGAGTGGTAATCTAGAGCTCCCTTTAGTGAATGGCTTTATGCCAGAGATGGCATTGGTAATTGCTGGACTGCACCTTTACTTCTGCATAATATAGGTATATAAAATATTAATTTAAAATTCTGTTCTTGTGCTATTCGGGAAACAAATTGGATTGATGATAATAAAAAAATGTTAATGCAGTCGCGTGTCAATGAATAATCCATGAGTGTGCTCTGTGCATTCACTTCAGCGTTCAAGTCGAGTGTGCGGCACGGGGTGGTGCCGTCGCAGGTGACACCGGCTACTGGACGGTGCCTGAGTCTTGGCTGCGTAACATCATATATATTAATGAGATCACCACATATCTAGTTTGCATTAATATTAATAATGTCGTGCACACAAGACTCAGAGCGCCAGGCTAGGACATCAATTATCCCTGGGATATCAGTGGGAGCATCCAAAACGACTCGACGGGCCAATACAAACCAACTGACTGAATTGTCAAGAGAACCATCCAGCGTCGGTGTACGCCAACTTTGTTTTTCAGACAGAAATCAAACAACAAACTGGATAGGCATATCAGTGGCTATTGCAAGAACACAGCAACACTGTGACAGGGTGGGTACTGGCTGCAGAATTGTTGAAATTTGTATGACTGTGCGCAGGCATTTGCGGTTGTATCTGTACAGTTCTCTGACGCGTAGTCTTTGAGTCGTGCCGCATATTCAGGAACTGAGTGCAAGGAGCTCCCAGCACGCGGAGAGAATCGTCGGGCACGACTCTACCAGGAAGCGAGATGTTAACTACCTCGCCTGCTATACAGGAGGTCGTGGGTTCGATCCCGTCCCTGAGGCCTGCTCCCTATTTGGAGTTTGCATGTTCTCCCTGTGGTCGCGTGGATTTTTCTCCGGGTCCTCCGGTTTTTCCCTCCACATTTATATTCAACGTCACCTGTTTAGAGTATTTGGCTGTGATAAATATCCACATGATGAGCCAATTTGTTGGGCTATCATTTGTGGCCAGGTCCCCGCTGAAAAATAACTATATAGCTCAGTGGGCCTAACCTGGTAAAATGAAAATAGTTTATAGTTAGTTTTATAGTGTGTCGCTTGGCACGATGTCCGACGTTTCGCTCCACATCGGAGAGCCACTTCAGAGTATGGGAGGGTCACGACACTCACACTTTGGCGGTGCCGTAGCTTGTGTAGTCGATGGCGGTGGATATGCCCACCACGGCGGCGGGCAGGCCGTAGCCGAAGAGGTAGAAGTATTTGCGGCGAGAGTACTCGCTCTCAAACACCTCGACGAGCATGAGGTAGAGCTGCACTCCCTCCAGGCACATCCACGCGAATGCCGCCAGGAAGAAGAAGTGCAGCAGCCCAGCGAACACCGAGCACACGATCTGCCGGAGGAACGACCCGCAAAGCCCCGCGGTGAACTACTACCGAGTCACGTGCCCGCCGGGACTATGTGCCGCGTACTGGGTAAAAGTTAATGCGACCACATTTTCTGGGAGGCTCAAGCAAGAACACGTGGCGAGCCGTGAGATTTCCTACGCAGCCACACGGAGCGACGTTGGCCCTGAGCACTGCTCAAAAACCCCACCTACTCCCTTGCCAACCCCAAAGACAAAGATCCCCCGCATAGCCTTAACGCACTGTAGGGACAAGTGCTGTTAGCGAGTAGCACTTATGAAGGCGGAAACGGCACACAACAGGGTGGGTGGCTAGCAACATGGCAGACCGCCTTTGTCTCCCCAGCGGCAATGTTTGCACATCGCACCAGGTAATAATTTGAGGCTGAGTCGACCTATATGAGGCCCAGAACCGATTCAGATAATCGTCACCGGTGTTGGCCGTGAGCGGGAATCGAACTCGCGTCGCCGGGTTCGTAGCGCAGCGTGTGCCGACCGCGAAGCCACCGCTCCCCGCTAACCCAGCCCGCTTCCCCAGGAGCCTTGCCCTCTGCTTCGAAAGCCCTGCGAACTGTTGAAAGAGCTCCGCCCACTTCCCCGGTAGCCGTACCCTTCGCCCCGCGTCATGAAACCAGAACGTTTTAAATTGGTGAGGGTGGGGGGGTGAGGGGGGACGCATTCCCAAAACTTCACAAATGCTTAGAGTGGACAGATTTTGTGAAACCACCAGGACTGTCCCTACAAAAATCGGGAGGTTCCGGTTGGATCGGCCGAGTGCGTTCGTACCGTGTACTGCGTTTTGTCAATGCCAAGCAGGAAGAGCATCTCGGCCAGGAAGAGGTTAATGCACAGGTTCTTGTGGATGGTGTTGCGGTCACTCTGCAGGCCGCGGAAGAAGCAGAACGTGAAGATGGCCATGGCGAGGCAGAGCAGCGACACGAGGATCCCCACCCACGTGATCACCAGGAGCAGCAGCTCGTGGGCCTTGTCTCCGTACTGCGCGGGGAAAGAGCAGCACGCGGGCAAACAGACGTCGTCATTTGGCGAAATGCAGCCCACGGGCCATCGGTCACGACGCTGGTGGTGGAGGCAGAAGCAGAAACACAACTCGATGCAGGTGAGAAGCCGGTTTAATCACCGGTGGTGATCTGGATTTGAAAACAGGAACTCGGTGGCCCTGGGTCCGCAATCTGGCCTCTGAGTCACCCGGCCAGCTCGTGAAGGGCACCATCAAATTTTGATTTAAAGCTTTCGTGACTGCAGTAATTCATATTCTTAGTTTTTTCGGTAAAGTCACGTTGAAGAGAAACAACAAAATAACAAAATATATATAAAACAATAAAAAATAAATTTATGCAAACCGACACACCTGATGATGACCGTTTGAGTTATGGTCGAAACGTCGTGAGAATTTTTTATTGTTTTATATATATTTTGTTATTTTGTTGTTTCTCTTCAACGTGACTTTACCGAAAAAACTAAGAATATGAATATAAGGGCACCATCGTTATAAATAAGTCTGTTCGGGCAGCACAAACCAACGACACGGTTTCATCGGTACCAGACCAGAGGGATGAGAAACATTCCGTAAGGAAAAACAATTCCCGAGCTGCTAGAAGTTGTGGAGGTACAGTTTCAGAAAAGGTGGTGGATATGAAGATTCTATACAAAAATAATTTTACTTTTAGCTATTATTCTATTAATTCTTAAACATGCATCGGTGAAAATCCGAGTACTGAATACTGCTGACAAAATAAAAATAATTGGGTATCTAAACTTTAGAAAATGTTATAATTTATTCAAGTGCTTTTGAATATATATAAAAACTTACTTTTATTTGATATTTCACTTTCAATTATAGTTGAGGACTTGAATGTACAAATGAAATAAAAAAATGAAAATGATTTTTTAAAATAATCTTTTGGTCTGATGAAGCAAAAAAAGTCAAATTAAAAAATATATATATATTTTAGGATCATTTGGAGCACTAGAGGCAGTGCCCTATGCAAACCGGCTACATCACAGCAGTTGTGTACCCACGACCACTTTGTAAAGCGTAACTGCACAACGAAGCTGAACTTAAGAACAAAAGTAACTAAGCGATGCGCCCGCTAATACCTGCCATCACACATGGTTCAAAAACCAACACGCTCATTAACGAAGAAAAGATAAAAAAAAAGTGTGCAACGAAGCACGGAGAGATGCATGCTGGGAATTATTAGGTCGAGAGGCCAGACAGAGGACCGCGTGGCTTGGAGAACATAAGCAGGTTGAAGACACAATGCAAACGATGGAGGTGGGTAGGCTGGCTTTAGCAGGACACATCTTGGCTGGAAGAGATGACAGCCAATGGTGAAGAAGAGTGATCGAGTGCCAGCCAAGGAATTGAATGTGTCCGAGAGGATTCATACTGAGGAGATGGAGTGATGTAATCAGTGCGAGTGCGGGTGCTCGGTGCACTGATCCATCACAGAATATTGAGAGATGGCGATGGCTTGGAGAGGTCTTTGTCCAGCAGTAGATAGATAATGGCTGATAATGATGAATTGTAGCTGACGCATAACAAAAAACATATCAAAGGGTATTTCTGATTAAATGAGCTTTGGGCTGTGCCAATATTCTCGGGCAGTAATAAGCTGATGGTGAAATTGTCCACATTTCTATGGCAAAGACCAATTTGGAAAAATTGAAATGCATAACCAATGCCAAGATGGCAGATTTTTCTGGCCAACAAAATGGTTCTTCTACATAGCCTACCAAACATTTTGATTCATGTTCCATCAAAATTGGTTAAGGATTACAGCCGTTAGAGTGATGACAGACAGACGGGAATCGTGATTTCAATGCCTTCATTAATTTTAATAAAAAGGCTAAAGTGCTGTGGATTTCAACTCAAAATTAAAATATTTTGCTGCTCAAGCGAGCAATTAAGCAGTGCTAATCTCTGTCGGTGGTGCTGTGGCGATGTTGGAAACTCCACATTTGTATGGTGGGGGCCAATCTATCTTTAAGGTCACCATTGTTGACTGATGGCCTGAATTTGAACCCGGAGGGGAATTTGAACCTGCAAAACTCTCGCGACGGCATAGTAACCACCCAGCGAAATGCCATCTTTGCTCTGTGTTTCAAAATGTCAAAAATCGCAAGCGTGCAGCTGAAGAAACACAGGGAGACTACGTGCGACAGCGTGTACGTGACGTTACGAAAGGCAGACGTTTCAACACGAGGGAAAGGTCAGGACACGCAGTGCGCGCGGATACTCGAGTGCGATTTTTATTTTTACAAAACATTTTTATTTCACCGGGTATGGCCCACTGAGAGCTACGTATCGCTTTTTCAGAAGCAACCTGTCTATCACAAATGATAACTCAGCGAAGTGGATTATCGTGTCGAAATGTATGGCAGTAGCCAAATAGCCTAAATACATGATGATTCTAAATATGGACGGAAAAACCGGAGCACCCGCACAAAAATCCACGCGACCATGGGGAGAACATGCAAACTCCAAACATACGGGTGTCAGGGTCGGGATCGAACCCACGACCTCCTGGATACCAGGTGAGGTAATTAACATCTCCCCACTGTGAGCACAACGCCAGGATACAGAGCCAAGACGAATGTACTAATTAGGGAAAACCGAAATGACACAAATAAATTAGGCGAGGCCAATCCGTAAGAGATGAAGTGGCGATGTCCAAGCACAATGATGGGGGAGTCGGGCGGAGAGGGAAAGCGGTATCGCCAGTAACAGGTGTCGGTTTTCAATGAGCGCAATAGAAATGCCATCACATCCCACCCCATCAGTCACCTTGAGGGCCCTGCCCAGAATTATTACATTAGGCTGTGCAGAATGTCAGCTTATTGATGTATTGATGCAACAGTTCCTGGCACAATCTCAGGGCTCATAAAGACAGATGTGTCTTAACCATCCATTTATCATGTTTACGCTGTGAATCACCTATCAGGCATCCTCCCTCCTGGGTGAGTATCGCGAGGGCTTGCAGTTGGATGCGCAAGAGAGCCGTGACGGCACGTGTGTACACTGTGCAAGATGGAAGGTGTAATAATCAAGCAACACATTTATATACTCGTTTGCGGTAGTTATCGCACTGTTCATTCATCAAGCGGAAAGAGAGAAGAGTAATATTCATGAAGCATTATGCTTAACTTTATATTAAATACACTGTCACGTAAATCTTCTTCCCTTGCTCACAAATGCTACGGTGAAATTGAATGAGACGGGAGAAACATACGTTTTACGGCATGGTATACATCCTTGTAAAAGTGCATAATATATCGGGAGAGACTATAATAGATTGATGGGCTGTAATGGAATGACGGGGGACAGAAGAGAAACTGGGCAGAGGTTTCGTGGAGACAATACTCGACTCCTCTGCTATTCCAGGTGGAACAATATCAGACTCCATTTCGACTCCACGTGGGTGCCTCTTTGCTTTATTATCCCCAAGACGACCTCCTCTGTGTCCCCCACCCACTTGTAGAGTCCATTGGTAGCTGTGTGTTCAATTAAATAGCCCATTTGCTCAGCCTTAGCTTACACGTGCTCTGATTTAAAAAAAAGATCCCTCTATCTAGTCTGCACTGGCTATGTAATGTGTGCTCTGCAATTGTGCAGTCCACAATTGAGAGTTCAGGCTTGAGTAGCAAGCCTTTGCGGGAGTGTGCACACAAAGACAAAGATTCCCCCGTTATAGCCTTGACAGACTTGGAGCGAGTGCTGTCAGCGAGCGCCTATGAAGGCTGGCACGGCACACGAAGGGGTGGGTGGCCAGCACCACGCCGGGCTGCCTTTGTCTCCCATTGTTGATGTTTAAACAACGCACCATGTACTCATTTGAGGCTGAGTCGACCTAGGGGAGGTCCGAGACCGGTTCAGATAATCGTCACTGGCGGTGTCCTTGAACGGGATTCGAACTCCGGTTACGGGGTCGTAGCACAGCATGCTAACCACTACACTACCGCTCCCCACATTGATGCAATGTGTGTGTATACACACACACACGCATAAATTTGGTGCTCACGGTCCCTGGTATTCGTAGGCTCTTTGTGTGAAGACAGACAGAGGGAGGGGAGGGAGGGAGATTATGTTTTCAGCTGTTTTTTTTTACTTTGTATATATGTAGAACTTCTTTCTCACCATACATAGCCAACCGTGCTCATCGGAGGTGCGGGGGAAGGACAACAAACTAAACAAAAAAAGCTGTTCTAAACAAATGAGTTTTAAAATCCAGATTGAAAAGTGCATAACTCCAGTGGCTTCCCAATATCGGAAGGAAGAGCGTTCCAGACGGCCGCACAAGCGCATCTGAAAGCGTGCGATGCACCGCCATTGGTTTGGCGTTACCTATGGTCGGGAGACCAGCTTCTCCGTCGCACGACCAGTGTTCGCTTTTCACAAAGTATTCGCCCTTCGTATCATCTCCGGAGTGAGCGACGGTGGGCTGAGGTGAACGCACAATTGTGCCTCTGGACGCGCGATCTTCAGAGGAAGTTTTGTGCTCTCCTCACTAAGCTGTAGCACGCTGAACCAGTCCTTTTTTTTCCTTCTTATTTATTATAAAATCACACTTAATAAATCCTCCGTAGGGGTTTTCAACTTTTTAAGCCAACTTAATGGGCTCATTTGGCACGCAGAGTCCAGAGAGCAACAGAGCAGTTAATGAAGTGTAGGGAGCACACAACCAGACATCCTCTGTCTCACCCACCCGGAATACTGATGACTCACTCGCCTCTCAGCCTCCGCTTGGGAGGAAAACATGCAATGGATAAGGGCCACGCCCCGAAACATCGCCAATTAAATATTTGTCAGTTTAACACGTAGGCTTTCGCGACCAGAATTATTCATAATAAAGGTTTTTGGGTTAGACCACATTCATAATAATCCAAAAACATTTATTATGGATAAATATTTGTCCTTTTATTAAGGCCACAGTGTTATTAATGAATGTGATGAGTTTGTTTTGTTACCTGTGCCTCTGCACTGCTGACATCGCAGCAGCAGCAGCAGCATCATCATCATCAAATGATTAGTTTAATTTTGGTGGCAAAGGAAGGTGGGCCACACAATATTTATGAATCTCACAAACCCACAGGTTGCGCTGTCAGACGGCCGGGTGAAGCGAGTACAGCAAGTGGGTCGCTTCTTGCTGTGCGGGGCTTTGACTGCTATCCCCCTGGCATGTACACCTCTGATTAGCACGGTTGGCTATGTACACTGCATGTTTGTGTGTATGTTGAACTTCTTTCACACCGTACGTAGCCAACCGTGCTAATCGGAGGTGCGAACTAAATTCAACATACAAATGTGCGTGGTTTAGTTTGTCAGGGCATTCGATTTGCCCCCTCCCACGCTGAGCAAATCACCCGTTGACACTCATTGACATCGAACAGGCTACACGTCCCAATGATGGACCCTCCCACAGAACAATATTCACACTCACTGGGTCTTACCTGGGTAACAAAACAAATATACTCACTGGAAATTAACTAATATCTACATAGACATGGAATAATCAATTCAAAGTGTAATAATACAACAATCATTTATTTATCCAGAAAAAGGTCTCACCGAGTCTCAATTATAATTTTTCATGAAGGTCCTGCATTGGGATGTTTGGCCATTTCGTTTTTTAAATAGAATATGTAACTTCACCCACCACGCTTACACGGGGATAGGTACCCGCAGCTCCGCAACAGACTTCTATCACCTGGCCACCTTATATCAGCCGAGCGGCTTCAGAAGTTTCACAAACTAGCGTACGTGATCAAGCTACCTATCTCTCCAAAATGCTGGGGTACTCCTGGTTTTGAGACTAACGCATAGACACAAAGAGTCTCGTGGGACGGCACACACATGGTGGTGGAGGAGCCAATGGCATCTTCCTGGCATGGGTTAATCTCTCCAAACGATGACAATTCCTGTCACGTATGGCATTTTATACCAACTCATACGTTCATGTGTACAGGTCTCATAGTCAGAGCGAACAGCTTTGCGGGGGGAAGCCTCCACTGAATTCCTGAGGTTCTCATCGTGCTCCGCCTGTTCGACTTCCACTCGAACAGGCAATGACCACCACGTCTGCCAAGGGTGCTCTGGTTATTTGGTTCAGTGTGCACCATTGTTTTCAGGGCAGGTCTAATCCAGGGTGGCTCAGTGGTTAGGATGGCGATAAAAACATTTATTGGGAACGTCGCCGTTTGCCCACAGCGCTCGCTTTGGACCAACGATGCTGGCGCTCAATTTCAATTAAACTAAAATCTTTTTTTCATTTTAACAGGTAAGGCCGACTGAGTAATATAGCTCTTTTTCAGAAGCGACCTGGATATCACAAATGATAGGTCAACGAAGTGGCTTATCATGTGGAAATTTATGGCAGCAGCCAAATAGTCTAAATACATGTTGATTCTAAACGTGGAGGGAAAAACCAGGGGACCCGGAGAAAAATCCACGCGATCACTGGGAGAACACGCAGACTCCAAATATACAGCAGGTGTCAGAGTCGAGATCGGACCCACGACGTCCTGTATAGTTAACATCTGGCCACCGTGGCTTTACCAGGTGGGGGATGATGGGTGGACGTACCTCGATGTCACGGCGCGCCATGAGCACCGCGAAGTTGGTCAAGTGGTTGCAAGCGCAGGTGGTGTGGGAGGCGTTGGTGGACAGCAGTTTGCAGCCGTGGCTCGACCAGTGGCCCAGCATTGTGTGCGACGAGTAGTTCCAGAAGGAACAGTTGGGGTTGAAGTTTCCATCGGACTGAAAATCACGACAGCATTCCCGCATTCGTTACCTTCACGCTTGATCAATCAACTGCTGGACGGAGGCCTCCTCCCTAGTTTCTCGTGGTCCTCCAATGCGAAAGAAATAAATGAAAAATACGTTTAAGGAAAATAAACTCTCAAATGTTAAACACTGCTGTTCAGCTAAATGATTACGGCTCGGTGATGAATTTCATAAACGAGTGTTCATTGTGTTACAAAAATGGCCAGTAGGCTTTCCACAGTGTTTCCTTAACTCGCAGAGTGTGTTTTACAAATGTGGATGCAACGCAATTGTCACTGTTTTTACAATCCATCTCTATGACTGCAAATCCTCAAGAGAATTTGTAATTCCGAGAGGTTCTAATTGAAACTAACCATGGGTGTTGCGTATCGTGTGGACGTTTTGCGAGAAAAATTTGAAGACTCTCAACAGTCCTGGGTAGAACTCCATAAACAAAAATGTGCTAAGAAAGCCCGTTCATTATAGACGCGGACTTCAACGCTCAAATTTAACGTGCAAAGGAAAATGTGTCGGCGTGTAATGTGTTGCCGTAAGCGGCGCACATTCCTAAATCACCCACAGGTCACAGGTACGATAGTCGCCGCAAGCGCAATTTATTACGAGCAAAACTTTCAGTCCCATAAAAAAAAAATGAGATATGCCGAAATTTAATCAGTTAGTCTACATGTCCGTATTCATAACGCTGTCAAATTACGCTATGCCAGCTTAAATTACACTGTTGCCGTAGAACGCTTCACTTGATTACCGCGACAATAGCCACCATCCGCGCATGCAAACACGGGGGGGGGGGGGGTGGGGGGCTACGTTAACGAGTTAGCACATTTTACAGCCAGATACAACGCGACAAACACCGCTGGTGCAGTAATGCAGCACAATATAAATAAATATATGCAGTGTCTACATGCAAGCCGCATCTCAAGACGTTGTACAAATAAGGAAGGCAAATCGTGCACACGCATAGCTTCCGTAACGCGTTCCAACGTTGTGTTCTGCCCCAACGAGGAGGAAATAAAGGTCTCCGCGCAGTGGCTGCCATCGCTGCACTGCCGTCTGTTGGGGGTGGCCACGCTGTCTCAACCCTTGAGGCTCGATGATCCCCAGCGACGACCACGTGTCCACACATGCAGTTCTACTGAGCTGGTGGCTTTGGCTGAGACCGAGGGCATTCGTAGACGCACCGCACATATCCTTGCGTTGTTAACCCTGTGCGACCGTCCTCATCGGTGTTTAATTAGGGACAATAACCTCGCACGATGTGGGACGTGGTAAGATGACGTCACGTGAAATGACGTCATAATCTTGGCAGGCAAAGCAAACATACTTCTGCATTGGGTATTTGTTGTTATGGGTAAACCCTTGATCATTGTCACCCAATCTTACATACAGTCAGATGGATAGAACCGATGCATTCATGCTTTCAACCTAATTATTATTATACTTGTTTATTGGTTACAAATACACTTTTTTAGGAAGGTCCTGCCAAGTGTTTCACAGCAGGGGGCAGTTACTGCTGTGTAATCATAATTGTGTTATTTGAGGGTACATTTTCAGCATTGGGATGTTTTTGGCAATACCAGTGAGATTCTATGGGGGTTTATTGTTAGTTATGTATCAGAGGAATCCGCAGAGCCCAGAGTAGACCCATGCAGAACACGTGGCCAATATACAAATCCCATTTCTGAAGGCGGCCAAGTCGGGTATCGAACCCAGGTACTTCTTGCTGTGAGGCGCAAGTTCTACCGAGTTGGGAAGCATTGTAAATAGTTGATTCTTGAACTGAATCGTCGTGACCCTGAATTACAACAACAACTCTGCGAGGTTGTGCATATGGTTAGAGTTGTACACAAAGCGCAGATTGTCTATGTCTTGATGTTCATGATCATTTGCAAACTTATTTTTTAAACCAGACTTTTTCATATGCCCCTGTCTATCCATGAAACGTATCCTGTATTCCCACACCGTATCTGTATGTCACTGACAAACCAAAGGCACAGGTCCATTACATAAACGCTTCCTATTCACCAACCTGACCCAACAATCACATTGCTCGCTCCTTCTGAAAGGGTTACGTTATTCTTTCACCATTCTCTTCACCAACACACAGCTGAGGAAATCAGTGGACGCATTTTGGTTTTGGTTACATTACCGTACATGAAAATGGACGTTGATAATTGAACTCACTAATTATATATCCACTTGATGCCATGCATATAAAACACACTTCAAAGCAAATTAAAGGCGGTGTTATCTTTCAGCATGCTCCTGGTTGGGCCTGTTCTAATATAAAAGTAGAGCACCCTTTTTGCTATTTTTAGAGCGGCAATCGGCTCTGCCAGGATCCTGGGTTTTATCACGATGACGTTCCTGCTGGTTCAACGATAAATGCTGTGGAACTTGAAATGTGTGAAGATCTTCGTTGTGATTAAGAAAATCAGCAGTGAGAATCTTCTCATTAAAAATCCATCTGTCACCAATTGGTGGTGCCAACGCAAGCGAGCGGTGGGTGGGTGAGTGGGGGGGGAGCACATCTTTTAAAATTATTTCGCACGATTCCTCATCGCATTGAAAGTTTTGTGCAACGGCAGGCGGTACATAATAACCCATAATGTTTTATAATTTGAATTGCAATTAAATAAAACATTTTGACAGCTTTACATCTTTATAATCACGAGTAGGATAAATCGCATTCAGGGATGGGTTGTCATGTGATAAGAGCCCTCGTCTCACATTGAAAAGGTTGACTCTGCTCGCAATTTCTCGTTGTCCGATGGAGAGTCTGGGTCTCCATCATCGAATGTGGAATTTCCACTGTTGGCTGGCTCACGGCCACCAATAGTGATTCTCTCCTGCGCACGTGCGCACCGGAGTCGATGGGCAGACGTAAAAGTGAATGTGGATGCGCGTTCGCCACCTGTCGCAGGATTTCACCATTCCAGCCCCACAACTCATTGCGTGAAGCGCAAGTACACGCCCCCCGCTTCGCAGCGGACGTTAAAGACCTCGCTACGTGAGCTGTATTTAAAAACGCACAAATCGCTCGATTGGGAAAACACGTGGCAACATCACCCCCCACCCTCCAACCGCGAAAACAGCGCACGCCGCGTTTGCGAAACGTCGCGCCTTCGCGAAGAGCCTTCCGCGAAAAGAACGGCGCCAAACACCGACCACGCCGCCGCTCTGCGGGGGAGGCGCCCCCCCCCGCCCCCACCCCTCCTCACCTGGTTGTGGCGCAGCGTGAAGACCACGGGCTCGCTGAGGAACACGCGGTTCAGCTCCTTGTTGATGGAGGCCGAGATGATGCGCGAGCTCACCGCCAGCGAGTGGTTCTGGCCCGTCGCGTTGTTCAGTGCGTTCCCCACGGTGGCGTTCTCCGTGCTCAGGAAGGGAGCCAGCTTGTCGTACAGAGTGAACACCAGCTTCGTCACGCCTGCAGAGACCCAGCACACGCAAACCTCGTGTCGCCCGGCATTTCCTTTTCCCGCAACATGACATTCGCGGGGCGGATCGTTAAAGATGCAGGAGCCGTCCAAAATTTGCGTCGGCACAAATGCACCTGTTGCCCCACCACCAATGTCACCGCCGCCACCATCGAGAATGCGTGGGCAGGACAAGGCCCGTCGTGCCAACCGGAGTGGTCCACGTTTCACTGCGTTTTAGTGCAGGCCTCATGAGCAAGGTCAGGTGGGTCACCCGGCAGCTCTGACGATGTATCGTGACACCGCCAGCAAAAATAACGATCCTCAAGCTACCAGTATAGGGGAAAACCCCTGTTGCTGCTCCTGCTTCTGACAGCGATGAGTTTCAGTCGAAACAAAATATTAATGACAGTGTCATCTGTAATTGGCAGTTTGGGAAAATATATTGTGATACGGGATGAGAAAGTAAGGCGCAATAAACAGAGCAGAGATGTCATGCAATCACAAGCGCACACAACACGGCTGCATTGTTCCTTTCGTCGACGTGTTTATCCCAGGAAGATGCGAACCAAAAATAAATATCTTTTACTTTGTACGAACACATCTAGGATTTATATCTGCCAGATGCGAGTTTGGTGCTTTGTTAATCAGAAAAAAAAGAAATTCAAGTCACGGCCGTGCGCATTTCATTTGTACTCCTACAATGCCCTCTTAGTTCCGTAGCCCTCAGACTTGAAGCCCACAGCTCCCTCTGATGTGCTATCGCGTTGTACCACGCGTTTCTCGTCATGATGCCCCGACGTTTTGCTCCAGCATGGCGTGACGTCTGCAGTTTTTCTCGATGCTCTGGGGCAAAACTTTGGTTATTGCGTCGACGAATTTTGCGGTGCCAAACACGAAAACCACAACGGGCGAGCGAATCGGCACAACCGCAAAATCCTACGCAGGAGAAGTCTCCTATCGCCTCGATTCACGAGGTGGGACCTCTGCGGCCCTGGCAAGGTTACGACGTGCGGTGCAACGTGCCAGCTGCTCCATGGTCGTCCACTTAGCTCAGCGCGAGGAGGGGAATGTGAAAACCGACTTCTGGTCGGTTTTGGGCATTTGTGACGTGAATTTGTGGTTGTTTAAAAAACAAACGAGGACAAGGTGCGGCCATGCAATTACCCGCTGATGACACTCCGGGCAGAAGGAGTCTCCCCACTAGTGGCGGCTCGAGAAAGCCCCTACGGAGGGTGTTTCCGCCTACACTGCCACACTGGCCAGGCATCTGCTAGGAGGTAGCAGTTAGCCCCATGTTACCCCACCATGCAAGACCTGCTAATCGACTCACTGTGGTGTAATGGCCAGAGCGGTGCGTCGCCAACTGAGCAGATTCAAATTCCTGCATTGTCACAAATCAATGTTCGTTTTGATGTAATACAACGGCACCTAATTGTTTTCTGGGTTGCGTGCCTCTTTTAATCTAAGACGCACAATGTGAACGAAACAACATATTTACGGAGCTGTCCACATAGCACACAAACGCCCTTTGTTCCAATGATTGACCGTCACGAGCTGCCTACATCGGTACATTTTTTCTCAACGTGTGCAGACCTGGGGGCACAGTGTTGGTCCCGCGACCTGCCGGCCATATGCTGTGTAAATCAGGGGGGGGGGGGGGACATGACCATAATGGTTTAATAAAATATTAATTTCCTTTTATGCCACGAACAAATTGTGTTTGGAGTCCGTGATTGCCGAGTGGATAACAGCAGGAATGACTTGCAAAGGGCAGCCGAGAGAGCATTACCTATGCATCACCCACATTCCCCAAAAATATGTTGTGCAGGCAATGTTGACAGACGATATTCATGAAAATATAATGGTCCGACGTTTACGTGTCGGAATAAAAAACACGTTCTACATTGCAGCCGTTTCACTCTTTAACAAATGTTAAAACCAAGCTCCCGTCATTCAACATAAATCTTTGTTTTAACCGCGAATCAACGCCGAACAGGTGTTGCATGATGCTCAGATAAAAATAATACTATTTTTTTCAGAAGTCAAATTTAGTTTACATGCAATGAAAAACGCCGTGTAAAACAAGACGATGATGACGACGACGATTCTAGAAGTTTACATTGCAACGGCTCCGACAATGAGGTTGATCATATTAATCATGTTTACTTTAATATAGCGTCCTCATTCATGCAAATTGCATTTCTCACAACTGTTGAGGAACCCAAGCTCTGCAAGTACGCTATATACTAAGATGTGTTCAGCCAATTAATGGAGTGCTTATACATAATGTTTATATACTGCAAGTGTGTTTACAATGGAAACCCTATGATGTTGATGATTACAGAAGAATGTTTGTCATATTTTTAATGCAGTCGATGAGTGTGGTGATTTTGAGAGACCGCAATATTGCATGCAAGAGACAACCCACAGTTTTTCATTCTCGAAGCAATTAAGCAATTATGCGCTAGATTTCCGATTACGAACACCCTCATGGACATTTAACTCGAATACAAAGGGAAGCAAAGCGACCGCTAAGGAGGTAAACAAAAAAAATCCTACCGAGTCTAAATGTCTCCACACTCAAATGAGCAAATATAATTCTACGTCATTTAGCTTCGCCAAATGTCAGAGAGATTAGTGAGCGATGTTATGCAGGTGAGTTTGTAACCCCCCCCACCCCCCTTTTATTCATCCACCCCCCACCTGGGCGGCTGCCGTGGGGGGTGGGGGGGGGCGGGGGTGGGGGGAGGAGGCGGTGGGGGGGTCCGGACGCACCGTTGCGGCTGTTCTGCTTGATGGTGTTGGCGGAGAGAACGATGGAGTCACCATCCTGGCCTCCCGCCGGGAAGGAGTAGTCCCGCAGAGAGCCCTCCGTGTTGAGCACCAAGATGGAGAGCACTGCAGAGTCGTGCGGGGAAGGGGACCGGCACACCGTGACAGTGAGCAGCGGCGGTAGATGAATGTTGGGGTGAGGTGAGTGCGGTGAGTGAGGTGAGTGCGGTGAGTGAGATGCGTAAACAGCCACACAGGGTATGGTCAGCAGCAGTGGACACACGGTGAGCGGTCGCACAGCGATATGCACACTGGGAATTTACGGATATCAGGGTGGTCCGTCGACGCTGCCCCAACCATGAGCAACTCCCATCTCTCCTCCAACTTCAACAACAACATCAACGACAGCAACCTGAACTCCCCGGCACCTCGCGGCGCGAGCCGGCGCGCAAGCAACGTCTCACCGATGTTGTCGGTCGCAATGGAGACGTTGTCCTGCTCCATGAGGTTCTCGGCCAGCACGAAGGCGCCCTCCTCGATGGTGTCCACCATCATGGTGGCGGCGTGCGTCTGCTCCGTGTCATTCATGTCGCGCCAGGACTGCAGGGCGTCCGGCTTCAGCAGATTGTTCACGGCCTCCACGATGGCCTGGGCCGAGACGGGGGCGTTGTCGACAGAGCGCGGGGACACGCGGTTACTGACGCACGGCCATCGAGCGATTATTCGATCGTGGTCAATGGCAAAACCCCCATGGCTCTGGATCTCTCTTTTGCATTATTGTACTCGATCCGTTGCCTCCTAGTTATGTCTACATGCAAGGTTTAATTTCAGCCAGGTCTGTTGGGGTCAGTGACCATGAGAATGTTTCTGCGCCCGAAACAGCACATCCAGAACGACCTGTCGCTGTGGCCGTGGCTACAGCTTGGTCGGGTGGCGCCTGCTCAAGTCTACCGGCGACACGGAAAATATTCCGTGAGAAATGAATCGCCTGGATACACGATACATGTGCTTGATGGAGTTAGCGGCCATTGCTTGTGTGGCCATAATTCAGATCATGGCTTTGATTAAAATGCAGCCTCGGCAAGGAATAATATTGTTTAACGGTGCTGAAGCATCAAGGGATAATCAGCTTCAGGAAGTGTAGCTACCCGTTTGAATCGTGATGATTGGTAAATATAATTTAGCTGAAGTTTTCATGAAAGGCTGAGCTAAAATGTAAAGCTTTCACGTTTAAATGGTGCTCATTAATTAAAGATTAATAGTTTAATACAAAACAAGTCCCATTATTCAAGGAAATCTGCTGTGGTATAAATGTGAATTATTGTATACGAGTTTGGGCAGCCCACTGTAGACCAGCTGGAAGAAACATCTTAATTGGAACTCACTGCCCAGTACAAAGCAGAAGGAACAAGATTCAAATTTGCCAAAGGTAACAGAGCAGCATGACAAGTGAGGCATGAAGAAGCCTGGCTTCAATGAATGTGTTTACAGCTGCAATGTCTGGTTCAAACTTTTGTCCAGGTCCATGACAATAAACCAAACCAACGATTTCCCACGTACAATAGCAGATTCGCAAGCAATATTGTTTTGCAGAATCTCAGAAAATAGTGCTTTGTAATTTCTGGAGAAGTGAGCAAAGACTATCCACCGGCCAATACCAAATCACCTTGAGATGTCCTGCCTCCCCCACTGATGGTGCTGGGGGGCATGGGCATATTTTCACGACAGAAACAGTGGCCAGCATTCGAATCAGAGCCTATAACTTAGTAATTAACGACACCCTGGTTACTTATCTGACTTAATTTGAGGCAATTGATGTCAAATTTTAATTTAATGTCGCCAAGGTTGAAAACATTAATTTACAACAAATTCTTGTGAGGGTGTCCTCTATCAATATATAACTCGGGGAAACATGCAGATTACATTGTTGAAGGCGCCGTGGGAATGAGTCACAATTATACTGTTAATATCTGTTCTTGATCAATAAAATCTTGGAAAAACGTTTAACTACAAAATAATTTTGATTTCAAGCTTTCGTGACTGCAGAAATTCATATTCTTAGCTCTTTCAGTAAAGTCACGTTGAAGGGAAACAATAAAATAATAAAAAATATATATATAACAATAAAAATTATCACGACGTTTCGACCATAACACAAACGGTTGTCATCAGGCGTGTCGGTTCGCATACATTTATTTATTTATAAACGACGTATTTATTTATTTATTTATAAAAAAAACGTCAGCGCCACACGCAGTGATTTGGCAGTTTATTTAGAAGGACTAGTCCATCTATGTTCTGAAAAGAGGAGGGGGGTGACGAAAAATTAATGTATGCTGTCTGAAAGCCACTGTAAGGAAAGATTTGATTAACCATTTCAGGTCTTAATTGATTGTTTACGCTTACAGTGGCTTTCAGACAGCATACATTAATTTTTCGTCTCCCCCCTCCTCTTTTCAGAACATAGATGGACTAGTCCTTCTAAATAAACTGCCAAATCGCTGCGCGTGGCGCTGACGTTTTTTATAAATAAATACACCGTTTAAAAATAAATAAATTAATGCAAACCGACACACCTGATGACGACCGTTTGTGTTATGGTCGAAACGTCGTGATAATTTTTATATATTTTTTATTATTTTATTGTTTCCCTTCAACGTGACTTTACCGAAAGAGCTAAGAATACGAAATAATTCCCCTCTGCGAAACTATAATTTGAAAACTTTAAAAATATATATTTACAAGTTTTCCTTTGTCACTTGCAACAGCCACAGCACCTGTGACCCAATTTGTGTCAGTGAAACATTTAACTGACAGCTGGATAAGACTTAAGGCTTCACATTATATGGCTGGAGGAGAAAAACGGGAATTGGTCAAACTACAAAATGACAAATACACCACGGGTCCAAGGGAAGGTTGGCCCAAGTCCACATGGTACAGTTGAACCAGACAAACTAAGTACTGAGGCAGATATTGTTATTTATTAAGAAGTAAAAAAAAGTCTAGATTTGTGCTCAATTGTTACACAAAGTGTGCTACGTACTACACTGGCAGCATATATATAAAATTACGCGTGATAATTCATAGCCATTAACAATGCATGGCTAGATGAAGACCTTACCACGTGGGGGATTGTGAAGTAACGAAGGGGCCTACGACCAGTTCTAATATCGCTCAAAACGATATCAGCGCATGGCCGGGAATCGAATTCAGATCGCCGGCTTCATCGTGCAGTCCGCTGATCACTAGGTAAATACTTTAACCCTGTTATTTATTTAAAGAGGAAATAGTGGCTGAAACGAACAGATGACCTTTGTGCAGTGGTGCTGAGTAGTGTATTGCAAATCGTCCCACACAATGAGACTCACTCGTTAGACACCTGCCAGTCACAGCAGAAATATGGGCCCAACTACTTTTTTAATTATGGTTACTAGCTAAAGTGACTTGTGTACAGACCCCAAGATGCAATCAACACGTTGACTGCTGTTGATAGCGATAAATTATTAGGGACGATCAAAGTAGACACAAATACAAATGTGTCTTTTATGCTATTATGATTCTTGGTGGGAAAGCCTCACCGAATCTCATGATTCTGTTTTAGAAAGGTCCTGCAACGTTTTCGCAGCAGGGGGGGGACGATGATTGCGATGTACAGTACATCCAATCTGAGTAATTGATCAAATTTGGACCATGACACCAACACGCAATGCCCTATTCTTGTTCAGGACACTCCAGGATCTCTCACGCCCACCGTGAACGAGGCAGTCTGGAGTATTTTAAGGTTAATATGCCCGCAGAAACAACCAGGATGGGCTGCTGGATTTGAACCCTGAACTCCTGCACTCAGCTTCACTGTTCATGGCCCACTTTACCGCCGCTTTAAGACTCAGCTGAATACCGTGCCGTTAAAGAGCACCGGTTGAGGCTGGCAGGACACATGAAGGAGCGGTGTGGCTGGCCCCATGCTCAGCAACCTTTGTCTCCCCAGGGATGCACATGTTTGCACTCGGCACTGTACACTCAATTAAGGCTGTGTTGACCTAAGGGAAACCCCAAGAAGACATTATATATGACCGGGAATTGAACCTACATGGATAAGGATGGTAGTGCAGTGTGTGAAACAATGCATTCATTGCTTCTCGTAACACAAGGATCCCCCGTATAGCCTTTAAAATACCGGTGGGGCAGCTGCTACGAAGGCTGGCACGGCGCACGAGGGGGTGAGTGGTCAACACCATGCTCAGCCGCCTTTGTCTCCCCAGTGGTGATGTTTTTACACACCGCACCACTTCCTCATTTAAAAATAATTTTGACGAAGTGAAGGCCCAGGACTGGTTTAGATATCTGCCACTGTTACGGGTCATGAGATGGAATAGAACTCGTGTCACTAGGTTCGTAGCGAGGTGCGCTAACTGCTACACTACCGCTCCCCCAGGACACACAATCACATGCATACACAAACACAGACACAGATGCACACAAAGACACACACAAAAGAGGCATATCCACTTGCACATATAATGACATGCACAAGCATGCAGGCTGCACAAACATGCATGTACATAACCTGTTTGTTTGGCAACGCATTTATGCCCACACGTACATGCATATGAACGTACATGCACACACACAAAGACATCTGGAAGAGTTGCCAAGGAGAAGAGGTTATGGCCTCAGTCTTGCAGGTAATTTGAAGTCTGTTGCACTAATTAAACGGTACATTTTAAAGTATAATTAATATAAAGTGTTTTTTTTATGTGTTGCAGGAAAAGCAGTTGACTTACAAAAGGTCAAGAGTTAAACGCCTGCTTGGCTTCAACTCTGCCTGCCATGCCCCTAGGGGGTTGGTAAAATAGGTACAGCTTTGTGGGAAGTCAACAGCGGGTGTCCTTGGACGTAACCAGCTCCCACCATCGGGAGCAATCTTAATTTGTATAACTATAGAAAACACTGCGACTCGATAGAGCATTAATATTTTAAACAAGTAAAGAATTGATTAATTATTCCGTCCATTCAAATGCCACTTGTGCGAATACTAAGACGTTAAACGATATCTTTTCAGTTGCAATGCATGCTAGCGATGTATACATAAATAATCATATTTGACAGGCCAATTGTCAATCCACTGCTGGATAAAGGCCTCTCCCATGCTGTGCCCATCACCACAGTTGTTTCACCATACTTCACCACGCCAGTCAGCGCCACGGATCGGTGGACGCTACATCCTGTTAAAACATGTATTTACATTTTTTCTCTATCAAGTTAGCGCCGATAAATATTTCAACAGACCTGCTGTGAACAGATATTTCATTTGCCAAATTGGGGGGGGGGGGGGCGGTAGGAAGGGGGGGGGGTAGGGCAAGATTGCCTATGGCGGAGTGAGGTGGCAGACACCAGCGTGGTGGAGCATTTTGGGTCAACGTTATAACTTCTCGGCCGTACAAATGCCCGCCTGCGCTTTGGGCCAAGCGGCTGACACGACATTGGGGAGGGGACAAAAACTACTGACGGCCGCCCCGCTACACGCGCACAGCTATGGGCACGCCGAAACTCCCCGGCTCGCTTTGTGCGCAAAAGCTCGTGCATAGAGACTCAATTTGGATGCGCACGGCACTCAAGGCGAAGGAGAGCGCCAAGTGGCAGCCGTCTCTTCGATTTGCGGAAAAGTCGTTCGCGCGCAACGACACGAACGAAGGCCGCGGGGAGACAGTCGGTAAGCGCGCAAGCTCCGCACTGCATGCATCGGAAATCCCGTACACCTTCCAAGACGCGAACGCGGAAGCTTCCAGCGACTCCTTTTTTTCTGAGCGAGGAGCATAAGAAGAATGCGGGAAGTGCTCGGGACAGTGGAGCATGCAGGCATATAGGTGCTATAGAACATCCAAGAGACACTGGCGGTTTATGATGTGCAAATCCATTATTTTCCCACACGATGCAAGCATTCAACACAGGGAGATTATGAAGCGGCCAAATGCCATTCGTAAAAAAGTCATTCGCTGCATCATGCTTATTGTCACGACGCCACGGAGAGATAAAAGACAAGACACAAACACGGCGAGAGTCGAGGGAAGGTACCTTGATGTACGCTCTGCACAGCGAACCTCGCTTCTGCAACTGGCAGCAACAAGGGAGCAAAATACAGGCACAGAATACTCTTAATTAATCACAGCAAGAGGCACTGGGAATCGCTTCCTACTCGAGTCTTTAACAAACCCAATACACAAATCACCGGGCTAATTACAGGCTAAGACAACAGGAATCAATCTTAATGCCTGCGTAATTTAATGCGCAAGCTTAACTCTTCTCTCTTAGTGCCCGGGACATAATGACGGACGACCGTGAGCAGAAACACAGCAAAAAACAGCGGCAACAGGCAGCAGCCAAGTGCCGGGGACAGCAGCTGGAGCTGGCCGATGCGTTGGAGCAAAAGTCGGGCATGGCTTGACTCTCCACGTGGGGACACTCGGCCACATCACCAGAGGAGTGTCCTCAGAGGGGACGTGAGAGTCAATGCATTGTGCACCTACCTAACCAGGTGAGATGTCAATGCATTGTGCACCTTCCAGCCAGGTGAGATGCCAATGCATTGCACACCTACTCAGCCAGGTGAGATGTCAATGCATTGTGCACCTACTTAGCCAGGTGAGATGTCAATGCATTGTGCACCTACTTAGCCAGGTGAGATGTCAATGCATTGTGCACCTTCCAGCCAGGTGAGATGTCAATACATTGTTCTGGGTAATCGACAAAGTGTAAACAGATTTAGCGGGTTTTGTATTGAATAACGTTAACTGATTCCACAAAGTAATGTAAATTACATTAAAAATGATAATGATCGGCAAAACAACGACGCGGGTGGAACATTAACAATCATAACGCGCGTACCATTATTAAGAAATGAGAAACTCATTAAACAATTCCAGGCTGCACGCCAAGTTATATGTATTCGAGACATTGTACTTTTGACACCTCGGTGGGTTTGTGGAACAAAGCTGCTGTTCGTGGTTTCGGCGCACCGCGCAGACAGACCTGGCCATCCCTTGGCACCGCATGATGGTGGAACGGCTCTCCTCTATTGTAATTGTGATGATGGTGATAAGTGACGCTTTGCTACGGTGACGACTACAGCCGGTGGTAAACAACGCGACAACATTGATGAGCGATAATTCTCGATAAGAGACGATTGGTAACGATTGTCATACTAGCGATAATATTGTTGGTCGTGATTCATGGCAATGGTATTGATAATGGTGATGACTTCACGATTATGATGAAACAAGACAACATTGTCCATGTTTAAAGAATACGTTTGCTTGCGGTGCACTGTAATCATTCATTGTGGGTCCCATGACTAGAGTCACAGTGACGAGAGGTACGACGACAAATCGCGTCATGGACCACGGCACCACGACGGCCCTGGTGAGACGTGCATGCTCATGGACTTCACCTCGTGACCGTTTTTACCCTTGGACACCACAATGAGCATCCAGGTGTGCAATGAAATATGAAGTCTGACCTCGTGCCTTATTGCAAGTGAACGGGTAAGGCATTTTGGTGTCAATTACTGTGTTCAAGTGCACTCCTGGGAATATTTTCAATGAGGTGTGTCTGTTACCCCTCCGTGCTGGCACGTCCATTGTTCACTTCAACAAACAGAGCTCTCCACAATCTAGGCGGCTCACTAAAAATCCACGTGAAGACCACAATCACCGTTTAAAGGTGCTCCTCCTTGCAGCTGAAAATCATTACCTCCGCGAGTCAAAGTATACCCGGTGGCTCCCGTGCAAGCATTTTCTTGTTATCCAAAAACACCGCCAAAACAAAAAAAATCCGCGTTGCATTTCCCCCTCCCCCCCCCTCCCTCCTTGTTTTTTGTCCACGGAGGAACAACGGCGGGGTGAGGGCGGGCGGAGAAGCGAGGCGAGGTGGATTACGCATCATTTGGATGCACTCCACGTGGCGCGGGCAAGCGACAGCGGGGAAGCCCACGACGCTGTGAAGCAAGAACGGCCCCTGGAGAAGTAAACCCTCGCACTTCGACAACAGCTCCTGCGACTGGCGCCGGGCGGGGGCGCCGCAAACAAACAAACAAACAACTCCCGCTGCCGTTCATTTCGCTTCAACCGCCGCCTCGCTTTTGAGCCGAACCGAGCCACTCGCCGTCGCACAAAACACAGGGCCGTGGATATCGAGGAGCGACGCCGAGTTGCCCGGCCACATTGTCGACACTAAAACGATGGATGGTGCCGGAGGGTTCACCCGGCCAGTGGTACGGTGCTTCTGGGAGCGTGTGGGCTAGCAGACAGAAGGGGGCGAGTTCAAACCACAGTCGGGGGGGGGGGGGCGTCACCTCAAGTCCGTCGTTCCTCTGGGATTAATAAAATAACTACCAATTGGTGGGGGGATTCATTATTTATATATTTTAGGTGACATCGCAGAAATAAAATGTGCCTTGTAAAACCTCCTCCGTACGACACAGCCAATGAATAAAGTTGTCACGTGGACAAACGTGACAATTTGCCACAGCTTCAGCAGCACTAACCGTGTGCTGGATAGCGATCCACGCTTATTTAATTAGGTACGGACCTTTCACTGATCGTTACAACCAGCATCTTCGGCAGTTGCGAGATTTGTAAAAATCTCGTCAAGTCTCGGGCCTTATGACACCCATTTTACTTACGCGATCTGACCAAAAATGTTTTTTTCCCTACAGTTAATTACGAGCCATAATATTGGTAGTGAAAACCTACGTGTTGAATTCATGGGGAGGTAAACTGTGGTTGTCTCACGAAAAAACTCACCTCTGCCACGGGAATGTGGAATTTCCGCCACTGGCTCAGGGCTGTGAAGAGGAGATGGGCACTACTCCACGCTCTACTGGGCTAGAAATCCAGATCGACTTCTGTTGACTTCTACTGCAGTGTTGGATAAAAAATAAAAATTCTTCACCCGTTTCCAAAACTCTTTTTACCGAACCTGAATATTTTAGAAACAGATGAAGAAGCCAAGTACTGAACGTCAGATCATCCTACAATGCGACGCTCCGCGGGATGGAGATGAAATATAATGAAAGACATTTGAGAGGAACGGTGGAGCAGCCTGGACATCGCGGCCAATTTTTTTCGTGAATTTTTATATCATTAAAGAAACCAGAATTTAGTAGAGAGATTTCAGAAGAAAGCCGGGCGTAATGCACCCTAAAAAAATGAGGGAATGAACGAGGGTGTCCGGGCTCACTGCCCTACCATGGTGGGGGTAACGATTGGTGGGGGAAACGATCGGTGGGGGGGTAACGATTGGTGGGGGGGGTAACGATTGGTGGGGGTAACGATCGGTGGGGGGGTAACGATTGGGAGCAGTGAATATAAGAGGTGGGGAAGAAGATGGCAGAAAGGGGAAGGGAGGGGCAGCTACGTCACCAAAAAAGAACGAGAGATACAACAACATGAATGCGATGTCCAAGTTTGTCAATATTGTTATCTCCCAGGGGCAACGGTCACCATTTGTTACGGAGGGTGGTGTAGTATTCAGAGTCCATCCCATCTCCCTTCACCCCCGGCCTCCATTATACCGGCTATTCATGCTGGGTAGCGGAATGTGTTTTGAATGGACGCACGATTTGCCAGTCGTGAAAGCTGCTTACCCCTGTGATTTTCTACAAAATGGAATTGTTTGTCGAAAGTGACTATTTTCCTGTATATTTTATTGTGATTGAAAGATAAAAAAAAAGTTCCAGTCATTCTTAATCCACCGATGGATGAAGGCCCTTGTCAGTGATAGAGGAGGAGTTTTTGTTCGTACCAAACTTTGCCACCCCGATCAGTGTGGTCGGGTGCGTAGAAGGGAAACACTTTCTCATGCTACTTGCCACCGATGTTTAGCCATGGCTTGGAATTGAACCGGGGTCGTTGGGTTCATAGCGCGGTGTGCTAACAACTGTACCCCCGCTCAAATTCCGTGCAAAAGATACTGTTCGATAAGCATTGTTTGTGACACATGCACCATGTAATTTCACCGTTGAAACTTAGCTGTCCGACATCATGGTTTACTGTGCAATTTATAATGTGTGTTGTGTGTATGAATTGAATGTATGAAATTTAACAATTTAATATTCTGGCAGGATTAAACATTGATGCTCAGCAAAAATTCAAATTAACCAAGTTAATATTCACGTAATTTTCAAATGTATTTTAATCCATCCATCCAGCCAAGCCTCAAATTATCCTACCTTGACCACGGTGCTAAAACGCAATATCAGCCTGGTCTGGTAAGACACTTTTGGGGATGTTTAATAATTATAATATTCTAGTGTAAATCTACTCTTACTTTATTTCAATGCTTTTTAAATTAAATATGAACTTTAATAACAAGTCGGTGGCCGGAGGGCAAGGGGATGGTTCTTAAAGGGAGGAAGAGGTGCAGCGATTGGAGCAGCGTGTGGCACGAATGAGATCCCGTGATGTGGGCATCTCAAAATTTTGCCCACGCAATCGACACCAGGCACAGCTCTATGGGAAATACAAAAATGAAAACGGATTTATTTTTTCATGAAAGATGAGCAGGACTAAAACTTTCATTGTTTTATCAAAATTAATTTTCAAGGAATTATTTAAAGATACATTTTAAATATTAAAGTTTTAAGACGAGACTGCAATGCCTGGATGCAGCCCCCTGTTTGAAATAGGGCACTGAGTTTTGGGGCGTCCAGGTGCGGTATTAGTTTCTGGCCTGACAAGGGATTTATATTTAGGGAGAAGGGATGCTCTTTGGAGACAGACGTGGGAATATAAAAAAAATGCCTTGAAATCTATGATCACATACATTTTCCCCTGATTTACGTGAATATGCTGATGGTGATGATACCGATGAGGACAGGGGTTGCACTGTGCAAAGTTTTTTTATGGTGGCTTCTGGGAGCCGATTGAACAAAATGACAAAGATGTGTGCTGCGTGTAAAAAAAAGTCTCATGCTCCCTATTTCTAGTTGGTGGTCTAAAATTAAAAAAATGGCCACATGAACAGTTTTTTGAGCTCGTGGTGTGCATAAGGCTGAGCACCTTTGTACACACAATGCACACCTCTGTGTGTGATGTTAAATCTGTTTGTTTTCCAGCCAGCACTCACGTTTCATTGTGATGGGTTTCATCGTAATTTTTTTTGGATTAGAATTTTGAAGTACGTAAATAAAGGAATTTGTTTTTATTGCGTGGATAAATGAAAGCATAGTTGAGATTTATTTATAGCCCTTTGTTAATCTAAGGCTGGATGAAAGCCTTCCCATTCCATGTCGTTCATGGGAGTTATTTGCTGGCCACCTACCCCCTGGTGTGCCGTGCTGGCATTCATAGGTACAAGTGAACAGCACTTTCCCCAACAGTCTGTTAAGATAATAGGGGGATCTTTGTCTTATATATACATCTATGGGATGGAAATGCAATGAAGATTGAAATTTTTTACACGTTCTTTATAATGCATTTAATATTGCTGAGGCAATGCCTATCAACATACATAATTTCTATACCTCTGTTGTGACAAATTATTTATTTATACCTTTCGCTTTTATACAATTTATTGATTTGTTTATTCATTTTAATTTTCTGAGAGTTTCATTTACTTAATAACGGCTATGAAAAGGGTGGAGACCTTGATGTGATTATGCATATCATTATTGTACAGCATTGATAGATGTAAGTAGCATGATTTTTGTTATATACAACTGAAATTATTTATGATTACTTTGAACAGAATCCTAACACTTTAGACACAATTGTTTGAATACCCATGGAATTAAAAAAAAACAGTTGTTGTTGTTGTTTGCGAGAGCCAGCTCTGCATCATTACTTACACTTCACTACTATCTGATCGTGGAGTGCATATTCCAGGCATTACGCCAAATGTTACCTTCAATGTGCACTTATGCACACTTTTAAGTGAACAATTCCTAAGTAATATTTCTCTCGAGGTTCATTGTAAAATCAACATTTATTTAGGACGAATATTGTCTTGACAAAACGCTTCTATTTTTATGTAACTAAACACTTTCAGTGTCCCCGAGATGCTGTTGCACCTGGATGTTTTTTTTTTTATGGAACTGCATTGTAAAGCTGACCCTTTTCACATCGCAGGATAATAAAAAATAATCACGTAATAAATAAAGGGGTTAATTCTTCCCCCCTACTCAATGAAAATCCTCCTCATACCCAAAGCGCCCATGAGCTTGCATCTTTGGTCTCGATTGTCGCTCGACTAAGACAAAATACCTGTGGACAAAATTATCATGTTACGACCACGTGACTGTGAGCAAGGCATCTCTCTCGATGGCACAGGAATAACATAGGATCAACACCACGGCTTTGATCAATGTGCACACTTCTGAAGGGAAGCTGCACATTCCATAATACGTCTAACTAGTGCCATGACAGCCCAGGAACACCCCTTTTCCACTGGCACATTAGAGCCACACCAGCGCAGGGCACTCGCAAGTATAGATGGTTTTCCACTGGCTATTTGCCGAACCAATCCAGAACCAAAAGGTGAAAATCTCTGGCCTCACGAGATATTGACATCTGATTCTGGGACAGATCAGGGCCAGGATTAATATGGTTTGTCCTGAGCACACTTAATAAAATGTACTTGTTCATTACAAGTGACATCAGCAACACAGCTCGGGTTCCGCAATGGAAAAAGCACCTGAGCTGTGCCGTGCCGCTCCGGCACGGCTTGGTTGTATGGTGGAAAAGAGGTACAAGGCTGTCACGGGAGACTGGGCCAAACCCACTAAGTTCGGTTCACACAGCCTGCTCACGTCTGCGTGGACGTGGAAACGCAACAGGAAAAAAACAATTATTTGGCGACCAAGTTGGTGCTCCACATTTCCATGATGCCGCAGCCGTTCGTCATTACCTTGACGAAGCTACGGGGCGAGGGCTCCTTCTCCGTGGGTGTCAACTCCTGGAGTTGTGCATCCAGGATGTCCACCAGCTGCTCCATGAGCTTCATAGATGAGGTGATGTCTCCGGCGTAGATGGTGCCGCGGGTCTCCTTGGCCAGCTCGCCTGCCACACTGGCGGCATTCTCGCCGCTCTTTATCTGAGGCAGAAACACACGTTGCGGTTCCCTTCTTGTGTCCGGGCTTAAAGCACACAGACAACCAATAACCGTGCTACGGTAGAGCTCCCATTAATAGCAAGAACACTATACGTAAATTTTTATTTAAATTTTGATTTAAAGCTTTCGTGACTGCAGTAATTCATATTCTTAGTTCTTTCGGTAAAGTCACGTTGAAGGGAAACAATAAAATAATAATATATATATAAAACAATAAAAATTCTCACGACGTTTCGACCATAACACAAACGGTCGTCATCACCTGATATATATTTTATTATTTTATTGTTTCCCTTCAACGTGACTTTACCGAAAGAGCTAAGAATATGAACACTATACATACATGTTTGTAACTGTAGATGTGTAATTATTTCTGTTAGCTGTGCTTTGAATCTGATATGGTCATCAGTCGAAAAACCATATCGCAAAGAACTAGTCTGCACTCCTTCAATAGAGGAATAGCAACACTATATAATCTCTCTCCTGAAGCCTTCTCGTGGCTAGCAGACTTTGACAATGGCTTTTAGCTTCTGAACATATTGCCGTACACAAGAATAGAGTAGACAGATGTTCTGAGGTGACCTGTAGGTGACAGTACAGAAAAAAGGCGACACAGTTGTATCATTTTGTTTTGCTATCTGCTGTGTGGGCATTGGGTATTCCAATATCCTCCCAACATCTCAATATAATACCCAACATTCCAATGTTGTGTAATCCTCCTGAGAAATAGAATCTTAAACCTCGCTGAGTCCTTTCTATATGAATACATATTATAATTATTGCTCAACAGAGCTGCTGCTGAGACTCACCCAGTACAAATCAGTCCAAAGACTGCTGAAGATGTTTTTTTTTAATCTGGAAGGTCAATAGACTGATGTAGTATTATATTTAATGTGGCAAGACAAGACTTGTGTGTTTTTTGGTGTTATCAATACACCTTCATGATTATTCTTGTAAATGGTTATTCTCGTAACGGCCCTTTTACATTTACCCTCAAATCTTTACATTGAAACATAAATATAATTTATATAAATGGGAAACAATTTCATATCTACAACTCCAGCTTTGCATAGCCACTAATGTATCGAACGTTTCGGTCACACGATTTAAATAACTCACATTAAGCACCGTGACCTTGGCTTGTAACTTTAATTGGTTCATGCCTCATAGGCTGTACGGTATCGAGTCTTAAGCCGACATTAAGTGCAACCATCATACATGCGACTTTATTGCATCCTTCAAAAATGTTGTGCAAAATTCCATGTTGAAAACCAATCAACGTAGTTGCTTCTGATTGGCAACACATTTGCACACGACTCAGCGATGGCCCGTGCCTATACATGATAGAGTCGAGGCCCGACGCCTGCCCTCCCCTCTCGCCTGGCCGGCCAGGCCCAGGAAGTGTGGTAAGAGATCTCGACACGTATAGGTGCCTGTGTGGTCTTATGATTAAAAAAAAACATCCTTGAATTTTAGATTAATCCAGTTGCAGTATTAAACATATCTACGCAGTTATTCAGCCATGTTGATATTCATCTCCCACGACATGTCCCCTGGTCTTTTGTAACTCCGATGTGGCAAGCATGTAATCCAGGCCTGGCGCTGCCTGTGCAACACCGCAATTCAACCCGGGGTTTGGTCGAGGTTGCTCTGTGTTGCAGAGCCAAGCACAACTTCGAATGGCGCCAACATGCATGCCATTATTCTTACCGTGTGAAAGATTGCGCCGCTCAACTGCAGATTTACCTTTTGCGCAATCTGGTAGACCCATGGAGATGTGCAGTTGCTGAAGTCGGGTCCTTTAGCCAGCCAGTGCCCCTTAATAGCTTGGCAGTGGTAGAGTGCTGTGCCTGTATAAATCGGCACACAGATCGAGACACCAGCGAAGGCTTTGCAAAAGTGCCCGAGAGCAACTTATCACAACAGCAGAAACACCGGTAACCCGGGATAACGAAGCCTTTGTTGTAGTGCATTGCTGATCTTGCACTTTTTCTTTCTGCGAATCCCTTCAAGTATCTCCTCTGGAATTTCCCTTTGACTAATTGTGCTACCTGTGCAATAAAGTTGTCTTCGTCACAGTGTGGCGACCAGAGTTTTGTTTTATTTAAACCCCCACATGCTTTGCGCTTGCCCCTTGTGCCGACTCGTCTCCATTCAGACAGATAATAACACACTTTTCGCTCAATCTTAAAACAACTCCCAATTGGGTTCAGCTAGCCCAGGAACAGCTCAGGAATGGGCCAGGAGCAGTAGCCCACAGGTCCCACGCCTGATATACAAACGAGGCTCTATGGGCTAAGCCTAATTCCACTTCATCTGGTTTCCTTACTCTCTGCATTTAGAAGGTTCTGGTTAAGAGACCATGTTATCCAAAAATACTTCACTTTAAATAAAGTTGCATGTGAGTGTGAGTTATATTCAGCAATTTCTCTTTTGTGCTTATTTTCACCCACTCCTGAATGTGTTATAACTGCGCTATCGGCACCGTGTCATGAGAGTGATAATCGATTTGGAGACCTGGCAGAGCAGTGCATCCCACGTGTTAGAGGAGATTATTTACTGGACTTCTGCAGATATTCCCTCCAGTGGCCCTTTTACCGTGACACAGTTAGGGGACGTACTTTCCCACATGCTGCTGTGAACGATTTGCCACGTGACAATGAACCAATATTAAAAATTCTAAGTAATGAAATAAGAACAAATAGCCAAATATAGTAAAAATAAAGTCGAATTAGATGCTGTTTGAGCGACGTCAGTGACGTGGGGGACACACACGTGTGTATATTTGGCAAGATGACCCCGAGACATCACGACCGTTCCTGGGCTCATCCCGGCTGTAATGGGGCATGATTCTGACTCTGGTCGTGCTTCCGAAGCAGGGCTCCGAGCAAATCGATCACTAACATTTCTGCCCAAACCGGTTTTCCTGGCGAGATTACAAACCCAGCGCAGTTTCGGTGAACTTCAGTAATCACGCAAAAAGAAACAGCAGGCCGGGACCTGTTGGAGGATTGAACGCTTCACACTCTTCCCAGTTTTACTTCGAGCTCAGCTTACAATTTTCATTGCAGGGCAAGACAATTATTAAGATAATTGGTTGGATGCTGATCAGTTTTAAAAAAATGGTAATCAGTACCTCATACAGACAATCATCAGGGCTGCAAATTGACATACAGCTGCATAAGAGAAGAAGCGGTTTCTTTCTGTGGTGTAATTTACTCACAGGTGTGAGGTAAATGTTACTTAATACAGAGACTAGATACCTATTTGCAGGGACTCAATTTGCATTATTTAAAGTAAAGTGCACGCAAAGACTGAAACGCTAATGCACTAGTGATTGAGATAACTGAAAAAAGATAACAAGCGAAAACTTCACGGAAGCTTAAGAAAGGGCTGTTGTACGGAAAAAGTGCAGCCCTGCAATGTCTTACGCAATGTCACTGCTGGGGGAAGGACCTCCACTGGAGCGAGCTCGAGAGAGTAATTTGCATACTTTCGCCACACTGGTCAGACATCTAAAAGCCAGATTGCCTCACTTAAAGTTGGAGATGGTAGTTTACACAAATCGGCGCTTTGTGTGCATGTGTTCGACACTTCACGTGGCCTCTAAGTGCACATGGCCTGGCACAAGCGTCGTGGTGACGTCACCGCAACTTAGTGGCGAACTGCGGTTGTTGTTGTTGTGTGTTGACCTTCTTTCACACTGTATGCAGCGTTTGTGGCCACGATGAAGGATATTGACAAATGGGTAATATTGAAATGTCACGTGAACAGTTTTGCTCGAGTGGACACTGACTACCAAACATATTACAGTTCGAGAGAATGGTACAATTTATACCAGAAAAGTATAATTTAAGCCAAGAGAACAAATACACGTGCAAAACTATACCGTAATAAAAACACACAAGAAGGGATTGTTTCAGCTACGTGGCGAATGAGCATCATATCAGTCCGTGTTTTCTTTATGGGGATATACTGTTAGAATGTGTTGGGTATTACACTGTGTTTTGGGTGCAACGGTGTGCTTGGGCAGGACAATCGCCAGTTGCGGTGATGGCACAAAGGTCGGGGATAATGACCGAGTGGCAGCCAAGGAATGGAACGCATCTGAGACACCGTTCACCGGGGAGACGGAGCGATGAAACGAGCACGTGTGAAGGGTGCTATATGGATTATTACAAACTCATTAGAGATGGAGGCAGCTTGGGAAGGCATTCATTTAGCAGTAGATTAATGGTGGCTGCTGCTGATTATGATAACGGTAGAATACAGAACATGTCCCAGATTGTAAATGGATGTCGTAATGCATGTGGCGTCTACTCAAATAGAAAACTTCTATGCCAAGCATCCATTAAAGACAGCTTTTACTAATGTCCCTTCAATAATGGAGGCAAATATATGCTTCATTATCTCCAAGTGCAATTTCATATACGTAAATGATCAGCTTATGTCAAAGAGTGCATCATCATTATTATTATGCAGTGTTACAAGCAAAGTAGCTTTCGGTAAGGATTTCCAAATCCACACGAACAACAATATAACAAGGTTAGAGAATACTTTTCAGTGCCAAGGGGTATTTTATCACCACTCTTGCCAGGGACCCAACTTGCCAACAAACAATCGAGCCAATTTTTATTCCATTTCCTTCAATGGCGATTCTTGTGTGGAGTAACCCTCTCCAACCATGGCAATGTGGAATTTTCCCGAACTGGCTCAGTTGAGATGAGCATCACAACTCTCTAGTGTGATCAGGAAACCACCCTGAGTCTAAATTCACAATGCAAAGTCTTTATATACATGTATGTATAGAGGCATGTTGAGTGTTGGAGCAATGTTTTGCATTATTATAACTCTTCTTTAATAGAGGTTTTTTGGGTTAGATCGCGTAAATATATAAATGTGTCGTTCAACCCGCCACCACCCGACACGGCCAACTAGTAAGGGTTGTCACGTAAACAGAACGTGCCAATTCATCACTAGTACAGCACTAGTGTATAGTGTAGTATACTAGTACAGCACACCGGTGTGTTGGAGAGCCAAGCCATAACATTTACAATCTGAGTACGACGTTTCGCCAGTAATTACAACTAGCTTCATCAGGCGACAGCCAGATTTGTGGAGAAGTTTTACTGTTTCGTTCCTTAAATAGAGGCGTAGATGTGGTGGATCTCATCAGATCTCAGATGTTAAACAGTGCTGTGCCTGGTTTGTACTTTGAAAAATGACTTATTGGGTGTTACAGGTTTGAGCTGCAAAGGTGGCCAGGAGATGACGGAACAACAATAATTTTTGTTAAACTATCTGTACGGACCTTGGTGTGTTACCTCATCGTAAGCATGGCTTTTTTCTTCTCCAGGTGCTCTGGTTTCCGCTCATATTGCTAACGTTCATTAATAGAATTGGCCCAAATTTGTGAAAGCAGAACCCTATTGGGAAAAATCCTTAAGAATTAATGAGGCTGTTCAGGGTAAATTAAGAGCATTATAATCATGCTGACACTGAATATTATAAATGTACATAACTGTACCAACAGAACAAGGGGGAAATGCATACTTGGAATGAATTACGCTGAGAGACACAAGAGGAACGCATGAATTGGAGAACAGATTGGAGGCATGATGTTTACTTTGAGGAAGAGTAAGTGGTTTGGGATAGGAGCAATCACTGTAGGGGATGATGACCAACGGTTGAGACTGATAAGGGAATGGCAGTCAAAGGAGGAAAACATGCTCAAGAAGAAGACACCGACGAAGATTGAGCGATGAGACCAGCTCATGCGCAGATGCTGGACGGAGTGGTAGATTGTGCGACTGCAGAAAATAGAAAGTGTACTTGGGGGCAGAATACGTCTCTAGAAAAGGAACAGCAGCCAGACAAATAACTTAAAATTCTGCACAGTTACTGGCACTGTCCCTGGAAGCATGGGGCTGGCGCTGGGACTTCAGGACGCCATGGTGGTTCGGAGATGTTAACTACCTCACCTGGTATACAAGAGGTCGTGGGTTCGATCCCGACTGTGACACCTGTATATTTGGAGTTTGCAGGTTTCTCTCACCATGGTTGTGTGGTTTCTCTCTCTACATTTAGACTGTGCATTCAGAGTATTTAGCTCCTATACATTTCCAGGTGATAAGCTACTTGGTTGAGCTATCATTTGTGGCCAGGTCGCATCTAGTTTAAAATCTGTCACGGTCTCGTGATTGGTAAACTATCCACATAGCACCTGCACACGAGCCGATTTCATTGCTCCATCTCTGCGGCGGATGGACTCCTTTCGGATCCTTCGCTCCTTCTCGGCAATGTTTATTGACACTTTCTTTTTTGTCTCTCTGATTTCGTGACTGCCGTTGCACTCACGCACCCACGGATCTAACCTTTCTGTAAAACAGCTGGGAAACTAGATAAAAAGGGATCGTAAAACAACATAAAACGAACTCCGATCGATGAAATACCGGTGGTGCCCGTGGGACAGGGCCGCTCGGCGGTCTTCCCCTCGGCGGTGCGGGGCCAGGTGATGCCTCGGCTCTGCTCGCCCTCGCAGAACACCGGCACCAGGTTGGGCCTCTGCGTCTGCTTGGGGAGGCTGGGAGGCCTTGCCGTGCTCTGGGGGTCGGCCGGGCCCTGCTTGCTGTCTCGCTCCCATGGGCGCGCTCCCTGCACGCCGCAAGCAAGCGTAAATAAATAAGGTGCACCATTCCCTTCGAATCGGACAGAACGTACAGACAAACACCGCGCACAAAAGTGCTGTGGCTCAACAGTTAAAGTTGTACACGCGGGCAAATGTGCGATTTGGACAATGGCGTCAAATCTACCAAAGTCGAATAGAGATGAATAGTGCTGAGGGGACCCATCTGAAATATGTGCAGCCGATATCAATTATGTATGCGTGCTATCCCTCTTGAACTCTCAGCAATATTTTACACATGTACAGCACACACACCCATGATGGCTGGCACGGCATACGAGAGGGCGGATGGCCAGAATCGCACCATGTACTCATTTGAGGCTGAGTCGACCTAGGGGAGACCCGGGAACGGTTCGGATAATCGTCACGAGCATTGGTCGCGAGCGGGAATCGAACTCGGGTCGACGGTTTCGTAGCGCAGCGTGCTAACCACTGCCCACACCCCTCACCCCGGTAGGCACACACGCACAGACACAAACTACATTCATTTATAACCGGACAAGAGCACAAAAGAGACAACCTCATCACGAGGAGAGAATCCGATCTCGTCAGATCTCGGAAGCATAGCAGGCTAGAGCCTGCATAGCGCTGGGATGGGCCACTACCATGCATAACAGGTGGTATAGGTGGCGGTGCTATATTTGTACTGTACTTTTAAGCCCCATGGCTATGCTCCCTAGCCATCATCCACCCGCGCTGACCAGCGTGGTGAGGTATGGTCAAATAGCTCTCATCCAGCAGTGGATTCACAGAGAGGGCTACACGCATACTACTACATACACACTGTACACGAGTGCACATTGAGTTGAGATTCTCTGTTGCAGGAGACCTGAGATGCAATTATAGAAATGAATACAATTCGGAGAACGTGTGCACTACATAAAATAAAAATCTGCACAATTAAAAAGAAAACGTTGGGATATTTTTAAAAATAAAGTACCAAGTTATAAATTAAATGTTCAAATCAATGACCGAAAAGAAAAAAGAAAACTTCCAGCCACAAAATATCGTACAAATATCACAATGAATAAAATGGGGCGAATTTACAAGTATTCAACGCCTTGCTATAAACAAACGTAACACGTAAAACACACGCCCCTCTGAGACACAAGTTGGGTAGTTATTCTAGTTAGAACCCAACCCCGCAACTATAGTGAGCAAATACATTGGTGCAACCACACCATAAATTCTCATTCAATGATTATCTCCTAAACGTATTTGTACGTGCTGTAATACAAAAATAACAGGGAACGGCCTGTTTCATTACTGGCGGTGAGATGTTATTCCCCTTGCCTGCTATGCAAGAGGTCGTGGGTTCGATCCCGACCCTGACGATGCGTGTATATTTGGAGTTTACGTATTCTCTCTCTCCCTGTGGTTGCGTGTATTTTTCACCAGGTCCTCCAGTTTTGCCCTTCACATTTAGAAACGTGCATTTAGATTATTTGGCTGTTACTATAAATTCCCACAAGTGATAATGTTAATAGCCACTTCGATGAGCTATCATGTGTGGTCAGGTCACCTCTGAAAAGAGGCGAATAGCTCAGTGGGCTTTACCTGGTAAAATAATAAAAATCATCATCTGTAGGTCCTTTGGTAATACAAGGGAAGGTTCAGAACTGAAAATCTCTTACTCTTGCCACTGCTGGTGAAAGGGTCTCTGCTCGAGGGAGCTCGAGAGAGGCCATTCTGGAGGGCAAAGATGCCTTTGAAGAGGTGCGAGTACCCAACACACGTGACCTGCCGATTGACTAACTGCGGCGTAACACAATTATAATGCTAGTGGATGGAGGCGGAGTGGTTTAAGAAGCTTGCACCGTTGCTTCAACTGCCGCGGCAGGAGATAGAATCGGTTACCTCTGGAGTGCAAGTCCGGTGTGCTAACCAGATGGGAACCCATTGTAAGTAACGCTATCTGTTGAGGGTGACCCGTATCAACAACTGACAGGGGTGGAGACAAATAGAGAAACAACAGGTTGAACACAGGAACTACGATGGATCAACGGCCACAAACTATTGGGGATCATGAATCAGTGTTTCCCAGCAGAATTTGTTTAAGCAAGGCAAGCTGAGGTGCGATTTTGACTTTCTCCGAATACCATCTGCAATGTGTGGCCGAGTTAAACAAATGTTTCTGGGTGGCCTGGTGCCATAGGAAAGAAACATCTGAAATTATGTATCATGGGGCCTGTTTAGCCCAGTATTTAAAATTTCATGACCCATAATACTCTGAGAACGCGCATAACGGTTTAGTAAAGTTTCACGGTCAGTCATTAAAAAAACACCGAGTTTTATTTTGTAAGAAAAGAATTAGTTTGTGCTGATTATGCTAATAATAAACTTACAAATTCAGGTCAGGAGTTCACAACTGTTGCTGGCTGTTTCTGTAACGCACAAAATGAGTGCAATGCAAAATCACCGCATAGTTAAGCTACTGCTTTATGCCACCGTAGAAATAATGTAAAAAATATAAACCCTAAGTTGCTGGCACTGATCATGTACTTTCACAACGATTTGCTGCAATGATAAAACTTACAGAAAAGTTTATTTTCAATATGAGGAGATTATTTGCCCTAGATGCAGTTGACAGGCAAGGCATTTCGAATCACATGGTGACATTTTTTTAGATAAATGTGATAAAGGAGTGCCTGTGTAAATGCATAAACACACACGCACATATATAGAGAGAGGGACGGAGATACCTTGTATAGCCTTAACAGACTGTTGGAACAATTGCTGTGAGCATGTACCTATGAAGGCCGGCACGGCACATGAGTGGGTGGGTGGCCAGCACCACCCTCGACCGCCTTTGTATCCATAGTCGCGATGTTTACACACCGCACCAGGTACTCATTTGAAGCTGAGTCTACCTAGGGGAGGCCTAGGATCACTTCAGATAATCGTGACTGGTGTTGGCTTTGAGTGGGAATTGAACTCATGTCGCTGGGTTCATAGCTCAGCATGCTGCACTACCACTGCCCCTGCACTACCGCTGCCCACATATACCGTACATAACAAAGACATATACAAATACAAACCTTCTTCATGTTGATATGTTTCCTGAATTGAATTAAATGTTTCCGCTCTATAATGCGAATATATTATCTCAATGCCAAATATCTTTTATTTTCAGTAGCGTGCATATTTTTTCAAATTCATATGTTTTTAAAGTTTCGATTTTTATTTGTAACCCCCCATACATCTGTGTTATCAATCGTATTTTTGTAAGCAGATGTCTTTTTCAAATGTGAAATCACATTTTTTTACAAGAACGAGACCAAGTTGTGTTAACATTACACTGAAATGCAAAAGTTCACGGCCGTTTTACCATTGGCCAATTTACATCGTGTACCGTCTATATAATCACAAGCGGTCTCCCTATTGGCCGAAAGGAATCCACATAGAGATAAGTGGTTCTGTGATTAGTTGGAAAGAGGTCACCTGGGTTAGACGGCTGTGATTGGAATGGGGTTATGTGGATTTTGATGGTGTTGTCAAGGGCAACATTACAGCTATGAAGAAAAAAATGGCCGCCGGTTTCTAATTGGAAAAAATGTGTGGCAGAATTTGAGCACATCCTAAAAAAGCATGCACTGTACTATAGTTGTTTTACATTTGAAATACATTCGTTTTTTTGTAAACAGCCACAAGAGAGTGAAGTTGCTGCTCCGTGTTTGGAATTCCCTCCCATCGACTCTGTTCCCACGTTATTACGATCTCGCCGAAAGAAGTGTTTATACTCTTATCTACCACAACGTGTTACTGGCCGCTTGGTGTTTTTGGCCATTGGGAATGTACTCAACAACCGTGATGGAAAAAATTTTAAAAAAAATACAAAAACTCGATGGAAATTTATGGATGCTCATCCTGGTTTGTGTATATGTACGTTGAACTTTTTTTCGCACCGTACGTAACCAACCGTGGATAATCGGAAGTGCGGTTTAAGTGACGTCTGTGGGTTAGGGCGACGAGGAGCGACAGAGAGGGCACAGATTACTCTCACGGTTAGAACTGAGGGATACTCCAACAATCGGTAGGCGGGGGGGGGGGGTGAAGTGGCGGGGGGGGCGGCTGGCGAAAATGTGTTGGGGGGCTTTAGGCTACAGGAAAGGTCGTACGAGGTGGTGAGGCTAATGGGAGGCAAGGGAAGGGCGGTATTGGGAGGGCATAGGGCAAGGTGGAGTCCTGGAGAAGAGATTTCAATGTGCAATGTCCTGGCAGGGTATTTACGGTGCGCAGGACGGGCAGTTGGTTGTGAGTGGAGACGTGGGGTTGCCATATGTGAGCTCATAACAATATTACAGGTAGGGTTTAACATCAATAAAACGAAATATTAAAACATTAACTTAATTTAAGAATCAGTTCATATGAAACACCATCCATCAACAAAAAAATTACAAAAAATACCAATAGCGACAAAAATAATACACATTAACCTTCACAAAAGTCTCCCAATGCTTTCAGAACATTCGACAACGTTCAAACAAGTCGGAGCGTTGACTTTCATCAACTCTGCCAATGTCGAGCATTCTCGTTAAATAAAGTGTCATTTGGATTTAATACAACTCCATTTACAAATGCGTCGGTGCTGCTGCGTTGGCATTTGTGCACAGCACAATTAACAGTCATAAAAACCCACCACATTCATCAATAACGCTGCGGCCTTTAAATAAAAATACACAGAATAGGAGATGCTTTGGGCACTGGCTGCTTTTTCGCATGCTATGAAGATGGGCCACTGCCCACAAAGTAAAAATACATAAGAGAAAAACATGTTTGTATAATAGCATGTGAAGAAGTGCCATTGGCCAAAACGTTGCCTATTTTATCTATAAACATTAATATTTGCTTTCAAGGCTCAGTGTGTAATTGACAAATGTGTTGAGTTTTTTTTTCTTTCCCCCCAACAATGTACAGGCCATCTTGAAGGCTACGACGCTACAGTCGAGGCACAGATCTCCCTTGCAAAAGGAACCTTCGATCTCACTGGGCTCTGACCTGGTTGTAAACAAAAAAGGCCATTCACCTAATGCGGCATTTCACATCCGGTGGGGTGGACGTGGGCACCCCCTCCAAGCCTTTCGGCAAGGATGGGAGAGGTAAGAGGACAGGCTGCGGTGTGGATACCAAGCAGGAGAAATTCTGAATGGGCATGGGGAACACACTGCTGCACATCAAGGCCGTAATTATTGGGGGAGGGGGGGACATCCCCCCCAATATTCAAAATGTCCCCCCCCAATATATTGCTATAAAATAGATTTCTGTTTATATGATTGTGGTTATGGTTGTACTTTATTAATCCCTAATCTCTGCCATTATATACAATGAAACAAGAAAAGGTAAAAAAGAAAAAAACAGAGCAATGTAATACAATACACTGTAAGACATTATTGTAAAAAATAAATAAAAAGTTCATCCTATGTGTTCGTGAATTTTTGTATATTTTAGGCAGGAAATTGCAGGAAATTAGTTTTCAAATTAAGATGTTTTTTTTCTGGGGGGCGACCCCCAGACCCCCTGGAAGATTTGGTCCCCCCCAATGTTGACTTCATGGCTACGGCCTTGCTGCACACTTATCCACAACATCTAACAAATGTTTTACGAACACGAATAGAGGACTGGACGTGCGATCTCTCTGCGTGCTGTGGCCTTAGTAACCTGTGGGCGGTGGGGGGAGGGGCACAAAGTCTGGGGGAGGGTGGGGCGGTCACGTAGACCAGTGGTCTTGATAGAGGGGGGCACCGGGCCGGCGATATGTTAACTACCTCGCCAGGTATACAGGAGGTCGTGGGTTCAATCCCAACCCTGACGCCTGCTGTATATTTTGAGTTTGCGTGTCTCTCTCCCCGTGGTCGCGTTAATTTTTCTCCGGGTTCTCTGGTTTTTCCCTCCACATTTAGAAACATGCGTTAGAGCATTCAGCTGCTACAAATGTCCACATGATAAGCTACTTTGTTGAGCTGTCATTTGTGGCCAGGTCGCTTCTGAAAAATAGCGAAATAGCTCTGTGGGCCTTACCTGGTAAAATAAAAATAGTTTATTTTAAATAATTTAAGAAGGTTGTGACTCGCTTATCGTATACCAGCAGTGGGTGGGCATAGACTTTAGCACCGTGTAACAGGGGCATGTGGCACCAAGGTTGCAATTAAACGATTTACGTAATCTTCACCCATGTGCTGAACTATCCACATTAATCAGAGGATATTATACATTTCAATTGCTCTGCAGAAATGGCCATGACAAATGATTAAACGGGGTTAAAGTTAGAATGTTGGCATGGGTAATAATTAGGCACCGGGCAGAGAAGAGGAGAGACCCCCACGGGGCTCTGGGGGGCTACGTGGCCACCACTAGACTTAGAATTTTGTTACAAAGGGCTCAACGAGCCAAGTATTCCCAGCACTGTAAATGATTAAAATACAGTACACACATTCCATAATTAGACCAGTCGTGACTAAACACCTACTCCTTATTTGCTCTATCAGCATGCGTTAATGAGAGAGAAAGTGGAAAAAAGGGAAAATTGAAATGGACCTCTATTGTGACACTAACACCAGGCGCTGCTGAGGTGAGAGTGATTTTCCTGCTAAAGTGGAAAGGGCATGACTAGAAATCCCGGTCAGGTGTCAGCATCCATCTATTATCACATCAAAGTTAATCAAATGAATACCGTTTTTTGTGAGGTCACCAGTGACTATATAGAGTCTCATATGATGCAAATGTGGAATTTCTGACATTGGCTCAGTGCCACCAAGAGAGGTGAGTGCTGCACACTGTGACTTTAATATTGTTGTGAGACCGGATGTCAAGGTAAGTGCGAAGTTACTGCTAGAAGGCGTGTTATTATTCCTGCGTGCAACTCACAATGCATATCTCTGAGCACAGACTGTCATCTACTCACCCGCCCACCCATCCACTCACCCCCCCATCCACTCACCCACCCTCTCACTCACTCATTCACTTACCAGCTCAGCGTTGCTTCGTCACATGGTTGCTCACTCTCTCATCCACTCACCCACCCATGCACCCACTAACTCACCCACCCACCCACTCACTCACTCTCTCACTCATTCCCTTACCCGCTCACCATTGCTTCGTCACATGGTCACTCACTCATTTATCCACGCACCCAATCACGGTTACCCATTCACTCGCTCACCCTTGCGTTCTCACACACTCGCTCGCTCACACATTAATTAAATTCACCTACTTGCCAATTCACCCATGCATTCACTAACCCTTACTCACACACTCATTAGTTTACCCACAAAATCCTTGCTCGCTCGTTATATTCCCCACTCGCCCACTTGTTTAATCGTCCACTAAATTTATCACCCACTCACTCACTCACTCACCCACTCACCCACTCACTCACTCACCCACTCACTCACTCACCCACTCACCCACTCACTCACTCACCCACTCACTCACCCACTCACTCACTCACCCACTCACCCACTCACTCACTCACTCACCCACTCACCCACTCACTCACTCACCCACTCACTCACTCACCCACTCACTCACTCACTCACCCACTCACTCACTCACTCACCCACTCACTCACCCACTTACCCACTCACTCACTCACCCACTCACCCACTCACTCACCCACTCACTCACCCACTCACACATTTAGCCACTCACCCTTGTTCCTTCATGTGCTCACTCATCAGCCACCCACCCACTCACTCACCAACACATTCATTGAACTCGCCTACCCAATCATCAATTCACCCACCCATTCGCAAGCCCTTGCTCACTTACTCACTCACTCTCTCTTCCATTAATCCACCCACACAATTGTTTACCCACTCACTCACTCAAGACTCTCGCGGTGCCGTAATGCCTGAAATTAGGGACGGTGTTAAGTTACAGTCAGAACGAGGGTTCAGAAAATTATTCCACGTGGCCGATGCACAATGCGGTTCAGCTCGCAACTTTTATACCATCGAAAAAAGATGGTCAAGTGCATCGCGCGCTTTCAGATGCCCCTCTGCGGCCGTCTGGGACGCTCTTTCTTCCAAGATTTGGAAGCCACTGGAACTATACACTTTTAAATTTAGATTGAAAAAGAATTTCTTCGGAACTACTTTTCGTGTTTCGTTTGCTGTCCTTCCCCCGCACCTCCGTTTAGCACAGTTGGCTACGTACGGCGCGAAAGAAGTTCAACATGCGCGTGTAGTATACATACCTCTGGGGGCAGATGGTCAGTCAGTGACGGGATGGTAGGCGTCCCCCGAGGCCACCCGGCAGTCACGACGGGGACCGTGGTGCTGCCGTGACCCAGCGTGGTGACGCCTTGCACTGCGGAGAGGAACGCAGCTGCCGTCAGCACGCCGTCCCGACACGTTGACACGTTACCACGCAGGGAACAGCGCGAACTGCTACGAGCAGCGAAACGTGCTCGGCCTGGGCGGCGCAGGCACTGGCGCCATTCACGCCGCTCCCTCTCGCCAGTTGCAAAGCGCACGTGCAAAACCGGGCACCGTGATGCCAGATATTCGTGAATTTGTTGTGTACACATTGCTCTAAAAGCATACAAAAATATATGATCTAAGTTGCTTGTTAAAATGACGAGGAAGACAAAAGTGATTCATCCCTTCACGTTTTACATTGCCATGATTTCGGATATCGATTCACCTTTGTTGTTGTTGCGTCACGTTAAGACACAAGCAACCACGTGGAACCAAAACGTGGAGTCAACTCAGACTGTACACGCGAGAAACGAACCACGTTAGTACCGTTGGACGGCGATAAGCGGCGAGCATTGTCACAGCATTATTTTGCAACACAGAGCACATAATGCACTTGTCAGAATGCACACAGTGACACCATCCTGAGGACTTAGGAGGGCAATTTTCTATGCAGCTATCCGGCATTTAAAGCACACCGTTCCAAGAATCGCGTGTGGAAGGAACGGATTAAATTCCGCGCGTTCCTTTGTCAGCCCTTGCTGCAGAATCACATTCATTGGCTATTACACAAACGTATCAAAGAAAGCATTTTTCAACAATGTGAAATAAATGCTTAGAGCCTCTTTATGATATTACTGGAACACATTTCCATTTGAACCACGGAACTTTCTCTTTAACAACCCATTCCAACACATTTGATCATTTTCCTAGCGACAAGAGCAGATTATTTGTTTTATGAGCTGCTTCATGAGCTCTAGTTATTTTATATCACAGAAATTACATTCGGATCAATGAATCTTCGCTTGGTACAAGGAGGAGGCAAATGTATTATTATATTTATGATTATTACCAATGTCACGAACCACTTGAAATGAACGACCGTGCTTTCGCGCCTCCATTCTGCCCAAACCAACCCAGTCGAGAGGCGCCGGTTGTGAGTCCCCATACCGGTGTGGTGAAGTATGGCAAAGGGTAGATTGGCGGCAGAGCGGTTGGCACACTGCATGATGAAACCAGACAGATTTTGATTCCAATCCATGGATAACATCTGCAGAATATTCCATTAGAACCTGCTAATATCGTTTGAATCTCCTGATATTTGGCTGCTATACATTCCCACATGATTGGCCACTTTGTTGAGCTATCATTTACCTGGTAAAATAAAAATAGTTGTTTTATTTGTATTTTGTTGTTGTTAATTGTTTACCTTTCCTATACTTTGCACAACTATTGTGTTTAAGCACTGTTTTGTGATTGAAACGTTCTGATCCACCCCTACTGGGCATCTGTGAAAAGAGCTTAATAGATCATCGGATTCCTCCAGTATAAACAAATATTCTGATTCAGTAATTCAACACCTGATAGCAGTTGAATCATATATACAACGTAGGCTTTCACGGTTGTGCTGCTTTACAGCTCCCAGATGTACCGTGTGTTGACCTGCACAGCGTCCATGTGCTGGGATGTTTGAGATGTGACGACTTCCTGAAGAAGCTCCCAGCACGTGACACAGCCCGAAGACATGCACAGTTCAACTGTAACTTCAACATTAAGGAGTAACAGGGATTGGTTGAAAACTGTGAACTTTAAGTATAGAAAGCCTCAACAAGTCCCAAGACACTCTTTCATGAAGGTCCTACCGCTTGAGACGTCTGGTCAATTCCATCAACGTGGCACTCATTAGAGTTATGATCAAAGCAACATCGCTCCGTGCCAAAGTGACAGGTTTTATTTTTTCTATAGAGGGCTTCCAATTGAACGCCGAGACCCCATGACTTGTATACAGCGGCGCCTCACCACATCCCACCAGCCAGCGGCGCATGTCGCGATGAAGACGCATTGAGTGTATGGCAGCGGACTGGGGTGATGTCGCCGGGACTTGTCACAGAGGCACCATTGACAGGAATATACAGCATTACGACTAAAATACCCATCTGCATGTGGGTGTGTTCAACTTCCTTCACGCTGTATGTAGCCAATCGTGCTAATCAGAGGTGCGGGGGAGGGACAGCTAAACACAGACAGTCGTTCTAAAGACACGAGTTTTTAATCTAGATTTAAAAATTGCATAGCTCCAGTAACTTCCAAATATCGAAAGGAAGAGCATTCCGGATGGCCGCAGGTTGCACAACTTAAAGCGCCGCGATGCGGTGACCGCCGTCTTTGTTCGATGACTAGCCAAAAGAAGCCGCTGCGAGGATGACCACCGGAGTTGGCGTGATGATGGTTCATGCTCCCTGATGGGATCAGCGAGGTACCGTGGTGGTTCATTTGTGGCTAAGCACCTTGCGGGTAATGAGCGCGACCTCGTAATGTCTTTGCTCGGCAACCGGAAGCCAACGCAGCTCGGCGAGCACATCTGTGAGTGCGACGCTCGCACGCAGGCGAGTGAGCGCACGCGCGTGGCGATTCGCGCACGTCTGTCGCGGAGGACACCGGACAAGCATTTCCAGATCGTCGCCTGTTTCCCATTCGATATTCTGGCGCGGCACTTGAAACGACGGGCCCCGTTACGTGAAATGCTCCCGTCCCTGTCCGCCCGGCGGTGAGAATGGGCAACGCCGCGCAGTCGGTGGATCGGCAGATCGCATTTGTCGAGTCTTCTGTGGCGTGTGGCCAACCGTGGAAGGGTGTGCCAGAATGGCCATCCTTTGGGGTTCAGAGAAAACTCTCCAGGGATTCCTCCAATTGAGGCTCTTCCACCAGCAGTGGCGTGAGCAGGCAAGGGCTGCGCCTTTGCCTTTGCAATTCACATCTGTGTGTGCAAGTGGGAGAGTGTGGTGAGCGGTGGCGCAACGGTTAGCACGCTCGCTCACGCTCAACACCAGTGACAGATTATCTGACCCGGTCCTGGACCTACCCTAGGTCGACTCAGCCTCAAATGAGTGCTTGGTGCAATGTGTAAAAATCGCCACTGGGGAGACAAAGGCGGCTGGGTATGGTGCTGGCCACCCACGCTTTCGTGTACCGTGTCGGCCTTCATAGGTGCTGCTCGTTAACAGCACTTGCTTCTACAGTCTGTTAAGAATCTACGGGGAACCGTTATCTTTTTGAGTGTGAGAGTGCGTGGTGTGTGTGCCTTTGTGCATGTGCGCATCCCTGTGCGTCTGCGAGTCTCGCAACCTTCCTGGAAAAACCTCCTCCTGAGTGAGAGATTGTCATTTGGTGTGGGGTTTAAAAGAATATGCAAAATCCTTGCTGTAGGAAACACAGCCCTCCCTCACCTCATTTGCAAGCTCCCCTCTACACCCCCCCAGGGCATTCCAGCATGGTGGTTTGAAACACAGCGGGAAGCAGAGCTTAACATATAAATCAAACACAGTGTTCTTGGTAATACACGTTAAAACCACAATTGCCGTGATTGTAACTTAATCCCACTTAGACTGTCTCGTACAATGATCAGCTTTCCATTTTTTTAAAGTTACATGTTTTTTACGAGCGAGATTGGTAGAAATCTATATAAGCCCAAGGATTCCCTTTGTAAATGTTAATGCGTTTCGGATTTTGGGTTAAAAAAGAAAACTGTTACTTTAAAGAGTGAAATTAGAGTTAGCATTTGTCACTTATTGATGGATTTCTGCAGGTGCAATAAAAAAACTGCGTTAAAATAAACTTGGAATTGGGCCACTGGCAAATTGACACCATATGCAAAAGGAATAAGAATATCCAAATACATGCAGCATACATACCATCATGATTTTAGCTAAAAAAGCTTTCAATGCCAATGTATTATTTGCAGAGTTCTACATTGCAATGGTGGTCATTGAGTCCTTTGGTACAATGGAGCGATTAACATTTACATTTTGTCCTACAGTCCGACTCCTCTCGTATGCCACAGTGGCTAGGGGATGTTAACTACTTCGCATGGTATGCAGGAGGTTGTGGGTTAGATCCCGACCCTGACGCCTGCTGCTGTATATGTGGAGTTTGTGTGTCTCTCTCCCCGTGGTCGTGTGGGTTTTTGTCCGGGTCCTCCGGTTATTCCCTCCACATTTAGAAACACGCGTTTAGAGTATTTGGCTGCTATATATTTCCACGTGATAAGCCACTTCATTGAACTATCATTTGTGGCCAGGTCACTTCAGAAAAGGAGCTATATAGCTCAGTAGGCCTTACCTGGTAAAATAAAAATAGTTCAGTTTTTTTAAGTGCTGTTGTCTGTGGATAAGAACAATTCACCGATGAGAGGAGTTGTCATGCAAATACATGCGGACATCACACCTTTTGCCCGGGAGATTAATTCCAGATAAGGCTCAACAATCGTTGGGTGCGTGCTCGTGAAACGAGTGAACTTGTATCTGGACTAAGCTCTCTGAGTCTCTTAAGTGAAACACACCATGCACACTCATTAATGCCTTAAGTAAAAATCAGGTTAAGCACAGTGGTGATATATGGACCTCGCAGCAACAATTTCCTAGGTTCGATGCCCGACTATGCGGAGTTTGTGTGTCTCTCCCGTGTGCTACACTTGTCCACTCTGGGTTCTCCGGTTTCCTCCCATCGCAATTCCCAAACCTTCACCTGACAATAACTCAATAGGGATCACACGTAACACCATCACCGCCCCTCCCATCTTCCCCGACTGCGAATACTTGGCAGGATCATCCTGCAAAAGAATCTACGTGCTCATTATTATTCTACGTTGTTATTATTATTATGACGCGTGTAAAAGTATCACGGTGCGCTTTGGATGCACCCTGGCTGAGCTCTCGCTTGGACTAAGTGAATTTACGTGAACCAATGAGCCTGACTCTCGGCACTGCAAAATAGTTGGCGGCCTTCCATTGTTTTTTTCTCTCTCGGTCCATCTCTGCACTTACCCAAAGACAATTACATCAACTTGGCACGACATTACTCGCGCTATCTATTTGGGGAATGTATGCCGAGCAG